AAACCATACATGTATATATAAAATGAATGACAAAGAAGGAAGTTATTATTTTTTATTATTATTTTTAATTTTTTAAGGTGCTATTAATCATGCATGTGAGGGTTTTGGTATTGGTCAAAAATGAAGAACCTAATCAACTAAAAGGAAATTAAATTACACACATACAGTGTACTAAGTCTGGTTGGTGAATGAATGGTGACATTCTGACCAAAAAAAAAAAAAAAAAAAAAAAAAAAAAAAAGGTACAATGATTTGTTTTAACTTATGGAAAAATATCTTAGCCATGCCCAAAGACCTAAAAAAAAAAAAAAAAAAAAAAAGGTAATGATTTGTTTTTAACTTATGGGAAAAATACTTAGCCATCCAAAAGACCTTCCCATGTTCATTGCACATACCTCTGTCTTTCATTGGCCAATAGAAAAGCTATACTCTCAAATTACTATTCTTTGTCCTATGTTATTACAATCATTGGCGCATTTCTATGTAAATATATATATATGTGCATCGTGTAATTAGACATTTGAAAACGAATGCAATCGTTTCATTTTTTTAAAACTATTTTCATCATTAATCATGTCATTCTCCATCTATCTAAATTTAGTCTTTACTAATGTTTATTCATAATGGAAAATATTATAAATTCAATTTTTTGATACCTAGGTTACTCAATACATATATATATGAAATTGACTTTCAGATTTGTAGCTCTTCCTTCTAACATGTGTTTTAATATTGATTTTTAAATACTTATAATAGAGTTTTCGATTTAATTGATTGATTCCTTCTTCAACTAGTAATTTATTTATATTCAACAATTAGATTGTAAATACTTAATAAAAATTTCAATCATCGATTGATAGCTGATAGAAATTTCAATTAGTTGTAGTTGGTTTTCAAATTTTTTTTTTTTTTTTTTTTATATTGGTCGCCACTTAATTAGCAACCGAACGATTGAATCAAATGGATGTTTAGCCAAATATTTAATGCATATGGAAATTTTGTAATATATTTTTCATTCTACAATTAAATTAAATAAAGACAATTGTGACATGAGAAAAAAATATTGAAATAATATATTACGCTAGGTCTTTGTCAAATAAACAAATGAATGTAGAGATTAAACAATGAAATAAAATAATTATAAAATAACAAGAACAAACAGCAAAAAACGATGTCTATCAATATATCAAAGCCAAAAATACAGTAGGAAAAAAAAAAAAAACATCAAGTAGTAGTATGGTATTTATACCCTTTTTTATTTTTATTTATTGGAAATATTATAATATATACTGGTATATTATTTTTGGAGTGTGTGAGAAATAAAAATTTTAACTGTAAGGACTTGGTGGAATTGACCCAAACAGGCAGCAGAAGAAGCCAAAAGCATTTTTCTAGTTGTTGACCTAACGCGAAAGAAGACAAACTGAGCGTAAAAGAGGGAAAAAAAAAATGTAAATAAAAAAAGAAAAGAAATAAGAAAAATACAAAAGTGGTAGCTATTGAAAGGGAAAGAGAAAGAAAGAGTAAAGCAACACGGCAATATGTTTGGTATAAGGAGTGTGTGTGTGGCACATGCATATCCTCATATGCTTCCAAACACACTAAAGCACTAGCGTGCTATTTTATTTATTTATTTATTTTTTTTAAATATTCTTTAGGGTTGAGTCACGAGTGATGTGGTTTAGGATGGGTATGAACGAAGAGATAGACTTTTTATGTGGAAATTAATTTCTAAATCAATCAATTTCTTCCTTTGTTTTTTTTTTTTCTTACCCTATTTATTTAGATAAATGTTCAAAAAAAAAAAAAGAACTTTTTTAACAAATTATTTTTTTAACTACAAATACAATATATTGTTATATTAATTTTTTTTATAACCGGAGGTATACTTTTCATTTAGACTGTAGAACATAAATATTTTATTTCGACAAGTGTATTTTATGAATATTAAATTTTTATTCTCATCTTTACGAGAAATAAAACGGGTTACTACCTTTAACAGATACCTTATTGATAATAATTGAATATATATTTTTACTCGTTAAACAAAAAAAAAAAAGACAGTAAAATTTTAAATAAATAGAATTTTAAATAATAATAAAGAAAGCAAGTTAGTAGCAAAGGGCTGCAAATTTGAAGCATCACCAATAATTTAAAATCTCCATCTCTACTAGACATTTCCAATTTACAACAATCCAACAATAATTCTTCAACCCATAAAAAGAAAAGAAAAGAAAAGCAAGACTGGGTGACAAGTGTATTGTTTTTTATTAAATTTGAAATATTTATTTTTTCTTCAATTGTAAGGACATGGACCAAGTCCAAGGCCCCAACCAATACTACCTATACCTATGCACCTACATTACATACATTATGTCTATAAAAATTTAAAAAAGACAGAACTAAATAGTAAGATAATAAAATAAAGATAAAACTTCCATATGAGGGAGCAGTGATATAGTGAGGTCACCATTTTGACAAAGAAATTCATAAAATCTATAAGAATCTTAGGATTACCCCATCAGTGATCAGAATGACTTTTCCCATCATACAAGCAAAATCCAATGGTCCCTATTAACTTTATGTACAAATGAACATGTCTCCAATAAAAGTACCTTAGCACTTTTCTTCTCTCCTTGCTTGGTTTCTTCTTTCCAACTTTCCGCTCTTAACAGAACCGTCATCATGCCTTTGATTTTTTCATCAACCAAAACCAACGGCAGAGATTCACTTCCGGGACCCACATTTATGATAATAATAAGAAAAATAAAAAATAAAAATCAATCAATCAATCACTTCCGCTTAAAAAAAAAAAAGGCAAAAGCCTCAATGAAACACGTGGCCATCGCAGAGTCTGTAACACCCATATTTGGGTCCCACCGATGGAGAGAAAGGCTTTGGTTTGTTGATCAGATCATCGTATCAACATGTTTTGAGAATAAGTCTTTGAGGAGAAACGTCTTAAAACGTGGGACCCAACGGACGATGTGAGCCGTCTGAGATGAACACGTGTCTTAAATCGGCGAGTGACAAGATACACAGGACTCCACTGAATACGACAAAATCCAAAGCCCACATTGGATGACTCTATCAGGAAAATCTATTTTTAATTAAAAATTTTAAAAGGAAAGTTTCTTCCTCTGCTCTGTCACAAGGCTCAAGCCCTGACAAAATACATGCCGTCACGCGCTTTTCACTAAAGGACAAAACACGTGTCCTCCTCGAATAGGGGCTAGTTCGTTGATTTGGAAAAGATGAAGGGGTAGTTTAGGACATGGAGAAAGGGTGGGGTTTGGCAAAAGAGTCGAGACGGAACCCTTTGTCGCCACGTGCCTTGGCGTCGGCCGCACGCAGGAAAGTCTTCGTCCGCCACCCTTTTTCGATTTGTTTTTAGCGGAAATAAATTCCAAAACGATTTTCTTATTTCTTTATTTTAAAAAAACTTTACAGCTATTGCCACACCCAACAATCTGGCTATTTTCACACTTACCCATTTTAGGCGGTCGGTTTGGGCCTGAGGGTTTTTCGGTCCAAGAAGGTGCACTGCTCTTTTTTTTTTTCATTATTTTTTATAATTAATCAAAAATTATTTCAAAATCCATTAAAAAAATTATTTAATTTTAAATTATAGTTTCAAAATCATATATTAATGCATGTAGCCATTTATGAACTGCATAACAGTTTTAATTTTAATAATATTCATTCTTTATTTTAGTGTTCACCGATAAACTATCAAGAATATTAATAGAATTTCTAATGAAAATTTTAATTTTAATTTTAATTTTTAATTATTTAGCTTGACATATAATGTTATATTTAATCTCATTAACAATAAACGAAGGTAGGATTGAAATTTGAAAAAGAAAGTTATTAGGGCAAATTAGTTTATATTAATTAAAAATTAGAAGTTAGAAATTAGAAATTTTCAATTTCAAAAACTGAACCCAAAGACACTGAGTTCAATAATTGAAGAGATATTACAGTTTTATATAATTAAAAATTAGAGTTAGAAATTAGAAAATTTTTCAACTTTTCCAAAAACTGGAACCCAAAGACACTGAGGTTCATAATTGGAAGAGATACAAAAAATATATACTATAATACTATATATATATATGAGATGTAACTTTCTTTTCCTTCAAAAAAGTTCTCAAATGAAAAGGGAAAAAGAGAGATAAAAATGGAAAATCTCTACTTTTTTTTTTTTTTTGAAGGTCTTTTTTTTTTTTTTTTGAAGGTAAAATGAGAAAAAATCTCTAACTTATTATGTTGATGTCAAAGCAAGCAGAAGCAGCCAAAAGTTCTGTCAATAGCCATTCCCATTCACATCACACATGTCGCAAAAGTTAAAACGGATTAAAGCCAAAAAATTAAATAATTATATGAAATTATAATAATATTAATATTAAAATAAATGAATCAATATTGCAAAAAAATATTAAAATAAATAAATAAAAGAAGAATTTAGCTTAGTAGCAGACTTAGGCTAGCAGCATGATAATGCCGAGTATACATAAATAGAGAGGAGGAAGGGGTAGAGATGGTGGGACCCATTTAAACAGTTTAATTCGGCCGCCTGCTTTGTCGTCTCTCTCGTCTCGTCCGCCTCCGTTTCACCCTTTCCCTTTGACTCTCTTCCCATCTCCTCTCCCTCTCTTATCGCGGTCTTAAATATCTCTCTCTCTCTCTTCTTGCTTGCTGTTTTCTCACCAGACTATATCTGTCTTCGATCTCTCTCTCTCTCGCTCTCAAATACTCGCTGTTCCCTTATTTCAGAAATAACTGTCGCTTCCTTCTTTATTCAGAACTCTAAACGAGGAATCAATTGGGAAAAAAAAAAAAAAAAGAAAAAAGAAAAAGAAAAAAGAAAAAAGAAGCAAAAAGAAAAAAAGAAATAAAAGGAAGCGTAACAAAAAAGACAACTTGTACGTAGATAAATAGCTGTAGCAAACTAATCCAGATATTCAGCAGGAAAAATAAGATAGATGTCAGCTGGAAGTTCAAAAAAAAAAAAAAAAGAAAAAAGAAAAAAGAAGAAAAAAGAAAAAAGAAAATAAAAGGAGCGTACAAAAAAGACACTTGTACGTAGATAAATAGCTGTACAAAATCAGATATTCAGAGGAAAATAAGATAGATGCAGCTGAGTTCTTTTTTATCTGGGGTTCTTCTTCTTATTATAGTTCTTGACTCAATGGAATAAATGAATGAAGAATGAATGAGAAGCTTTATCTATGAAGTTCTTTTGTATTTGAAGGTTATTTTGGCTTCTGGGTTCTCGCTTTATATTAGTTTTTAGGCCTATTTGGCTCCTGGGTTTTGGTCTCTTGGTTTAAAGGGCCATCCCGTCATGGCTGGTAGTAATGAAGTCAACCTCAATGAATCCAAGGTATTGAAAATTCTTTGTTGCTCTGTTTCTCCCTTGTTTTTGGAGATTAAAAGCGATTGTCTTTTTTGCCTATTTTTTTTTTGGTTTCTGAGTTGAACGATTTTCTGTTAAATCTTTTGGCCATTCCTTCACCACTCAGTTTGGGGTTTATGTTCTTGTAAATTGATGTATGGGAATTTTTACTTAGATTATGACGAAAAGAATGGAGTTAACTCCTTGGATTTGGTTTTGAAAATTTGACATTTTTTAAGCTGCTTTTACTATGGCTATCATTTTCTTTTGCCGTTATAACTTATGGTTTATGGGGTTCTTTGTTGGATGTTCGTTTGATTTTTCCAACTATTTCTTTGTTGGGGTTTGGAGTTTGAGAGTCTGCAAACTTGTACTTCAAATTGAAGAAAACTTGAATTGGATTTTAGGCCCACCCATTTGTTTTCCTTTGTATGATTTGATTTGGCATTCCTCATTCAACTATTTCTAGCGGGTATGTGGGGTTTCAAGGGTTTATTCAACCTTTTTCTCTTTGCTGTTTTGGGTGTATAAGAATTTTTCATATATTTTCTGCTCGTACAGATTTTATGCAAGCAATCTAGCTCTCAACACAGAAGTCAAAGATTTTGGTGAATTTTTAGCTTTTAATTGAACAGAACATCTAATCTCTAATTTCTCTTGTCTTCTTGTAGAGGGTTGTGCCACTAAACACATGGGTCCTCATTTCAAATTTCAAGCTAGCATATAATCTCCTTCGCCGCCCGGATGGGAGCTTTAATCGTGATTTGGCAGAGTTTCTTGACCGGAAAGTCAATGCCAACACCATTCCGGTTGATGGAGTTTTCTCCTTTGATCATGTAGACAGAGCCACAGGCCTCCTTAACCGGATTTACCAACCTGCCCCTGAAAATGAGGCTCAGTGGGGCATTGTAGAGCTTGAAAAGCCTTTGAGCACAACTGAGATTGTCCCAGTTATAATCTTCTTCCATGGTGGAAGCTTCACTCACTCCTCTGCCAATAGTGCTATCTACGACACCTTTTGTCGCCGCCTTGTGAATGTTTGCAAAGCTGTTGTAGTATCTGTTAATTATCGCCGGTCACCTGAATATCGCTACCCATGTGCATATGATGATGGTTGGGCAGCTTTTAAGTGGGTTAAATCAAGAACTTGGCTTCAAAGTGGGAAGGATTCGAAAGTTCATGTATATTTGGCAGGGGATAGTTCAGGTGGTAATATAGCTCACCATGTTGCAGTTAGAGCAGCAGAAGCAGAAATTGAGGTATTGGGTAATATTCTTCTTCATCCAATGTTTGGCGGGCAAATGAGAACTGAATCGGAGCAAAGATTAGATGGAAAATATTTTGTTACAACTCAAGACCGCGATTGGTATTGGAGAGCATATCTACCCGAAGGGGAAGATAGAGACCATCCAGCGTGCAATATATTTGGTCCAAGAGGGAAAAACCTTGAAGGAATTAATTTTCCTAAAAGTCTAGTTGTTGTGGCTGGTTTGGATCTTGTTCAAGATTGGCAATTAGCTTATGTTGAAGGGCTCCAGAAAGCTGGCCATGAAGTGAAACTTCTTTATCTAAGGCAAGCTACAATAGGTTTCTACTTTTTACCAAATAATGATCACTTCTATTGCCTAATGGAGGAAATTAAAGCCTTTGTTAATCCTAACTGTTAATAGACAACTTAACCTTTACCTACAGGCAGCCAAATACATAATAGAAGCTTTGACACTTCACTTGGGTTCTCTTTTTTCCCCTCCCACTTTGCAGTGATGGTGTGTAGTTTTACAGGAATTTGTAGTATTCTATTACTTCTTACCATTGTCACCACTTGGGGTGGTGATATGTTCAGTTCTGTTTCTTTGGGAACTACTTGTTCTTGGTCCGGAGAGTGTTCTTTCTATCCGAGATAACCAGTTTCAGCTGCTACCAAGGATTCAGAACTTGTTAATGGCATTCTGCTGGGCCACCAAATTATTAAAAAAAAAAAAAAGACAATCACCTGCTTCACTTGTGCCCATAAATAATGGGGTAGGAGAAGCCTGAGGGTAGTGTTTGGTGGTTAATCAGTTTGTTTTAGTAAGTTGGTAATTTACAATCATAATTTCAGCGAATGAACTGGAATATATATCCATGTTGTCATGAAAATGTATGTCATACTTGTGTCCTAGAATATATATATATATATATACATATGAGTATATAAATATACTATAAAGATTTTGCTTGAATCTTATTTCTTTGCTCAATTCTGTTCTATAGCCGAGCTAATTGTTTTTACATCAGGTTTGGTGCTTAGATTTCTAGACTGATCATGTTGTAACATGGGAAAACAGAGGAACTTAGCATTGTTGTTAAATTTTGTTTCTTTTATGTCCTTTGTTCGTATAAAAAGACTAACCCAAAACAGAGTTCCATTGAGCAAGGTTTCAAATTGTACATTATAAAAAATAAGGATTGTTATTCCAATCTTTGGACTATAATAGTCCGGTGGTTGGGAAAAAATGGTGGTTGAATTGAATGATCTAAACATCATATTCACACTGTTGCATCCCATTAAGGACAATGGCCTCAAAATGGATCGAAAAAGCCTGAACCAGATGACAAAGAGGAAAGGAAAATTTGTGGCTTGGTATATATATGGCTATCAACTTGAAAATGGGTAAAAGAAAAGAAAAGAAACGAAAAGCAGAAAAAGGACTCGTGTGGGGATGGTGGTGCGGACCATTAAGATGTACACAGAAAAGCCAAAAAAGAAAGAAAGGAAGGAAGAAAGAAAGGAAAAGAAAAGCAGAGCATCAGGAAAAGAAAAAAGAAAAGAAATGAATGATTGGACAAAGAGTCGAAATCGTGGAGATCACCATCTTTCAACATCAAATTGATTAAATGTTGTCAGCTCCTGATTACCCATTGTAATTGGGTTTGTTTGGAGTTAGGGAAAATAGGCAAATACAGGAATTGGCTTTGTTTTGATGAGAGGAAACTCATCCTCTAGTGGTTGGGATTTTTGGAAGTACTATGAGGGACCACTTTGAAAAAACACACCACAAAACAAAACCCAAAACCTTATTATTATTATTATTATTATTATTATTATTATTTTAAATAAGCTGTTGGGATTGCTTTTAAAAGAGGCTTATTAATGGCTACTCTGTTGTACAAACAGCTAAAGGTTGGACAAGGACATGGAACCCTGTCCTTAATTGACTTTCTGAGCTTTTGCTTAGAATATATGCTTCGGTTTTGCATCTATCATCAATATTCAATTTTAAAAATAAAAAAAAAAAATAATGAAATTCTCGTTCGGATTAGCATGGTTTTGCTATGTCTTATTATGATTTGTCGTATGTAATTAGGTGTTTATGTTTTTGAAATATTCACTAACACGACACGGCAAAGTCATTGTCGTCAATATTAAAATAAAAATAGATAATTAATTTTCCCTTTATTAAAACTATATATAATTTATCTTAATGCCTCATCACTTACAGTTTCCGCGTTCATACCATTTGCCTCCTCCTTTTGAAATTTTTATTATATATTTTTTAAGATTTATTTATTACAAGATCGACCCACCAATATATTTATATTAAAATATAATAATTCTATACATAAAATCAATTTTAATAATTATTAGGATTGGAAGTGCTTCAGTTTCAAATGCTCCCATTAGATATTTGGTGGGTCATGCATATTTAGCTCTTCTTTTTTTTTTTTAAGCAATTTATTTGGATTTAGCTTTCACATGTAACAAATTTGACTTGACTCAATTGATGATATAAATTAGAATTGAATTAAGAATATTATTTATTAAACATTTATTTGTTTTAAAAGAAATTAAATTAAATAAAAATCTGACAGCAAGAATTACATTTCATCACCATTATCTTAATTTACTTATTATTATTATTTTTTATTTTTACCTTTGAAAAAATGCCATTTTTGGTTTTGTTTTTCCCTTCAGAACAGTAAAACCAAACCATTCCTAGTGTTTCAAATCCTTGAAAATGAGAAGATTGCAAGAAAATTCCTGGCCCAAACTGGGGCATCAGTGATAGGGATTGTTGGATTTATTCCACAAGAAAAATAAAATGTCGTGTTAATAATACAAAAGGGACAGCTTCATGTGCATCCATTAACATCTAGACAACAACACAACAAGAGAAAATACAGTAGTAGCTGACACAACTCTGATGGAGCATAAAAAAATATTCACATATTTACAACTGAAAAAACACAAAAAAGGATTGAATTGAATAATACAACATGAAAATAACCATACAGGAACAGGCTAATGCCTTTGCTTTGTTGCACGTGGAAAACGATGATATTCAATTTTAAACAAACCATATTTTTTTTTAAAAAAAAAATATATCCAAAAGTTTGTTTTTGGTAATATTGACAAGTTCTTAAAAACATTGTCGGGATTTGAATTTTTCAGAGAGATATATTGTTGGAGTTTTTAGACTGGAAGAACATTTTTTTTAAGCTGAGTGCACTAACTCTTTTTTTGAACATTAGCTTGTTACATCAAAGAAATAAGTTATGGATAAAACTAAAAATAACAACCTAATTCGGAGCAGCCAGTGGTAAATTGTGATTGGTTTATGAGATTGTCTAGAGTCACATGGCACTAGCATACAAGATTGGGATGGAGATGAATTTATTTACTAAAATTGGAAGAGTAAGAAGATTAGCACTTTTGGGTGCATGAATTCTGTATTGATTAGCCAAAAAATGTCATCACTTTCATGCCTTGTTTAATTTTGTCGTTTTGGGCCAGATACGTTCCCCCCCGTCTTTGCTTTTAACAATTTCATTTTAGCTTTAGTCCAAGACCAGAAGAAATAGCACAAGAAATTACCTTCATTATATAATAAATTTAAATAATAAATTTAAATGAAAAATAATTATTAAGATCGAGACACGTGTAATTCGTTAGAAAAAAAGAAGCATGCAGAAAAAAAGAAAAAAAAAAAAAAAACATATGAAGTAAAAACCCAACTGGCCATAAAAAGACAAATTCACTAAACGGAAAACTTTGTTTTTTTCTGGTTCAGTCAAGCAGTGTGAGGTGTCTGCTCTGCTCTCTGCAGGTCTTTGGCTCAGCCAACCACGTTCCCTATCATAAAACTACTGACTCTTATCATCCACCACAGTTTAGAATATACAGAGTTGGAGACGACAGTAGAAGCAGAACCAACATCTCTGTTTCAAGAATTTCCAATATATACCACAAAAATTGGGGAATTAAACAAATCAAAATTCCTAGGCTGATATCAATTTCTGACAGAACATAAAATCCATTAGTTTTTGCTTTAAAAGAAGAAAAAAAAATGCCATCACCGTATGATCAATTCATTAACGAAACCACAATCTCATTCAGAGTGTTACCATACCATGAAAAAGCAGCCCCAATAAGAGTGCACATAAATGTCATGAAAACAACCAGCTTGGAAGAGACTTCAACACCATTTTTAACTCTGGAATCCAGAGTCTCATTCGCAATTTATTCATTTTTTCCCCATTAACTAGTATTTTACAATGCCAACTACAACGTTCCACGATCCAATATAAGAGTAGAAAAACATAAAGAAGAGTGACCCGGTACACGAAGCATCCTACATGTGTGTGAGATGCTACATTGTGTGGAGTTGATGTATTTAGCTTTCTCCCTACTTTTCTGTAGAGGTTGTTCCCGTGAAGAGTAGAAAACCGTGCATCCAAAAAATGATTAAAGTGCAAGTTTAAGCCATTCAATGGAATTTTTTTTTTTTTTTTTGACAACAGAAAAAGAGCCTACTAAGTGTGTTAGTCATTGTCTACGCCGGCTCAAGCCACCGGTTAAATGTTGACGTCTAAGACACCCACCCGTTAGGCACCTAAACCCCAAGCACTGGTGGGAGACCATGTCCCCTTCCCGCACGATCATGACATTGTGGTTTACAATCCATGATAGCAAAAGCCCAGTCTGAGGAAGCCCATGTCAAGTGGGCCATGTAGGATGCGCTCAAGGAGGATCATATCCTGATCTAGCAGGTGGATGACAAGGCCTTTACCACCAGGCCACCACCTCAGGTGGTCCATTCAATGGAATTGTTGTATTGGTTCTGAGCTCAAGAATATTACACAAATAGAGTTCTTTATGGTCCACCTCTGCAAACTTAACCTCCCTCTCCAGACCAAAATCACTTCACAAAACCCTCAAGCATCACTGAAAATTTGGTGGGCATATGTTGAATAAAACTTGTTGAATCTAGATTGGTACCAGAAGAATCAGTTCCAGTGTTATCAGATGCTATCCTAGAACATAATAACTTCAGCAATTGAAAAAACTAAGTTGTTGAATACGATTCCGTGACCTCCATATGTAACCCAAGGAATCACTTTTAACCCACAGCTAAAATTTTCATGAGATGGTAAGCAAACACTAACAACACTCTTGCAAGTTAACCCATATTTATATCTCCCAGAACTGAAGGCAAAAGTTTACCCTATTCTCAGCTGTTGTAACATTCAACATAAGTAGGTCAAATTAATTAGAACACAGGTGGCCAACTGGAATTTACGCCCAAAAAACACACCATCCTGCATGCCTTGTTCAATCTTTAATTCAATTTCTGTTGGCATTCAGCTTTGTCGCAGTCCATCATACAGTGTTCAATGTTTCTGCATTGCCATAGAAAGCAAATCAACTAAATATCAAGCCAGCCCAAAAAAAAGTAGAGAAAAAAAAGAAACAGTTGATATTTTTGCCTCATAGTTTTGAGCAAAATTACTTATATACTCCAAGGGAAAAAATTGAATTGAATCTCCTATTCACAAATAAATATATATTCTAGAGGTTTCTGTGTGAAAGAATTAGGATGCTCGGGATGTTTTCCCTTCACCAGCTTTAAGAGGAAAAAGTGAACCTTATTTGCAATAGTGGATAGTTAAAAATTAGACAGAACCAGATCAAGCTCATAACAGTTTACAAACAAAATCATTGAGATTTAAGTGGTAGAAGTTACTCTTTTTTTATGATTCATAGGAGGCAATTAAATGGGTCAGGCAGTAGCCCTCTCTTTTCAATAACATTCGCCAAATTAGAGATAACTTTTGTGGTGTAAAGGCGTCAAAATGAGACCTCTCACTCCCTATATCCATTATAGAACGTGAGAAGACCAACTACACTACATCTGGTTTGCAGTAGAAGTTATTCATTACTATATGTAAACGATATTCACATTCAATATCAAACACACCAGTCCGTCACCATTTATGCTTCTAATGCATTACGACAGTGAAATGGCACAAATTAACTTTAAAATGACCATGCAAAAGTTTTCCACATTACCTTGTAAACACTACTCCCTCCAATCCCCCTACCACCTTCCTTTTCTTCCTTTCCTTCTCTTCTGTTGCTTATGAATCACGTTATTGAGTGAATCACTTCTAGGAACAACAAAATTTCTACACCAGCAACCGGTGCTTATACTAAGGGCATCAAGCTAGTTTGAGAGCTTAAACTTTATTAATAGGAAAAAAACAGAAAGGGATAAAAGGTTAGATCCTGGAGGGAACGAAAGTAAGAAACATCTTAAGAGGGAAAAGCATTATTTTCCATCAACTAGAATTACAATATCCATATTCACTGGCTCCTGTGATTTTCTTCCCAACAAATGGGAAACAACCTCCTACATGCCTGAGCGCAAGTCCTTCAATCAAGAAGAATTCTGGGCACTATAATTGTTATATACAGCAATAAAGACAACAGAATTCCATTGCATTGCAATGTTCCATTGATTAGAAAGTGAAAAAGAATATATAATATCATATCATACTGAAACATGACAGAAATCATGGAAGGAAATATAATTTAGATGAATGCAAACTCACTGCCGTAATATGCAAAGTCAGTTGACCATATGACAATGACATGGAAATTCAGGGAAGAGATGTCAATAGTTGCTGAAGTTCATACTTAAATTTATTTATGCAATATCACCATCCAAAATTTGGTAGAAGCATGAAGACAGAGAAATTTTTACTAACATATAGAGTTAACCAGTTCTGAAGAAAGTTGATGTTAAATAAATGGAATGCATATCACCAAATTTGAAAACTGACTTGGAGGTGAAAGGAAACCAAAGTGGTTCCAAGGTTACAAAGCTCCGTGAAAGATATTTATTTGGATATTAAATAAAAAAGAGTGTAGATCAATATAATAGCCAGGCAGATAAAAGATTTCCTTACTAAGCAATCTCAGCATTAATAGCTTGAATTTGAATCATGAAAACAGGAACCCTTGCCTACAGCTGTTCTTATCTTTGTAATGCAAATCCTATTCCTAGAGATTTTAAGAGTATTTATTTAGGGAAAAAAAAAAATATATAAATATAAAAAGTAGAAATTGCAGGAATTTGTGACTGAGTATTCCAATTAGATTAAGCTGGATTCCTAATCCATTCCTAGGGTTATCCAAAGACTATAAATGGGCCAAATTATTTACATTATAATCAGACTTTGTTATGGCTATGATAATTATCTGAGAATAAAACAATGGAGAATTAGTTTTCTCTTATTAAGGATTTTTTCCTTGTTTGCCTTTGTTCTTTCTTGTCCTACACCACTATGGCTCGTAACACAATGAACAAGAATATTGGCTACCAGCAGATGCTTACAAACTGCTAAGAGCATAAGTAAATAATGTTGGGAAAAAATTACGCAAAATCCCAAATAAGTCAGAAAATAACACACAATTTGATAACGGAGTTCGGCCAATCTCGCCTACGTCTCCGGACTGCCAACACCAGACAATCTTTGATAACGGAGTTCGGCCAATCTCGCCTACGTCTCCGGATCTTGCTACAGATCTTTAAAGAGAAAAAATAATAAAGTGTTTACTACACTCACCAAACTCCTCTTTTCAGATACCCGACCAAATTAAGCGTAATTTTTCGTTACTTTGAAAAATCCCACCTATTTTTCTCTTCTCAACAATTGCTCTCCACCTCTCTCTATCTGGTGGTGATTAAATGGAAAATTCTATCCTCTATTTCATAGGAGAGAAAAAAATGCGTGAATGAGTGAAAGTAGCTAAAGCCGAATTCAAATTGCAATGGCCACCGCAATTCCAATTTAACACAAATTACTCATGTGCCACCCGACCTTTCATTATTTCTTTCCTCCTTTGTTGAATTAGTAGAAATACAAATGCAAATTTCTGCCACAATGTGTTGTTTTATTTTCAACCTTTGCCCGACATCACTTGACAAATCCTCTCCACTTTGAAGATGATTTTAATTCTGTCTCACACCATCGATCACGTGGCAGTCTTCTCTGGTCTATTATTCAGGCAGGCCAACTGAAATTGAGCAAACTTCAGTTTTTGTCAATTGGCTCACCGACTTTGTTAACGATAATTCAGCTGGATTCTTTTGTTTCCTTGCAATCTTTCTCTAATAATTTAGCACAATCACTTCTCCCAGCAGAGACCTGATGAAATCGATATCGAGACCAATGTGGTTTTTTCTAGAAATGAATGCTGAATTCTTTGCAATGTATCGCACTCTGACAATCACACTGTACGAAAACATTCTTTTCCTGCTTGAATCCCCAACTCTGTTAAACAAACCTTGAAGCCAAATAATCATCTCTGCTGGCTTCTGTCATTGCGGCGATCTGATTCAGCTTTGTGGTGGATAGAGCTTACAATCTCTGTACCTTTGGGATCCATCCACAAACAGCTTGTAGGTAACCAACAGTGAAAATATAACCTGTGGTGCTTCTATGCAGTTGATCAATGTCGCCGTCCATAGTCTGCTCTAACATAACTTGTATCTTTTAGGTTCTCCTTTACCACAGAGTACATAGACACTTGCTCAGTAGTGCCCTCGTAGATACCTCTCAAATCCACATTCACCGCTTTACCCAATGAGCTTTCCCTTGGATTTGATCATATTACCGTGCCTAACAACTCCCACTGCCATGGCAATATCCTGGTTCGGACAGACCGAAATCTGCATACATCACACTCCTTATGGCTAAGCATAAGGAATTTTGGGCCAATGTCTTTTCTCTGCTTATTACCGTACTGAAGGGTAACTGGTCCCCTTGATAGGCAAAATGCTAGCCAGGGTGTGCTGCACTCGGCTTAGCTCGTGTCATATTGAAAGTTTTGCCAATACACGATTGATGTGAATCCGCCTGAGATAACTGCAACAGCCTTTTTGTGCTTATCATTCTCTCGTGATTGCATTCCAAGAACTCTTTCGCTATACCCAATCCTTCGATTGTCAAATTCTTTTGACAATACTGCTTCTTCCAGTTTCTGATATCATCCTGATTTGAAACCTGATACTGATACATACTCTATCATACAAAAGCAGTAAAAATGATATATGACTGGACCTGTTATCTTTGAAGAAGCAATAAGTGGTCGGCGTGCACTTCTGGAAGCCTTCAATTGTATTAAAACTTGTCGAATCTTTATTATAAACCACTGTTCTTGGACTTGTTCAGTCCATACAAGCTCTTCTTGAGTTTGCACCACCATTAATTCTCTTTTCCTTTTTCGTGAGAATCACTTCTGGCTGTACTACTGTTATCTTCCTTCATCCAAGTCTCCCGTGAAAAGAACGCCGTTTTACGTCAATTCTGTCAAGTAGAGCCTTCACTAGCAACAAAATACTCTAACACAGACCTGTATAGTATTGGAGTTTTTACAACTGGTTGCAAAATAAATTTCCGGTGTATCAAGCTCCTTCCCTTCCTGCTGGAACCCTTGTTGTACTTACCCAGCAGCTTGTGTGTATCTGTCTTAGATCTATCTCATGTTTCCTGCTTTCACTCTGTATCATATGATTTCGTGTATCTCCATTATTTGTTGAAGTTGCCTTTCTTTCTCTACGGGTAATTCTCCAGCTAGTTCCCATGTTTTGAGTTGGAGATTTAAAGACTTCATTTCGTCTTTCTGGAGAGGGCGACGTTTTTTTCTCTGTAATCTCTGCTGTTTGACATGCTTTCCTCAAGCATTCAGGTTTCTCCTCCATCGTGTTAATAACAAATAATTCATATATTTTCTGTTCAAGGCTTGAGGACCTTCAGGACCTTCTTAACCTGCTTGTGGAGGAGAAGTTTGTAGTGTGCTCAATCGATCGCGTCTATTGCATGGATCTTGAATAAACTCATCTCGGCAGACTTGTGAGATGTTCGTCGACCTCTTACAAACACTGGCCCACGTTCTGCCTCTGAGTCGCTGGCCAATTGTGGTCATGTTGTTGTTCTTGTACATCATTCTTCATTAAAAGACTTACAATCTTCTGCTCGGATCACTTTCTTGTGCGGTATCCAAACTCATCACCGCCATAGCCAATGAAAATGCATTTCTTAGATTTGGGATCAAGCTTATTCCTGCCATGATCACTTATATGCACATATGCTACACAACCGAAAACTCTTAAGTTTGAGAGTTTTACTTCTTTTCCACTCCATACCTCTTCTGGTATTTTGTACTCCAATGGTACCGATGGACCTCGGTTGATCAAGTAAGCTGCTGTGTTGAATGCTTCTGCCCAGAACTGCTTTGGTAAGCCTGATTGTACACGTAAGCTTCTGGCTCTTTCTGTCAACGTTCGATTCATGCGCTCAGCTACACCATTGTGTTGAGGCGTTCCTGGCACGGTTCTCTCCATCTTGATTCCAATCTTGATTCCATGCTCCATAGCAGACGTTTTCTTGAATCTGGGTCTCAAATTCACCAACCATTGTCTGTTCCTAAGCTTTTTTTTTTAATTTTCAGTCCTGTCCTCAATTTTATTTTCAACCATAGCTTTCCAAATTTTGAAAGCATCAAATACTTCTGACTTATATTTAGAAAGTAAACCCAAACCTTCCGAGAGTGATCATCAATAAAAAGTCACAAGTAGTTGGTTTCCCACGAATGGATGAGACAGTAGTTGGTCCCCCACACAGCTCAGAGTGTAAACAAGCTCAAGTTTCTCCTTCTTTGGTTCTTCCCTATTTGTCTTGACAAGCCGACCTTTTCTGTTCTGCTTTCAAAATAGCAAGTCTTCACACATGTCCAAATTTCAATTGACATTAAATGACCTGGTATTTTGTCCCTGTCGAAGTGTAAGACATCTTCATTCCTTTCATACTCAATTGATGGCCAAGCCTAATGATGCCATAAAATGGGTAGTTTCAAACATGTTTGCTGCAACAGCAGGAATAGCTTGCTCCTCCTTGTGCTGTAAAGAGTAAACCACTCCTTACTTCCACGAGCAACCAACAATTGCATCCTTGTAATCTTCCACATTATACCTGTGAAGGTTGTTGTGTAGCCTTCGCTGCCAAACTGCCTACTGAGATTAAGTTCTTTTCTCAAGTCAGGAATATGTTTCTGACAATCCTTTCAATTCCCCATTAGCCCGTTCAACCAACATCTTCACAACTCCTTAACCAACAATATACATGGTTGGTCATTACCAAAGGTAATACTTTTCCAAAGTTTCCGGGGGTATACCCTTTCAAGGAGTCTTTTATGTGAAGTTGCATGGAAAATACCTCCGGAGTCTCAAAACCCAAAGACTTCCTGCTTCGCCTCTCAAAGAGCATTATAAGCGCTCATCTTCTCCTGAGTGGAGGCAACATTTGCTTCTACTTCCCCTCCTAGTTCTTAGAATGCATTCTTTGCAAAAACTGATTTTTATATATAGTGCCCAGTTTTCCACAATTTCCCAAACATTCCGATGGACTTCGTGTTTATGAAATTGCTGGATTCCTGGAGTTTGACCTCCTGTCCTTTGATTTGCCTCAGTAGTTGACTCTACCGTCGTACCATTTCCTCTGGTTTGAATTTCTCCTCTTGATTCTATAGCAACGACTGAAAAGTTGAAGGTTCAAATCTGACTCTCTCCGTCGGATCTCTCAACTGAGAAACCTAGGTCACTGAACATCATCACCAATTTTAACTTCTTGCTTCCGGACGAGCTACTTCACAAGCTCTGAACAATAAAGCATTCCAAACTTTCTGGTAGGGAAGACAAAAGTATCAATGCTCGTACCTCTGTCATCCAAATTCCAATTTTCAAACTGAACTCATTGGGTTGTCACTGTTATTGAGTTTCATTGAGATGTTGGGCCCACACCGATGGCGCTTTCCGTCATTCGTAGAGTTTGAATAAAGCCGCCTCACAGTGACACTTATTTGCTGGCCGACTGGGCTTTTCGTACTATTGGAAAGAGCCGCCATAAGAAGACCTGCCAGTGGTCTTTTCTTTGCCTAGTAGAAGCAACATTGTTGCGGGAGAGGGTTAAAGCGAAATAGAAACCCGAGTGGCTTGGTCTGTCTAGAAGATTCCACCATCTGTCCTTTCCTTCAAATAGCCTCTTGGCCTTTATTCCGGAGAGCAGGTTGGAAAAGACTTTCGGATTACAGATAATCCTTATCTCGCATTTCCAAAACCAAAAATCTGCAAACCATCCGAAATTTTTCATTTTCCACTTTTCCTTTTCCTTCATCTGCAGCCATTGCTCCCACTCGAGTCTAACTCCGCCTTGATTGTTAGTATACGTGAATAGTAACCGTATACGTGAATAGTACTATACAATAGTAATAGTACACGTAAATAGTACTATACGTAAATAGTGCTGGGCTGAATAGTCACGGGTTCAGCAACAGCCAACAGTACTGTTCACCACCAACTTTGAGATATTGTTTTGCTATTCACCACTAAGTCGATTCTGCAACGACTTTCCGAGCGGACAACACCGATAGACTCGTCGTAATTTTTTCGTCGTCGTGGTATATTTATTTTTGAAATATATCCACGAATATTTTGAAATATAATCCACGAATCCGATAAGAGTACCGTCCTAAACCAGGCTGGAACCTGCCGGAAAGCCTTCGGCTCTGATAACAGTTGTTGGAAAAAATTACGCAAAAATCCCCAAATAAGTCAGAAAATAAACACACAATTTGATAACGGAGTTTCGGCCAATCTCCCTACGCTCTCCGGACTCTGCCACACAGATCTTTTATAGAAGAAAAATAAATAAAGTGTTTACATACACTCACAACCCTCTTTCAAGAATACCCGAAAAATTAAGCTTAATTTTTCTTCTTGAAAAATCTCACTATTTTTTTCTCTCACAATTGCTCTATCACAATTGCTCTCACTCTCTCTATTTGGTGTGTATTAAACGGATAAATGGAAATTCTTTTATAGGAGAGAAAAAATGCGTGAATGAGAGAAAGAGCTATGCAATTCAAATGCAAATTGGCCACCAATTCCAATTTGCACAAATTTAACATGTGCCACAGACCTTCATTATTTTCTTCCTGCCTTTGTTGATTAGTAGTCCAATTTGCACAAATTTAACATGTGCCACCGACCTTCATTATTTTCTTCCTGCCTTTGTTGATTAGTAGAATACAAATGCAGCCACATGTTTGTTTTATTTTCAACCTTTGCCGACATACTTTGACAAATAAAACATAACAGGATAAAAGAATAAGTAAATAGATAAGGCATAGTATGAAACTCAATGTGTACCTATGGATTATTGGAAATCTCAATTCCATAGAAAATTTTGATGAACCATTCACATAATCAACTGAATGCCTTCTGTAATTTGTGATGCATGGAATGCAACTGTGTTAGTAGGCATGTCATGATGGAGATGCACCCAAAGGAATCCCATATCCATGCTTATACATCAATCCTGTTACTTGTTCAGCCTTGTACTTTTGACCGCACATTAAATAGGCTTTATATAATATCACAAATGTCCTTCTTGTGGGTTCCAACTTGAAATTCTCCATTTCATAAAGGACGCTCTCCATTTCATGCAAGCGCTTCTGTGATCCATACATGACCATTTCACAATGGTATAGTGAGCGGCAAATTCTCCATCCTGCATATTCAGCACGTCTCACAAAGTCTGCAAGCTTGTCAACTGCATTGTATCTGAAATAGGTAGAAATAACGGCCCGCATCACCCTGACTGTTTTTACTGCAGTGCTGTGCTTAAATGCGTTGTTTATACATTCCTCCATTCCCTCTAACATGTCTTCTTGTGCATAAACTCTAATCAACAAGACATTCAACCAAGGCCTATATTGCTGCTCCGGAATAATCCTCAATAGAGACTCAATCTTTTCAACTCTATTAGTAATTGAACTCTTACAATATGCACATATCATTGTCCTAATTAATGGCAATTCTTTAACATTTACATCGTCTTTTACCAATCCATATATCTCTTCCATTTTCTCTACATTCCCAGAGTGTGCATAGCCTCGAAGCATTAACAAGTAGGTGTTACGATCAGGCTTAACTGGACTTTCCTTCATCATTTTAAAAATTTTTTCCATGCTGTCCCACTTCCAACCAGTGAGATAGCCAGCAATTAAATTATTGTATGTGCATACATTTGGCGAGATATTTAAATACTTTAGCTCCTCAAATGTAGCCTCCATGTGATCAACTAGCAGTGAGCGACCAAAGACTGATATAAGAATGTTATATGTTGCAACTGAAGGATCAAAATTTGGCTCCTTTTTCCACTTCAGAAACACTGATCGACATTTATCACCTTGACCATTGTACATGTAAGCACTCATCAATGCATTATACATACTTGTTGTCTTAAGATTCTTGCCACTAGCCTCAGCAAAGAGCTCTACTGCAAGATCGACATTCTTAGCTCTGCCAGCAATTGTTATACCCTTGACATACTCCTCTGATGTCATAAGAGTGATCCACGGTAATTGTGTTCTTCTCCAATTAAAAACCTGAACACAAAACTTTAATTATATATCCATGTCTTTTTTTTTAAAAAAAAAATCCCATGGCAATAAAATGTTCTACTCAAAAAATAGATAGACCAAATAATTATTATATTTCATTTGTACCCCAACAGCTTCCATAGTTTCAATATACCACTAGAGTGCAAAAATGTTTCCACAAAATAACAAAATTTCTTTAGATAAAAGCATCAGAACAAGTTAATTATGTAGTACAAGCATAAATAGCTAAAAATGATCTAACATAAACAAATTTCATACTAAATTGTTTGCTTCTTATGACCCGAACACAGTAAAGTAGTAACAAAAAGGAAAAAAAAAAAAAAAGTCCAGAAAGAAACAACGGTTAAACAAGTAAGGATGCTGGCTGGAACATATCAATTTAAAAAACACAAACACACAAGCAATAGGCTGACAAAGAAGCAAACTAAACAACAATCCAGACCAATTCCATAAAAGAAAATCAACCATGGATGCCAAGCAGTATACACAACAAAATAAATGCAAAGCAAGAACCTGTACGGCTAAGTTAGGCCACGAAACCAACTGCTGCAGGAGCTCAACGAAAGCAGATCCATTGCGATACCTCCTCAACAAGGAACTAACATTCCCCTCCAAAACCTCAACAACCTTATCAAAATCCCCAACATGTTGAACCAATTCGTCCCGTAAATTCGAGATCGTTTCTTTCAAACCCTCCCATTCTTCAGGTTCAGCATGGACGAATTTGTTAGAGAAAAGCTCGATGATGTTACCGAAAGAGTTGGTAGGCTGTGAAGTGTGAGTTTGCGCGCGGGAAAGTCTGTAAATTGGGGACTTGGTGGAATTGAAAATAGAAGGGGTTAGGGTTTGGGGTTTTACAGAGGATCTATGGAAGCAGAGCAGCTCCGCCTGGGCTGCGTCTGAGATTTTGAGTACTCGCTTCATGTTCTGGTAATTAGCACAACAATAAACGTGTTCATATTCGAGGGTTTTAGGAGGGTTTATCCAAAGAGTCAATGAGATTAGGAAGAGAAGCGACAGCGACTGCCGCGCTATGCTATTGATAGATAGTCGCCATTGGCCAGTAGCGGAGATTGTGAGGTGTTTGTTGACTGAGAATCTGAATGTGATCAAAGCCGGAATTAGTGTTAGAGAACCGGTCCAGTGTGCAGGCGACAATTCAACAAGCGACTCTGGGCTTTACTTGGGCTTCAACTGCAGGCTTTTCGGTCGTTGGATTATGTCCAGCCACAACATTGCTTTCTTTTCTTCTTTTCTTCTTTTCTTCTTTTTTTTTTTTTTTTTTTTTTTTTCTTTCTTTTCTTTTTTTTTTTTTTTTTTTTTTTTTTGTTTTTGAAATATCAAAATTACCCCTTACAATTTTGTTGGTCAACGAAAGCAAGTAGCTGAGAAATAGTATCGGTTATCAAAACGAAGCGGACGCAGCGAATGAGCGCAAGATAGTCCAACCGTGGATAGAGATAGACCAAATAAAATAGGAACCTCCAGGGATCAAACTCATGGCTAAATGTCAATGATCGGTGCAGTCTATATGCGATCCTGTCGACTCCACGTATCCAATCATTCTCGTCCACCGTGCACTCGATGTGTCAATCCCATCCAGCATATCCATAGTACAAAGAAAAACAAAAATTCTCTCTATATCTCTGTATATAGTTATGTCCTGCAATTCCCTTGAAACCTTTAGCTACCGACCAAGAAATATTTGTAAGTGCATAAATTATCGTCTTGATCTTCTTCTTTACATTTTCTTGATTTTCTGGTTCAATTTTCCATTTCATTTTTTGCTTTCTAGTGATATACAACTTAGGTGTTCTCTTTGCAGCTTCAGGTAATTAATGATTTAGTTACTGTTTTAAATGATTAAGTTTTTCTTGCTGTGGAATTTCAGTTGGTCACATGTACTGGAAATCGGAAATTGAAAATTAGTTGATTGCTTTAGTCGAATCTGATAGTACATATGAGGATAGCTTGCGAAAACATATTTTTGTCTAAGAAATTGTTATATTTTGCAGTAAGTGGATGAGTGCTGATGAAAAGGTGGAAATTTTTCATTGTACTCTCTGTTTGTTTGCTTTTGTATTTGGAACTGGTTAAAGACGCATGATATTATTTTGGCCCGAGCTTAAAAACGAAAAAGGTTAAGGAAGCTTCTTAGCATTTTCACATGTTTTATTGGATTAGATAGATAACTTCTAATTACAGTTCTTAATCCTTTAGTTTTGGAACTAAAGGAGAGTTTTAAACTTTTATTATTGCAGGATTCGCATTACAGAATCCCAGTTGACGTGATATGAAAAGTAGGCAGCGTTGTCAATGCTTTTGTAGTGCGAAATATTGTGTTTGGTGTTGAATTACAATGTATTTTGTTCCTGCTTGGGCTTCCATCGATGAAATGGGTTATGCCATGAGTAGACTGGAGATTGATTCTGATCCTTGTGATGGAGGTAGAAACATAAATGAAATTGGTAATGGCCAGAGATCCAATAAATCATTGACTAATTTAGATCATGAAATTTCCCTCAATACAAAGTTGAAATCAAGGCCCCATGACCGGCTAGCCCAAGTGATACCTGGAAAGAGGGAGTATGCTGTTTCCACAGTTAAGATGCTGGCAGGTCGAGAGGGCAATTATTCAGGGAGAGGGAGGTTCTCTGCAGCTGATCGTTGTCATATGCTTGGAAGATATTTGCCAGTCAATGGCCCTTGGCTTATTGACCAGATGACGAGCAGGGCCTATGTCTCACAATTTTCAGCTGATGGTTCTCTATTTGTTGCTGGGTTTCAGGTATTCTATTTAGTATTTATAGCTTTGCATTTGGACTGGATATGGGAAATTGACAGTTCATTGAGCAAGGAAAGCACAATCATTGCACTTGTTCGCTGATGCTTTCTTTCTTGTTGGGGGGCTGCAAATATACATTTCAGGGAAGCCACATTAGAATATATAATGTAGAGAAAGGATGGAAAGTTCAGAAGAACATTCTTGCCAAAAGTTTGCGTTGGACAGTTACTGATACATCTCTTTCACCAGATCAACGCTATCTTGTCAGTTTGTATATCTGGATATCTCTTTAATATGCTAGAACCTAATATCAACACTGTTCAAATGCCTAAATGAGCATTTAGCTTGCTGTTGTAGGTCTATGCCAGCATGTCGCCTATTGTCCATATTGTTGATATTGGATCTTCAGCAACAGAGTCACTTGCAAACATCACGGTATGTATTGGTTATTGCTTGTATTTGTTACATGTAGATTTAGTTGAATAAAGATAGTATGGAATAAACACAAATCTCTGATGTCTTCTCATTACATTTAGCAGTCAGCATTAAACTCTCTTTCTAAATTTCGGTCATGCTCTTGTTAACATTATTTACTTGAGATTTACCCATCTCAAGTGGGGAGTAGAGGCAATATAGATTAGTTTTGCCCTTGGAATGCAAGTCAAGACCTAATGACAGCAAAGCTTCACAATTGGTGCTTAATCCAAGAATTTTGTTTGTTCTGATTGATCTTTTTTGTTTGAGATTTTTAATATGTATATTATTTATGCATAATTCTTATGCTTTGCAGGATATCCATGATGGATTGGACTTCTCTGCTGATGATGATGGAGGTTATTCTTTTGGAATCTTCTCTGTGAAATTTTCTACTGATGGACGTGAGCTTGTTGCAGGAAGTAGTGATGATTCAATATATGTATATGACCTTGAAGCAAATAAGCTTTCACTTCGAATTTCAGCACATGCAGTATGTTCACAATCATGATAAGCACCTTTATCGTCCCTTATTTGATTTTCATAATGGTAGCTTGATTATTTTTCTCTCTGAAGTTTCCACTTCATCAATTCCTTGAACTTCTAGACGTTCCTGTATTCGCTGCAAGTAACAGAGAATATTGAATGTGAAGACTCTGACCCAGCAGATACAGAATCAGCATTTAGTGTCTATTCCAACTGGTGGTAGGAAATAATTGAAGATTAAAGAGCCAGTAACATATGAAGGGCCACATAATGTTTCAAGTTCATCACAAACTCAATATGATATTCTAATGATGATATGCTGAGGAAAAAATTTGATTCTGTCCTTTTAATTGTGAAAGTATTCACACACTTCTCATTTCTACCTCCTTTCTTTCTGAAATTCATTTGTATCATATATGAATGATGTTGCCTTTGGTACTGCACAATCTGTATTTCATCGAGTTGAGAGGTACAGCTTAGAGTCATAATCACCATGCTAGATAATTATGATTCAGCCATACAGGTTTTAAATGTCCATGCATGTTACTATTTGCAGACATGCAATCTTTAACCATTGTTTGTGTACTGAGAAATTGCAAGAACAGAGAGAAAGGGAAGGGAAAATAGGAGAGAACAGAATCGCGGCCATTGTTTGTGTACTGAGAAACTTGCAAGAACAGAGAGAAAGGAAGGCGAAAAATAGGATGAGAAACAGATCGCGGGGGGGGGGGGGGGGGGGAAGAGAAGCAAGAGAAATAGTAGATTATTGTCTAGTGAGAAATTACATACTATCCTTCAATACAACATGGCTGCTTATTTTATATTGGACTGGTTTGAATCAACTGCTACATTGTTATACTTAATAGCTAAGTCAAGTCAATATGAACAATGTATCCGCTCTGAGTGCGTGATATTATTTAAACCAAAAAAAAAAAAAAAAAAAAAAAAAAAAAAAAAAAGATAAGACACCCTCATGTATGGTGTGGTTTTTTACAGTGTTGTGGCGCATGGGAGCTGGTCCTTTGGGATCCTACATTGCTTGTTGAGTGGGCGTGTGCATGAGATATATGGATTAGCATACTATGTCAAAATTAACATGGTTTTGGTAAAGGTTGTGTCATATTCTTGTCTCATGTGTCTGTGTTGTGTTGTTTTTGGGAAAAAAAATGTAATTCCAACAGTGTATGCACCAAACTAATATTTAATATCAAGTGATATGAATTTATAGGGGAAATAAGGTAACTAAGAAGCTTGATAGGATATGATCTTTTGTAAATGTGACCTTTAAACCAGTGGATTTTGCATAACCTTTTTGTTTGGTTCAATTTGAGTTTCTTTTCTTCGTGCCAGCTTTTCCTCTCTGACAAGGTTTCAATAAGTCACCTACCTTCAAGGTTGGAATGAGTACTTGGCACAGGTTTTAAATTAAATTTATTTTGTTCTGAATGCTGCAGTCTGATGTTAACACTGTATGTTTTGCTGATGAAAGTGGCCATCTTATCTATTCTGGGAGTGATGATAATCTCTGTAAGGTGAGTTTAATTTCTTGTATACAAAGCATTAGCTGAATTGAAATTTTTAGTTGTTACTTGTTAGGCTAGTTTCCTGAAATAATTTTCAATATTGTGACAAAATGGTATTTAGAGAGAAACCAGTGAAATAGATTGTCTAAGTTTGGTTTATATTTAGAAGTGAAATTGGCTAGGGCATTGACTGATCAAACAGATTGCATCAGACATATTTAACGGTTATCCTTCAGCACTCTACAACTCACAAGAATAAAAGCATCATTTAGTGTTTAAGTGCTAACTAAGTTGGTTTACCGTTGGTAAGCTTTTGCACATTTTCGTTAATCCATGAACAGGATCTATATAGACACATAGACTCGGAGCCAGACATCTCGATCGGAAAAGAATCAATAGAAAAAGAAAGAATCAGAATTTGATCACTATATTTCTCGTCTATATAGACACATAGACTCATGGAGCCAGACATCTCGATCGGAAAAGAATCAATAGAAAAAGAAAGAATCAGAATTTGATCACTATATTTCTCGAAACAAAGACAAAGGAAGCGAAAAATGTCTGGCAATACTGGTAATATAACGGTTTTCATCAACTGATGGTGCAATATAAGTGACTTCTGTGTACTAACTACTAAGATCCTTTCACTTTAGAACTTTGATACAGTTGTTTGTAGGACTTTTCATTAGTTGTTTTATGTGACAGTCACTTACTATGTTGACCAATAGGGTCGGAACTCGGAGGATCTCTTTTTCCCCATGTTTCTGTATCAAAGAGTAAGCTAGTGGCATAAAAACTTGATGTGACTACAACTCAAGTGTCACAAACTAAAAAGTATCAGGAGGCAAATGTGTTTTATTTTGCAATATTTATTGCTGGATGGTGGACCATGGATTCTTAAAATGGATATTGAGAACGTTTAAATGTAGGTATGGGATAGGCGGTGCTTTATTGCAAGAGGAAAGCCAGCAGGAGTCCTAATGGGACACCTAGAAGGCATTACATTCCTTGACAGCCGTGGAGATGGTCGTTATCTTATCACGAATGGCAAGGATCAGACCATCAAACTTTGGGATATCCGGAAAATGGCTTCTAATGCTACTTGGTATGCTTTCTTCATCTCATATGATGCCTTCGAATTCTGTCTTTTACTTGTGAAAATATGACCAGATGGTGAAATGCATCATGTTGTTTATATGTCTGGTATTTGCATCATATTTTACCCAACTCCAATGCATTATCATGGACAAGCTTGTAAATTGCATTGAGTTGACTGGAAAAGGATTACAATAATGTCCAGACTGAAAACTATTCAGAACCTTAAAAATATTCAGTTATATTTTATTCCCTTTTATTGCAGCAATTTAGGGCTCAGGAATTATGAATGGGACTACAGATGGATGGACTATCCTCCACAGGCAAGAGATTTGAAACACCCAGGTGATCAGTCTGTGGCTACATATAGAGGTCATTCAGTCTTGCGTACTCTCATTCGCTGCTACTTTTCCCCCGCGTATAGGTGAGCATTGGCCTTTCTTTTCTCATCCTTTCTCCTAGTAGCTTGATTATGGTCACTTTCCATTTGAGAGTTCAGAAGTTGTTGATCAATCATAGTCTAGGAACGAGTAACCTAATTTCATCAGACTTGGGATTTATTCATATTTTGATCTCATCCAGCATTGATTATATCTATTAGTTATAAGAACTCAGAATCTAGCATCTAATCCGACTCCCATTTTTCTTTAATAATAATAATAACGTTTTTTTTTTCTTTTGCAGTACTGGCCAAAAGTACATATACACTGGCTCTCATGACTCTTGCATTTATGTATATGACTTGGTAAGTAATCAAATCCACTGCTACTTTTATTCCATCTGCCTGCTTTTAGATGGATTGGTGAACCATTCAACACTCTTGGCTCTATGTTCCTTGCATGAAAGAAGATAGAAATGAATTTGTTGGCGTCACTTAAGAAGCATACTTGTAGAAATTTTCTGCTATAAATAGGGTGTAATCAGATGAAGATACATTCTGTAAATGCCTGTAAAGTAGAAGATAAAATCTTTGTTCATCCACCAAATGGTGTTTTGGTATTCTGGCATGAATGCTAACCATGATGCTTGTGTTCTTATTCTTATCGGTTCCAAACCTGCTCTTGCTTCAGCAGTAACTTGAATTCTACTGCAGGTTACGGGAGACCAAGTTGCAGTACTCAAACACCATAAATCACCTGTAAGGGATTGTAGTTGGCACCCGTATTATCCAATGCTCGTCAGCTCTTCATGGGATGGTGATATTGTGAAATGGGAATTTCCTGGAAATGGAGAAGCTCCAATTCCTGCAGTAAAGAAAAGATCTTGGAGACGACAATTTGATTGAAAAATAACTTGTCATATCTTCTCCTGTTTATAATATTATGAAGTAAAATATATGTTGTTTGTGTAGTAATTCGCTTTCTCTCCAAACTCAAATAATATGTAATTAGCGTGTAACATGAATAATTAATTTTTTTACATCCACAAGATTCGAATTGTACATAAATAAACACCAATTTGAAGATTTTTATACATTTAGTTATTGAAGCATTTTATGGAGTTCATAAATTAACAGTCTGATTGCCCGTTGGGAACAGTTGATACGGTTCTTTTGAATTTTTTTCTTTGGCACGTCACCTACGGAAATTATAGTCCGTCTAACACCTCCCATTGTCTAGCATTTCTTATAGTAAGTTTTAACATTTTCCTTTTCCCTTTTCAATTTTTCTTTTTCTCAAATTTCCATTCTCTTTCCTTTTATTCACAAGACAGCTAGACGTAATAATTTTTTGTCAGTGATTTTTCTTATATTGTCATCAATTGTGTTGTACTCATTTAATATAACAAAGCATATGCACGCAAATTTGGTGAACCGAAATCTACGAAACATAATACCTGTTTATTTCATAGAGAATCTTTGATGGTGTAAAATCTTACAAGCGGTTACGCAACATTATACATTTACTGTTTCGTAGTTAAATAACTAACAGTTAATTTTAATAAATAGATCCTAAATGAAGTGTTTATATTATCATTTTTAACTGCATTATAACAGGACAATGGAATTATGATTTCATCATATATAAAATAAATCAGAAAAATAAAAAATTTCTACAATAGATTGAAACTTCAACAAAAACATACTCAAAATGATTTTTTACCAGTGGAATGAAAATCATAGATTTGTTATGGAAATAAAAAATCACGTGGGCCATATTCAATTGAAAACCCTAACCACCGATGGGCCTAATTTTCTCAACCTTAACCAAATCACAAGCATTCTCTATTACAGGCTACAGCTAAGTAATAATTCTTTTCTTTACAAACAGTTGTCGCTACCACCGCCAGCTTTTCCCCCTTTTTGATCCTTCCAGGGAAATATTACCTAATAATCTTTTTTGTATTTTTATTTTTTTGTTTAATACTTTGGAAGTAAAAAATTTAATATTTTATTTCTTTTCCAAAGTTAACGTTAAATTAATATTAAAAAATAATAATGAATAAAAGAGAGAGGGGTTCGGTTCCCTTGCTATTTTTAGTGAAATGGGTAGGGCCTGAAAAGATTCTGTAAAGCGAGGCCCATGATAATTGTCATGATAAGGGGACATAAACACTGGGGGCCCATCATCATGGGGAAGTAGAATTTACACTTGGGGAATAATTGCTTAATCAATGAATGGCTTTTAATTGAGAAAGAACCTTAAAGTTAAAGATGGGATCAATTTAAAAGCAGCATAACAAAACATCTAGAATCTGATTTGCGGGCCCCCACTTAATGCCTCAAAAATGGCATATATGACCTACTTGTTAAGGCTAAAGTATAAGCATATTTTCCACACTTTTTGTTAGAATATTTAATTTCCATCATGGTATTAAAATAATAATATCATGTCTTAATCAAAATAAAAAAAAATTATTTTGAATTTTTTTTTTTCTCTTACAAATATTCTCGTATTTTTTTTTAAATACAAGACTAATCTCATTTCAGAGTCATTGAAATATAATTTTTTTAATATTCTAAATTTTATTGAAACCGAATTTAAATTCTTATTTATATTGTATGCATTGAAAGATTTAGTATGCTTTGATTTTGATTTTGTTTTAGTATGTAAATCAAGGAGGTTATCTAATTTAATTTGGATTTAGTAAAATCTTTGATGTCATTGTCTTACTCTAAGACTATGAGATTCTAACTTCTAAGAAATGAAAAGAGACCCACAAAAGAACGTAAACACATTAATTTAATCATTAAAAGAAAGAAACTAACCCTAAAAAATAATCAAAGTGTTTGACCTGCAAAATGTGAAAAAGCGTTACCAACTATGACTAATTAACAATATTTTAATGTTTTGACAGATTGCCAACTTAGAAATCCCTAACTAAAACCAGACAACGAGTGATGTAAAAAATAACGATAAAGGCACTCTGCTCCATGTGCCCAAAAAGACTTTCTATGTTAGCTAACTGCTAAACCCACCTAATCGTTTTTTTTTTTTTTTTAATTATCCGGTATTAAAAACCCATCGATCCAATTAATTTAAATTCAGTCCGGATAAATCACTTAAAAGGAGGCTATATATAGGATTCGAACTCAAGATTTTTTGTTAAAGGAGAATGATCTCTATCATCTCATATCTAAACTATATTTTTATGTTTTTCAGAAAATATATTTTAAATGTAATATTTGATATTTTTTATTTAATTGTATAAAAAAGAAAAATTAATTTCATTCCCGTGAACATAAACTAATGGAAGTCTAATGAAATTTTTGTTGGTGTATATTATGAATGTTAGTTGAGAAATAGCTGTGGGTGTCCCAACCAAGTTAATGATTTTACAGTCGCAGCTCGTGCATTTTTAAAGCTGGTAATTAAGCACGGGACCATCTCTATGATTTTAGCTTCTTATCTCCATTTCTTTTTCTTTTTCTTTTTTTTTTCACGATATAAAAAAAGCGAAAAATGTTTTTTTTTTTCATTTTTATCTAATAATAAGATAGTATTATAAGTAAAACTTTTTTTTTTTTATTGGCAAATCAATCAATTTTATACATTAAACCCCACGGCTTTAGATCGGTTTGATTGGCGATTTTTAATGATTCAAAGAAGTCGTCACATGACCAAAACTAGTTTTATTTTAATATTGAGTTTTCCAATAAAGGGCTTGGAGAGGCTTACCGTCTGTCTACATTGTGAGACAAAAAGGACAGGTAAAAAGTAAAAACACATGCACATAAAATTTATTTCTAAGATGTACATTAACGAGAAATCTAGTACAATATTTACATAGTACCAAAATATTAATAATAGTTCAATAAATCAAAATCAAAATTAAAATATTCTTGAACAAAAATTAATTCCTATATATTAATTAAGAATGACATTGAAATCCCAAATCCCATAAATAGATACAATTTCTCGTCAAAGTATCCACAAATCTTCATTATTTATCATTTTTACCCTAAAAATTTCACTTTAAAAAAATAAATCAATAAAATAGGAAAATTACCCGCAAAAATAATTTTTTTTTCTTAAAAGCACCCAAAATATGAATATATTCGTATCATCTTGCCCTCACATATAACCCATATTTCCAACTTTACCCTTTCCACTCGCTGCATTGGGCTGTAGGCCTAGTCTTCTGCTTTCCGGCCTTCAACGGGCACGGTGTCTGTACGGGCGGGACCATACAATTATATTGCAAACACAATGAGCTGCTCACTGGAATCTCAGCCGCTGGATTGATCTGAATACCGGTTAGATAATTGTGCTGCAAGTACAATATTTGTATACTCGCGGCCAATAAACGGTCCACGAAACTTCCTGGCACCTGACCCGTAAACCGGTTATTGTTCAGGTACAAATTTTGTACGCTGGAGAACATGGGAGATATTTGACCCGATAATCTGTTGTAACTAAGATCAACGGTCGCTATTGTCACTTGATCAGGCGGTTGAACCGGACCCGAGAATAGATTTCTCTGCAACTGAAGATTAGTTATTGGAAATGTGAATACCCGAGCCGGAATGGAGCCGCTGAATTGGTTCATGCTCAAGTCCACGTAGTTTAGCTGCTCCAGTCGATTCAGTAACCGGTCCACGGGTCCAGTGAGCCGGTTCCATGAAAGAGAGAGGTATTGAATCGAAGGAGGAAGTGAAGATGGTGCAAGCGAACCGGAGAGAGCGTTGTGTTTCAAATCGAGCCGAGTTAATGACTGGGAGAGAAACGGAGGGACTGCACCGGAGAGACGATTGTGGCAGAGAATAACGTTGGACAGTGTCGGTATAGTACCAATAGAGGTAGGAATACTTCCTGTGAGCTGATTGTAACTGAGATCAAGTGTTCTGAGATTAAGTAACTGACCTAAAGTGGCCGGAATCTCGCCTGAGAGGAAATTTCGGCTGACAGCGAGAAATCGGAGGTCTTTCAATTGGGAGAGAGACTGCGGCAAAGTACCAATGATCCGGCCCGGTACAACAGAGAACTCAGCCAAAGCAGAGAGCTTTCCAATAGCAGGGTCAAGCCGGCCGGTTAGACCAGGAGAACCAGCTCTGGGGTCACCGAGATTAAGAGCAATAACTTTATCAGCCTCACAATAAACACCGGCAAAATTACAAGGATCGGAAGTAAAATCCCATGACGCAAAGAAGTTGGAGCCTGGCATATCATCTAATGCCTTTCTAATAGATTGCAAAGCCAAAAAATCAATAGGGTCCAAAATTGCATGCACAGAGAAGAATTTACATTGTAGAAGAAAGATAGCTAAGAAAACGTAAGATACTATAGCTCTAAGCTTCTGCTTTGGTATTTCCATTTTGCAGCGAAGAAGAAAGTAGAAAATGAAGGGTTATATATAGGAGAAAAGAGTGAGCTTTTGAGGTAAGAAGAAAGCTTTTCCGTGAGAGAACAAGTGTACCGATTTCTCGTGGGAAATGGCGTGAAAGCTTTAATGGCGAAACTATCAGCATCAAAAGATTACAATATACAGAGTAGCTTTGAAGAGAAGCAACTTTCTTTCCTTTGAATCTTCTTCTTGAATCTTTCAGCTTCTCTTTTTCATTATTTTGGCTTGTTGAAGAAGATCAAGTATCTCTCTCTGCGTATCGTGTATGGTGTCTCTGCTACAACTACAAGGAGTAGTGTGGTAAGTGTCTATAATGTATTTTATTAATTGTTTTTTATTTTTAGTATAGTTGTTCTTTTGTTCGTTTATTGGAATGAGGTTCGGAGACAAACGGTTGTCCGAGCCTACGTGGTTAGGGACCTATTTGGTTCGGGAAAAGGTCACGTGACGGAGAGGCTGATTTATCCCTGCAAGTAGAAATAGTAATTAGGATAGGGTGAACAAAGAAGGCATGGCAATAAATGTCACGGGCAAGGAGCGGTTGACACGTAAAAGTCAGTGAAAAGAGAGCGACAGAGCAGCAGGTGCCAGCCCATAAAAAATCTAACATACATTGTTTGTCTTTTTTTTGTGGCGTGGGTTCTATTTTCGTTTTTTCGCTTTCCCCTCTTCATTTTCAGCTGTCTTCTCAGGATACTTGTGCAATTTGGTCAACCAAAATAATAATAATAATTAAATTAAATTATTGATTATATTTTTTCCTCCAAATTTTTAAAAAATTTTCTATTTCAATTGTACAGTTATTTTTTAAAAATTTTAAAATTACTATTTATTTATTATAATTGTAGCTTTAAATCCTTTTTTTTTTCCTGACAAAGAAATGCAAAATGTAAAAAGAAAACTAGATCATATAATAAATAACAAATAATTAATCCCGACAAGAGGACTCTCTAAATACTGCAAATGTCTAAGTAACGTTAGCTAATTATTCAGCACTAAATTCTAATTATATTAGTTATATATCATTGAGTATTTAAATTACTAATTTCCTATTTTGTAACTTTGAATATTTAAGGTTAAATATTGTTTTACTTAAGATATTTATTAGATTTTAAAAATTATTATTTATTTATGTCTATATTTATTTTTATTTTAAATCAATTTTATGACACTCTAAATTATATATATTTTATAATAATCTCACCTCCTCACATTATTAATAATAATATTTAAAATAATAATTTTCACAATTTGTACCAAAATGAGTGTGGGTAAATGCACCAAACGCAACAACCAAGGTAGTCACTCATGTCATCATATGGAGGGTGTGAGTATACATTTCAATGGCGTTTGTTGTGCATATTATTGGAGTTCATCTAATGCGAGAAACTAAGGATCCTTTGGGATTTGCTTTATTTGCTTCTATAATCACAGCATCCGTATTTATGTATCTTCGTGTTCTGTCCTTATCGTCCAGCGATCTCGATTCTAATTTGCAGATTAATGATATATAAATATATACTTTTTTTTCCTATTATTAATTTTCCGGTATCCAAAACTCACTTGTCCAACTGCATATTGGCACTTCATACACAGGACTCGGAGAAAGAACCTGTGAAATTTATGTTTATAGGTTAATGAATTAATTAATTTTGAGAAGAGGACTCAGCACGTTAATGTGTGATAGGGAGTGATGATATGGGCATGTGCATGTGCACTGAGACTGAATAGAAAGGGAAAGAAAGGGTGATTGATTGCCTCTTGCTTCCACCAATGTGATATGGAGCTGCCAAAAGGATACATTTTTTAATTGAATTCAACCTAACTATAAACCAATATTTCTCACATTATATGAATTATTTACTGGATTGGATACTTCTCTTCCAATATAAGATTATTAGATTAATATGAGATTAATCCAGTTAATCTCAGCTTAATAATTTGTACTTATTTATTAGAGTTTATTTTCCATGATGAATATTTAAGAATAAAAAATCGAGCGCAGAGAATTGCATATATGTGTGTAAAAGATGCTACTCTTACTATAATAGTTACAATCAATGTGTTAATTTTATAAATGAGTTAGCATATAAATTTAATCATTAGGTGTTAGTTTAACTAATTCATAAGGTTTATGGGTCGTAAAACGTACAATTTTTTAGCTCTTCCAATAAGCATGTTTAGATCGAATTTGTTTACTCATCCTTACAAAAATTGAGATTGTTTATGGCTTCACCCAATATTTTTTTTTATTATTTTAAAAAATACGTTGTTGGTTTATTAGAGGAAAAAAAAAATTGTTAGGTCGAACTCATGATGGTTCGACAGATCACGATTCACGTTTATTAGGGAATGAAGAGGTTTAGACTTTAAACTCCTTACGTCAATGTAAACTTGGGTTTGCTTAATTATAAATCAAGCCCAAGTGATTGGCTCAGGGCCCCAGTCTCGGTCATATGCCCCAAAATCCATTGTCACTTTGTAACGTGCATAAGTTCCACTTTAACCAGTTCGAAACTGCCAGTTGAACCGACGGTTTCAGACAATTTCTATTTTCTAGGAGAAAAAGAAAACAGCCTCGTTTGAACGAGGAATGAAACTGTCGGAACCAGAAATGAAGTAGTCTCCCTAAACCGGAAGGATCAATTCTAGTTCCGGCCAGGTCTAATTATTGCTAAGTAGACATTCGATGAACTAATGAAAAGAATAAAATGCAATAAAAATATATCAACCATAAAATTGTGGGCATAAGCTACATTTCAGGTTCCATAAACTACTTCCAACTTCCAATATCCGCATACCAAGGAAAGCATCTGCTGCCATGGAGGCAACTTGGGACCATCCTTCTTCAATAGCGAAGCTTCTGTTCACCGACGAGGCTGCAATTGCTTCAATAATTCCAGGACCACAATTGCAATTCTAAGAATTTTATCCTTTCAGAATTTAACTTCTAGTGAGTTGACTGAAAGGCTTATCTGGTTATCCCAGTTCCATACAACAATAAATATAACAAAAGCTTCATACTTTGGTAGTTACCCTGCATATGTGCACAGGCACATGCACACATTGCTACACGACATGTGTCATTGATTTCGATGTTGACTCAAACATGCCAAAAATGGTATTATTTCAAACCAGCTATCAGTAGTGATGATGCCTCCATCATCACTGATGTAGATACTATGGTCTTTAAACGAATCGATTCTGCATAGAAAAAATATCATATGTTCGGTACAAATTCATCTAGCATGCACAGTTACCGAGTACAGCATCATAAATTACAGTGAGAGGAAGAGAGGAGACAATAGGGGAGAACAGGCATTCTGATCCGAGTACATGCAAATTTTGAATACTGAAAAAGCAAACAGAATTATACATTTCTCAGAAGCAGATACTGGAATGTTTATTCACATTGTTGCTTCCTGACATACAAGCTTTCAGGACTTTAAAGTAGCTCAAACCTGAACTTCAACTATAAAAAGTTATAAAAAAAAGTGTATCTGTGGCACTAATCTTTCAATCTATTTATATGTGTTATTGGAGGAATAGCATCACAGCACTTATTGAATCACAGGAATTGATCCGCCAGCTGCAACAATCTGTTGCTCCAGCTGCAGAGGCCAAACCAAGAGAGGAAAAGAATAATCAAACTCAAAATGAAAATAGGAGATGGAGACAAACTAATTTAACAGATAAATCATGTATTGACCAAAGCAGCTATTCAGGGAGTTTCTTTTTATCATTTGAGGGATTGGTTAAGTACGAGGAGAATTCACCAAAATTCTTATTTAGGGTACACGATGAGACCCTAGAAGCTTTTTAAAACGGGGTTTAAAATGCCTCTGGGGACATAAAAAAGGAGTTTCATTGTTATATTTGACAAATGAAATCCACTGTTGGGATGAAATATATGGGGATTTCCCAGAATGATTATCAACATTCGTAGTCCATCATATACTTTCTTTAACTTACCCGGAATAAGGTTTGAAGCTTCATTTTCAATTGAGCGTACTCATTATTCACTTGTTGAAGGCACCTCAAACACCTGCACCAACATTCTCTAATCAATCAAATTCTGCCACAGCCATGCCGTCATTAAATTCAACTTTATTATAAAGCAAAAAGATAGAACAATAACATCCAGAAAGATGCATGCAACTATATCTCTGTTTTTCATTTATCATATAGTGGAATAGGGACATAAAGGTGGATGATCCATGCAGAGTCATTAAAGAAAAAGTGGAATGGGGACATAAATTTACAGGGAACTCATTCTACCTCTATAATCAATTTTGACAACAGCTCAATCCTGAAACACTGGGCTCTTCATAAAAATCCTAACTAATTACATTATTTACTTGCCAGAAATTAAAAATGTCTTCAAGACCATCAGACCAAGGCATTGGAACATTTGAGTTACTCCCACATATAGAACCTTTAAACACGTATTTAGAAACAGACTGTCATGAAATTGACTGTGATCATAGCCATTTGGATTTCAGACACCAAATTCTTCTTAAATGAAGGCTGTTTTGCGACAGAAAATATTTTTAAAAAAATTGAATAAATTGTATGAATTTTACTTTGCATTAAGGATAGAGATGAAGAAAAACGAAGTATGAGTATTATCATCACCCTTCGCGATCCTGAGCCTCGCAATAAGTTCTGAAGGCAATGCATGCATTTTTAATTCTCGCTGCACCCATGCTGTTAACAATAGAAAACAGTTTTTGAATCAAAAACACTACAGAACAGAAAAGCAAGCAACAAACATACAAATATCTTCATAGCTTCAAATAATTGCTGTCACATTACATAACAGCCTTTATTTAACCGATGTAGAAGTGCTTGCTCCATTACCATACTGCCTACATGCAGTGGGAAATTTTCCGGCATGGGTAATGGCTATAATGAGTGTTAGATAATAGTAAATTATTAATTGATATTGCCATTACTGCAATAATGTTTACATCTTTTTTTTTTTTTTTTTAATTTTTTATCTGGCATCTTTTGTTTTTTGTTTACATAGTATCCCCCACTTCTCCAGCCACCATGTGTATATTTTGTTGGCTTCTTTAACCCAAGTCATTAAAATTTTACTGCATGCAATTTTAGCTTGATATCAATTTGTATCAAAGCGAAAAACAAGTCAATAATGGTGTATTTTTAGCCTATTCAGCACTTCTGTTCAAAGTGATGATTTAATTGCACAATTGCAATTATTTGTTAGTTGCATTTCTTTATTTTAGTCAAGCCCTTAAACATCCATTATAATGCATTGTGCGGGTTTCAAGAAAACAAAAATTGCATATTAACAGGACGTGACTATCATGCTCTGGGCCCAATAGCCCCCTTTCGGTTACACTGACCACAAGTTAAATTTATGAGAATTGTCTTAGAAAAATACTGTGTCATTAATTATCTATTCCTTAAATGTTTGCAAATAATCTTAGGATTAGCACAAATGAAAGAATCAAATAGAACAATTAAATCAACAAATGATGATATACAAAAATACCTGGAACTACTACCCTTCAATTGATGAACATGAGAATCCACCTGTTTAAAATCCTCAGCCCGTGGTTCTCTGAAAACAAACTAATTAAGCAATTTCTCTAACAAATCATTTAAAAAAAAAAAAAAAAAGGACAAAAACAAAACATTTAAAAAAAAAAAAAAAAAGGACAAAGAAATCACCCTTCCTAGTTCCTACACCTCTCTGATCATCCATGGAAGCAACACACATACAGCAAACATTTTCATCAAAATCAACTAAAAATCCACTAACGTGAAGAGTAAGGCAAGACACACTCACAGAGCTCTGGCCATATTGCCAATAAGCTTCTCACAATCTTCAAAGAAGAGAGAAGCAACCTCCATCACAAAATCAGGAGTGCTATCATCTTGCAGTTTCTTCAGCTGAGTAAACTGATCGTCCACATATCCCTTATCAAAACAAACAAAAACGAATCACCAGAAACCCCAAAATCCCTTTGAATATTCATTCAATTTTAGAGACACCCATGTCATGTCATATCATATAAAAATATTCTCTTTTATCCAATTATAGTAATTCAGAAAAAAATATAATTCAGTGAAACAAAAAAGAAAAATCAGATATTATTTAGTGAAATTCGAAAAAATTCTACACAGAACATGAACATAAACTGACCTCACGATATAGAGAAGCTGTGAAATCGGCGACTTGTCTCTGCAACTGACCGATGACGTCCATGGATGTGTTTTATCAGACAGGAAAACGAGAAGGAAGAAGACGTTATTGGTACTCTTACTCTATAACTATAACAGACAGAAATGACAGGAAAGGAGATGGGTTCTTTTGGTAAATATCGACAGTATTATGGAAATCCACTAATCGCTTGCCCAAATAATTAATAAGATTTTACTTATTTAGAGTATTTAGTTAGTTTTTTTTTTTTTTTTTTTTTTTTTAAGTTAGTTTTTTTTTTTTTTTTTTTTTTTTTTTTTTTTTTGTGTTATTTCATGCAGTTAATAGCTAATATATAAGCTAAAAAAAATTTGATAATAATTTTTAAATTAATACGTTACAAGAACATTCTACTTGATAATAATTTGAAAACAATAAATGAATAATTAAAATTATTGTAAAAATTAACTAATATTCTTTATTTATATAGCACATTAAAATATAAAATGACATATCTCCTCTAAAAATAATATATAAATAATATGTGATAATATGTAAAATAATTATATTCACCAGCTAATAATTATCAGCTATTAACAAGCAATGACTGCGGACTACCAACTAACAAGATCAACGACACTAAATAAGTTCTTACACTCTAATTTTAGCATGTGATTCTCTTGAAAAAAAAATGTTAGACTGGTTTTTAATTCAAGTATTAATTAATAAATAAACTTTACATTCAGGATCAAGAAGAAAAAAAAATAGATGACTTATTAAATGGTGAAATTTTTAGAATTTAAAATATACGGTACGAAGAGAAGCTCAAAACGATTAGCTAGTAGAATAAAGAGATAGTAGCGGTGTTTTATTTTAATGATATTACAATATATGATGTGTTAGAAAAATTTCAGCTTCTAAATTAATTAAAAAAATAGGTTAAAGCCAGGATGAAGGGTTTTGTGATGAATCACTTAGATCTTCTGGTTAAAAAAATTGATAGCTTAACTTGAATTTCTTTTAGTCTCGTCTGAAACATAAAGCATAAATTTATACGAGTATAATTACCTTAGTTAAAGTGGGTCAATGAAGCCTTAGCCTAATGGCTAAAGTGGATGTCTCATGACCAAGAGGTCATTGATCGTACCGTCTAACAGTCTTTGAAGCTAAAAATGCAGAAATATATACTATTTATTGTATATAATAATGAGAGGTTCAAAAAAAAAAAAATCGATGATCTCCGGAACCATCCAATATGGAATTGCCTAGAACATCTCATTCCTGTCTCTTTGGAGGGTCATGTCATGTGTTTCCAATGAAAAAAGTCGCAACTTTGGTTGGTTGGTGTGTCTTGTTAACTGTTAATAAACCGATACATTGACGAGTACAATAGGACCCGTTAATCATTTTCAAAAACTAAGTATGCTGAGCATATGATTTATCACAGGCTCACAGGCAGCACAAACCCTTTACTGCAATTCGGTTCTTTAATAAATTTAAATGAAAAAAGCATCTCAGCCACCAACAAACTAGAAACTTGGCACTTTAAAAGGGAAATGAATATAATACATAACAATATATGTAAATTTTCATCAAAACCTGCTGTATTTTACAACTTAACAGCAGGCAACAAACGAGATGCAAAAGCACCTGAGAGCAAAACATTAATGTCTTTTCCTTTTCATTCTCTCTCTCCTTTTTTCTTTTTTTTTTTTTTTTTTTTTTTTTTTTTTTTTCCTCTCCTCTGTTTGCAACAACGAAAAAAAATATATACAGTTATTACAACTTCCCGGAGAGAACTAGTTCCATGGCCTAGTTTCATATGTACAGACGGTTAACAGGAAAGGTTCCAAGTCGGAATCTAAACCAATCCCCGCAAGGTAGTTACTCTCCATGAAATTTTCTAAGAATTTTCAATTTACAGAATAATTTAAGAAATGTTCATTTACAGAAATATACACAGGTGAGGAGAGAAAAGATTTATAAACATTAGCTAATACCGTTGTTCATTAGCCCACCCATTTCTTTATTCACACCACAATTGCATTTCATTTCAACAGATTAAACATTTTTGATTGTGGCTGGACCTGCTAATGCCACCGAACAAACTATTGTTCACTTTTACAAGAAAGTTTCAAGAGATCAAAACCTGCTTCAAAACCCAAAAAGGTTCTTAAGGCGTCTTATGAATTGCCTGCGAGGGGGAAAACCGGACAAGGTAGCAAAAACAAACTTTTATAATCAATGTTATTTTCGACAACCTATTGAATTTGAATCTGGGAGAAACAAAATGCAGGTTATGGTACAAAGTCTTATGACCTTCTTCAGAAAAATGGCAAACCATGCCACCAGAAATTCCTCATTCTTCCCCGTCCTCTTTTCAGGTTTTTCCGTTTGGTCTCATAAGTGGCTACGTTTGCTGCTGCCGACAATCATCGGTTTACAAACCTCGTGTTGAGGCATCCATCATTGATTTCGATGCCTTCACAATGCCCCTTCAAGAAAAGTCAGGTCCAAAAATCTGGAAGGATTTTTTCTGCCGGTTTGCGAGAGTTAGGCTCTCCCACAAGGATATTCTATATGCGCAATCACTCACCCCCGCTTTCCAGCTAGCGAATTTCGCCCACTTGTCACCTACTGTAGTACCACATTTTGAACATACAGCACCGAGAAAGTAGCTCCGGTATTCAGCGCCCTCTTAAGCCCCTGACCTAGGTTCCTCTCTTTCACCTTTACTAGTTCGATGGGCCGTTCTCATACAGAGCGCGCGTGAAACGATCCATATGTGACTCCTAACTCCATACTTACTCTAACATAGTCCTCAAATAATATCAAGCGTGTTCAATTCCAGTACGACGACCTCTCTTCATATGCTTCAATCGGAATTAAGTTATCCAATTCTGTCCTTAGTGGGCGCCAATCGACCCACTCTCATATCAATTTTTTTAAGTCGGAGCCCATCTACTTTTTTTGGGTGTCCACGCGTGATCTCGCGAATACCAAAGTGGATCTGGAAAATTATCGCTTGTTAATAATCACGCATGGCGCTCGCTTGCACATTCTCCTGCCCTCCTCATATAACATAAACAACATAGCTCGTGGGCCGTCATCATCATAAGAAATCAAAGCGTCCATTGCGTCGCCCGAGAGTATAAATATTCTTATTTTAATCTGGCTAGGTGATATCACACTCCAGCCTAATTCTTCTCATGCGCCTCACCTCTTCCATAATAATCATTAACTGTACAAACCGTTACTAATGTCATCAATCGTCACCGATGGCTCTCCAAATACCGTTCTAAGCAGCTACACAATCTGCTCTGTTTATTTTTTTTTTTTTTTTTTTTTTTTTTTTTTTTGGGTTTTCCTCTCCTCTGTTTGCAACAACGAAAAATTATACAGTTATACAACTTGGAGAGAACTAGTTCATGCCTAGTTTCATATGTACAGACGGTTAACAGAAGGTTCCAAGTCGGAATCTAAACCCAATCCCCGCAAGTAGTACTCTCCATGAATTTAAGAATTTTCATTTACAGAATAATTTAAGAAATTTCATTTACAGAATATACACAGGTGAGGAGAGAAAAGATTATAAACATTAGCAATACCGTTGTTCATTAGCCACCCATCTTATTCACACCACAATTGCACTTTCATTGTCAACAGATAACATTTTGATTGTGCTGACCTGCTAATGCCACCAACAAACTATTGTTCACTTTTACAGAAAGTTCAAGAGATCAACCTGCTAAAACAAAAGGTTAAGCGTTATGAATTGCCTGGAGGAAACCGACAAGGTAGAAAACAAACTTTAAATCAATGTATTTTCGAAACCATGAATTTTAATCTGGAGAACAAATGCAGGTATGGTACAAAGTCTTATACCTTCTTCAGAAAAGGCAAACATGCCACCAAGAAATTCCTCATTCTCCCCGTCCTCTTCAGGTTTTTCCTTCTCATAGTGGCTACTGCTGCTGCCGACATCATCGTTTACAACCTCGGTTGAGCATCCATCATGATTCGATGCCTCACAATGCCCCTCAAGAAAAGTCAGTCCAAAATCTGAAGGATTTTCTGCCGTTGGAAGAGTAGGCTCTCCCACAAGGATATTCATATGCGAATCATAACCACGTGCAGCTAACCCTGAAAGATTGCCATTCTTATTGACATTCAAATTTGGAGCTTCTCCAGTAAAGATTCTTCCAGCAGGAGGCATGTAATTTGCTGATGAGGGCAAACCATTTTCCATACAATTTTTAAGTCGAGCATCTACTTTTTTTGGGTGCTCAGGTGCAAGAGGTACAGTGGTTGAGTTCTTATTCAGTGCACCAGAATCGATAGTCGTGCCCCCTCTTCTTTCCTGGCACTGGTAGTAGTCATTCAGATTCTGGCAAGTGGGAATGTAAGATTTCTCACAATTTATTTGATCCAAATCTAGCAGATGTTCAATTCTTCTTGATGAACCTGTTGAAAATTATTCAAAGTTTACTGATTTCCTCAAATGCCAAGTCCAAAATAAGCAAATTCACAAGCAGGCTCCCATTGTCACTTGAACAACTAAAGAATTATCTCTTATATTTTATTTCAAAAAAAAAAAAAAATTAAATATCAAAAGATAAAAAAGCTCTGTTCTGTGCATGAATATATTTTGCCTAGCATTGGTATGTCAGAGATATACTGGAGAGACTCTCTTGCGACCAAAATTTCCATATTCCAAGTATCAAATAAATGTTAACTGATTTAAGAACGAATGGAAGGAAGTTATTTATACATCTAATATCTTACCACATTCTGAGCTTTCAGTTGAGCTAAGTGATGCTGGCTTTGAGTGACAAATAACAGTCTCCTGTGTGATCTTGCCTTCAACATGATGAGGCTCTGATGATGGTGAATGCATATATCTCGCTCCAGTGAGGCCTCTAAAATTACAAAAATTAAGCACATTTCACTCAAATGACAAAAAATAAAATACATTCTGTTGGCAAAGCCTCTAAATAATGTAATAGCTACCTATGCGCCCACAATACATCCACACATCCAGAGTGGAAAAAAAAAAAAAAAGCTGCTGCACAGAGGAACTAGACTCTGGCCAGTGTCCACCAGAACTAAATTATAAGTAAATAATACAAATTTAAAGCTAGTGTCAACCACACCATTGACTGCAGGTAAAATTGGTCATTACCTGTCATTCCACACTGATTTGATGCTATGAAAATGATTAAAAACTGGCAATAATTCTTTCCGCTTCAATTCAACTTCATGGATGGGAACCTTTTCAATTTCCAACTCTCCATCACCATAGCTATGAGTTCTCGGACAATCCATCACATAGAAGCAAATCTAATATGAAAGAGAATAAATCACACATAAAAGATATAGCACCTCTATACAGGCATCACAGCTTCAGTTCAGAATATACCTTAGACTCTTGCCATATTGGGAACCTCAGAAAGCTTAAATGAACCTCTGCATTGGAAATGTACCAATGAGATCCATCATGAGGTTTCACAGAATATGTATTTTCTGGTTTTTTTTCACTGATATCACCATTGATGTCCAGAAAATCCATGCTAAAATTGTCCTCAGAACCTTCTGTTTTTTGCATTGTTTCAAAAGCATCTTGTCCACTGGTACCCCCCAAAATGACTTCCTCTCTTTCTGGCCAATCTGATCTTCTACATACATCCCACCACTGAACAGGTTCAACTTTCACCTTCAAGTCATCCTCTTGTATATGCACAAATGAAGCTGGTCGAGTTCTTGCACCAGTTTCACCTGGTTCTAATCCAATAGATGGAAGAAGCTCATGTTGGACAACATGACCAGATGGAGTGTAAACTAACACATGCTCCAACGAACTGGGACTTGAGTTAAGATGCTGAACATTTGGAGATATAGAATTATGGAAAATAGCAGCAACTGCACCAGATGGTACAAAAACCTTTCCTGCTGCAGATCCAGTAGCACTGCCAACAGTATTAAGCCACCCAAAACTACTATATTTTATTCTGCTCACTACAGAAAGCGAGACAGGTGGTGGAGGAGGAGAAGAATGCTGATTAATCATGCAGGATGACGTGGACCACCATGGTAAAGACAGAACTGGATATACAGAAGGTTCTTCATCCATAGCATTGAGAGATTGAAACCCAGAATCACCACCAAAAGGAGACAAAGTGAAGATATGGCAGGTCCCCTTGGATGAAACAATTGCAATCCACTGACTATACTGACTAAAGCATATATCCTGGATCATCTGAATGAACAAAATGCATATGCATGAATATACATACAAGAAGAATAAAGGGAAAGTAATTAACAGCAAATACTAACAGCTGATGTTAATCCACGATGTAACTTGTAAAGATGCACATGAGAAGAGCTCCAGTCATAGTTTTGAACACCTGATCCACTCCTTGAGCAGGATGGCATAATCCTAAAGATATTTATGTTATTCCCATACACTGAAGCAGTGACCAGCAAGGTCCCACTAGGGTCAAAACCTAGTGCAGATATTGGACTGGTATGAGCTTTAAATTGAGATATAACAGCTCGGGAAACAAAATCCTTTATAACAACCTGCATGAGACATTTTAACCAATAAACAAATAAAATAATACATTCAAATTGCCTGAAAACTTCGGCCCTATCTGTTTGTGAAAGAAACAATATACGTATCACTTATTACATCATGTCATTCTTTTTGACTCTCACAGTTTTCTCTTCCATGGGCTAAATGAAACACTGAGGCCATTTTCATGGATAACAATAACACAAGATAGAAAGTCAGTCAAAGACATGGATTCTGGCTTCAAACACTATTACTGTCATGCTGAAGAGTGAAGAGTAAATCAGGCAGGTTTTCACCAACCGATATACATATATACAAGGAATGTAATTTCTAGAGTTTGTTGATAAATTTCTCATGTTATATGCGATAAAGGCATCCGAAACATGCCTCAGTGCCTCCTACCCATTTACCTATGGGGCTTATGGTCTTAGCACTTGAATAAACTTTAGAAACATCAAATAATCATACACTCTGCATTATCACACAGCAAGCACGATAGCAACAAGCTACCCATAACTAGCATATTGAAATCATGAATTACAAAAGACCAAAAGAAAAAAAAAAAAATCAAGATTACTGAAAGTGATTATAATAATGCTCATGTTACAGAAGAACGGTTAGATTTTCATGACATTGAACGTGATTATAATAATGTTTTCTGGATTCACTAGAAAACTTACCATCCCTGCATTATTATCGATATCTGATCCTGCAAGCCTACCAACTTTCCAGCCAGAACTTGATGATACTGGAGAATTAGACCCATCAGGAAGTAGCTCCTGACAGTATTTAGACAATGTTTTGTATCCCATGTCCCCCAGATTGATTATTCCAGCAGCAAGCTGTTTACTAGATTCCATTGCATAACGAGCCACCAAACTGCTACCACTCGGGGATGTTGATGGACTAACACCTGGAGAAGGAGATAAATTTTGTGGGCTTAAGCGGGTAGTGTTTGACACAAGCGGATTGTTTGAAGCATAAGCTAACCACCTTGGACCCACAGCCAGTGGACCATAACCTACATTGACTCCAACTCTTCCTTGTCCAGCCAACTGGGGAACAGGATAGGTAAGAACACTGAATTTACTCTCAAGAGTGACAGGATCAATACAATATATCTGCAACCAAAGATGAAGAATACAAGAAAGATAAGTATTGGTATAACCGAGGGTGCTTATCATGAATGCATAAAAATCAAAACCTTCATTAGATTACATATCATAATACTGCATTATACTGAAGTGAAAAATTGCTTGGTAAAGCGAGTCCCAATTACTGATTTATCACTAATTATTGCATCAAATTGAAATAGGTCACTCACTAACACTGTTCATGTTAAAAGTAAAACATCTATATGATTGAATACATTTTAGAAGTCTTATTCCAATATAAATCAACGCCAAACCCCAAACTTCATTACGCCATTCTGCATGATTACAATGATTGCTCATGCATTCCCAAAAGACCTAAATATCTAACAACCTTGTGGTTCAATATACTACCTCCGTTCTGTTAATTTTGACACTTTTAACTTTCTCGATCATCTCAATTTTAGAAAAAAAATAAGAGCAATTGACTAAATAACCTCTTATTAATTTTTAACAAAGTGGTCCGACCCTTCCCCTAGACCCTGCACCGCTGGAGCTTCATGCATCAGGCTGCCTCTTTTTTTATATATAGAGAGAGTGAAAGTATAGTGGAGATATCTAGAAAAAGGTAACATTAGAATAAAATAATTAATGTTATCTTAATCTTCTAAAAGTGTCATAAATGGAACCAAAAAAAAATGTCAAAAATTTACAGAATGGAGTAGTATTAATAATTCTTTCATTTAATATACATACAACACCCACAAAGAAGTCAATTAGCAAGATAGCCAGAAATAATCCTTGCAAGATAACTGAGGTTTATCTCTAGTTAGCAAGAAATCCAAAATGTTGGTACGTATAGTAGAAAGCTCAGTGGCTTTGTGTTTTCTATACATAGTATATATAGAGACAGGAAAGCACTTACTTGAGTTGCAAGGCCAACGGCTACAATCCGAGGGCTGCATCGAACCACACACACAGCTGAGCGAAATCTCAGAATATGCACATAACTGTGAGATTTAAGGGAGTAAAACCGAACAGATGTGGAAGAATTGATATAGCTTCCAAACTGAGACTCAGTATTATTCTCTCTTCCTAACCCACCAGGACGACCCTGATTTTGACCTGTGCTTAAACTGTTGGAATCATCCCCCGCGACAACCAATATTAAAGGATGTGAAGATCTGAATCCTTCAGGGCCATCAGACTTTGATGGGAAGGGCTGCATCTGTAAAAATGAAACTGGAACACCACGCTTTGAAACCAGTTCACTAAAATTAGAAGCATCCTCCACGTCAAGGACTTGAAAGCCATTCTGATAACCAAGTAAGAGAACATGCTTGAAAACAGATGGACCTAGCTCCAACCTGTCAAAGCCAGCCCAGGTTACCTGCTCACCAACAATCATTCAAAAGTAGCTTCAGGTAACATGGTATATAGAAAAATGCACGTAATACAACAACAATGATAACAACTAAGACTTAGTCCCAAACTAGTTGGGATCGGCTATATGAATTTTTTGTTTTAAATATTCGCTTTGACCAAATTAATATTAATGCAAAGCAAAATATAAGTTGAAAAGAATTTGGAAATACTTTTAAAAAAAAAATTAAAGGGGAATTTCAAAATTATTTGATACATTAATAAATAGGAAAAGGTATAAAATAGGTAACTACAACCATGCTACATCAATCTTTTGCCTCCATATTCTCACTAATATCCAAAGACCGTAGATCCTCAGTGACAACTTCCCTCCAAGTTGTTTAAATCGACCTCTTCCCTCTTTAGCACTCTCCACCACTAAAGTATCACGTTTGCAAAAAAGGACATGTGGTAGTCCACATAATACATAATCATACTGTCTCAGGCATCCTTCTCTCATTTTACCTCCAACTTCCGCTCCTTGCACCTTTTGTTTAATGTGATTATTTCTAATTTTATCCAACACCCCATGGTGCGCAAACAAAGAGTTTAACGAAAATATTATTAGGCCCATATGATAAGTGATAGCACTGGGCATTAGGATAAAATCATGATAAGATCATTTAAATACAAAATCCAGAAAAAAAAAAAAAAGTAAAGATATATCTATATAAGCTTATCGAATGTCAATCTCCACCAACATATAAATCCAAAGAAACATTATAGATCATAAATTCCTATCTTCAGGCTTTTAGAACGTAGGATTAAAAGCCCAATACTGCCATCCTTCAGTCCCATTCAAAACTGAACCAGTCATGCTTGAGTCACAATTTATTCCCTACATCCAACAATGTTCTTGTAAACTAGAATAATTTCTGGAAAGAAAAGGGCTTCAAATTCAATTCTTTAGTTAGCAGGTAATCCAATTAGTTAACACAGAAAGAGGGCAAATTGGAAACTCCAAAACACAAGAAACAAATTGTGTTAAGGTAACAAGTTCACGATGTTTGGAAAGTGGATGAGGGACATTGAAAAAAAAAAGTGGACTGAGATTTAACTAAGGTGGTTTGACTAACCCTGGCATAGACCAGGGAATGCACCTGTACAGAACAGTCAGTATGATCCAGCAACAGGAACTAAAAAAAAAGGATTAAAAGATAGAAAATGACATTGGCTTTAATGGCGTAAAATAAATTTAGTATCACAACAAATTCACAGAAGTTTGGCCCTAAACAAAGCAAAAGGAGGAAAACTATGCATATAGGCAACCAAATTGGGACTGAAATTTAGTCGGGGGAGACAATGAAAAATAAGTTCAACAGGTAGGCAAAAAATGAAACAATTAACTCATACAATGTTACTGGTTGTCGGTTGAAACGTTAAAAATAGGTTAGATTAAGCAAACTGCCATTAGAAAGTTGCTCTACAATAACAAAGCATGACATTTAAATTCTACGGAAGATATGGTTATATATGCTACTAAATGGTACATATGAACAGTTTTCCCCGACTACTGAACTCGCTTTACATTTATCCAGAGAGTGCCAGCAAAAATAACAGCATAAAGAATCATTGAAGCCGCCAAATTAAATAACATCCAGACCAATCGAGCAAAAAACTAGATTGAAATCTACTAGAAACTCGAACTGAACTTGAAAAGAAACCGTAAGAATCCAAAAGAAAACTTTCCAGCAAACAACCTGATCTTTGTGATCCTCAGTAGAAGTTGAAATCGAAGCAGCAACCGAAGCGCCAGCAGAGCGAACAGTAGAAGCGACAGTGCTAGCATTAGTAGACACAGTTTTGAGGCAAGAAGAGATTATCCTCAAGGAATTAGGCAACAAGCCATTATTCTTACTCTTTCCTTTCTTCATCCTCCACCTTGAAAACTTTTCTCAACTACCACGGACTCGCTAATTGACTCCTCTGCTAGTCCACCACCATCACCACTGCCTTCCTCGTCCGCCACCGACGAGCATCGCCGATCTCCACCGACGATCAGATATATCATCCGATTCTGGGATCGCTATCTAACCAAAAAGCAAAAATAAATAAACAAATTCGACGAGTTAATTTTTCGTTTCCTTGGTAGAAAGGGAAGTTTTCTTTGACTTGAAGCGCCTAGTAAAGACTATATAGAGAGCAACAAATATTTCTCCTTGTTCAAATTCTACTTCATTTTTATTTTATTTTTATATTTTTATCTTTTTGCTATTCTATATATGTATCTATACAATTAAAACATCTGTTTGTAGTTTATCTGTGCTTGCTTGCTGTGTCCTCTCTCGCTTTCCATCGCTCTCTCTATCTACTTTCTCTTGCTTGCTTTGTTTTTCTTTTTAAAGTTACTGTTGTTAATCCTAATTTAATTTCTGAAATTAGTAATTATAAATAAATGCCGGAGATTACGGGAAATGGGCGGCTAATTGCGGCGTGTGGGATTTACAACAGGAGAAGGCGAAGAGAATATCTCTTATCGTGATGCCGAAGCTAAGAAAGACCGCTGTCAGAGATTTTGATTTGATCAGCTGTGACACAGATTGTTCATTTATTTTATTGGTCACCTCTTGGGCCTGTTTTAGAATACGGGCCTTGATTGGGCTAATTTATTTTCTTTTAAATGTAAAATATCAAAATTCATTAATTATATCAAATTAGGATAAGACTCGCATGGAAAAAAAATGGTATAACTAAAATAGCACCATAAAATTCGTTGATTTAATAAAAATTTTAAATGAAAATTAAAAAAATGAACATGAAAAAAATCGATGATGCTCAAAAATGATAAATAAATAAATTCTTTAAAATCAAAAAGATATTGATCGAGATGATTAGCGACCTTAATTCAAATCAGATTTAGATTACAAATTCAATTTTGAAAAAAATGCATTTAATTTGGGAGAACTATCAATACTTGATTTGAATTTCAATGTTAAGCAAGTCAAAATGCACTTTGAGAACTTCCAAGTCATCCCAAAAGTATTATTTTTTTTACAATTTAAAGTTTTCAACTAACTCTACATTATTGCTTCATTTATTCATTAAATTAGTGAAAATTTTTTTTAACTGAGATGATTCAAACGCAAAACTTCCACTGATCATACCATAGCATATTTGATTCCAACTTTAGTCCATAGTTTTTTGATGTCTTGTAATATATATATATGTCTTGTGTATGTGTACGGGCATGCCACGTTATTTTGGGCCCAAGAGGTCCATTTATATGTAAGCCTCTAGCCCTAGGTTTTATTTTTAATGGAGTAAAACTAGATTCTCAAAATAAATAAATAAATAAAGTATATATATAACAAGGTTAAGGGTTTTTTTCTCTGAAAAAAATAAAGGTCAAGGATTTAAATAGAGAAGACAATTCATCATTTTCATAATTTACTAAAAATTCTAAATAGAAAAAAAAAAAAGAATAAAAGCATAATTGTATTAAATTTAAAATTGGAAGGATTAGGATTGAGGACTTTAATTTAAGCGTTGGGTATGGAGTTCCGTGCCTGACAGGTTTCGTCATTCTGCTGTGACCACCACTCTCTAAATAATTGCCCACGCGCAGGTTACATGTGGTTTTGACAATGATTAAGTTTAATTTTGCATTATTAGTCTCACTTCTCTTTTTCTAAATTTTTTAATTAATTAAAACCCAAACTATTAGGGGGATTGTACGCGTATCGTTCTACCTATCCTAAAGAAAAAAATAAATAATACGATGAATTAATATATATAAATATTTTTTTTTTCTTTTTCAAGCATAGGAGGGAGCCGATCCATGTCACATCTGAATAAGTTATTCAAATGTGATACAAATCGAAAAAAATTTATGTAAATTCAGTTCATAGATAGACCAAATAAATGAAATTAGAGATTTTTTAAAATAAATTTTGACTTCATTTTTTATTTTTCAAATACATGATTAGAAATATTTTCGTTTCAATAAAAATTTTTAATTTTATTAATTTAGTTCATAAAAGGAGTAACAGGCCTCACACTGGGAAGTGGTATTAAAACTTAAGAGAGAGGACCATCACCATAATTGGGGCCAGCCTAATGTTTAAATATGTGAATACATAAATCAAAATTTTTTAATACAATTAATAACTTTGCAGAAATTTACAGTCACAATGTAGTTTTAAGGTTGAGCTGTCCCTTTGCGAGGAACATAAGCATGCAAGGAAATTGTAAAGTAAAATAACCTTTCTTTGCCTTTGTAGTATTGTTCCCTTCCTAAGATTCTTTCATATACAGAAGCTGATAAAGATATAGGATTCTACGATGCACATAAGCCACAGTCCAATCCCATGGATTCCCATACTTAACCTTTTCTTTCCTGTTTTTCCACCAAGAAACTTTCTTCCTCTTGATTCCTTTTGCATTTCTTTATGTACATAAGTTGAAAACTGTTCCTTTCTGCTTTACAAAGTCCTCCGCCTATATTTTAATGGTTATGGAGGCTCGGCTGCCCTAAGATACTAATTTGCTTCATAAACAACTCATAGCCCACCAGTAGAGTTTCTGCCTGCAAGATATCACAGGTTCAAACCTGATAGTTTTTCATTCCTTTAAGAATGAAAAAGCTGCGGTTAGGTGAACAAAGATGAAATGTTGCTCTTAAAACCAAAATCAACATATTAGACCAACTGAGATGATCTAATATTCTTGGGGGATTTATAATCCTCTTGTTTGAATAACTCCTCACGGGAAGCTTTTCGAAAGAACGCCACACGGGATCTTTTCATTGATTTCAAGCAGCTGATATTACCATTTAGAATTTGCACAGCCTGCAGTTCATTTCCAAATGTGTTTCAATTATTATTTGCTCTTATGCCTACGGTTTTTTTTTTTTGGTAATATAGTGCATACCTGTGCCATTTGAGGCCTCCTTAAAGAAGACTGTTGTATGCACAAAGAAGCAGCCAAAAGCATGAGATTCATTTGTTGAGTGTTATAATCATCAGCAAGAGCAGGATCAACTAACTCTCTAACCTCATTCTTCTTTATCAAAGGTTTTGCCTTTAAAAAGCGAAAGATCAATGTATTAAATGGAGTCTTCCACTTAGGCACTCTCCATAAATGCATTAATTCTGAACAAAAGAAATCATACCCACAAGACAAGGCTTTGCTGAGAGTAATCAAGCGCTCGTCGACCAGTGACTAATTCCAACAGCAGCACACCAAAGGAAAAAACATCAGTTTTTTCATCTACTATTCCATGCATTAAGTACTCTGGCGCAAGGTAACTGTGACATTGAGAAATTAGTTCATGAAATGTTTAATCAATAGGGAAACAACAGAAAAGGCAAAATAAGTCCTAGCTTTAGTAACGAACCCAAATGTGCCCTCAAATTTGGATACAATGTGGTGAGTCCAATGCTCTGGTAGCCACTTTGCAAGCCCAAAATCACAAATCTGATGTAAATATTTAAAGAGCAGAACCATCAATTATCCATATCAGGCCATGAGCTAATTCTCTCCAAATCATTTCTATATTATAAAGTTTTTTTCCTTTACTCAATTGTATCAAATGAAAGTTATTTCGAAAGGGAATTGAAAGGCAGTAAAAGAAAAAGAATAATACCTGAGGCTCAAAGTCTTCTGTAAGCAAAATGTTAGCAGCCTTAATATCTCTATGTATTATTCTTCTCTGGCAACCCTCATGAAGATAGAGTAAACCCTCAGCTGTTCCTAATGCAATTTTATACCTAACATGCCATTTCAATGTCTGTTTGGAACCTACGAAAATGAGAAATTATCAAAAAAATGGAAAGAATTGATTAATTTCATGGATGTTAATGGGATATTTCAAATTTGAACTAAACTAACCATAAAGCAGAGAAGCTAAGCTCCCATGTGGAGACAATTCAAGAACAAGGTGCATTCCTCCTTCAATTCCATAGCCAATTAACTTAGCTGTATTAGGATGATTCACATGAGCCATAATCCCCATCTCGGATAGGAAATCTCCAATCATTTCATCAAGTGTTCCTTTCGTTAGCCGCTTGATAGCCACCAATTTCCCATTTTTCAAGCGCCCTTTGTAAACTTCAGCATAACCTCCCTTTCCTATCAAATTTTCTATCCAAAACAAAAACAAAGATCAAACCTTTATAAGTTCATCACGAAAATGTACAATTTTTATATATATATATATTTTTTTATTTTTGTCAATTAGGCTTTGACTAGGATTTTCACTCCAAATCTCACAGTTTTAGTTTCATAATTAACAGATTAGAAAGCATAAATAGCAATTAGAGAATGCACACCTTGGCTAAAATTGTCGGTTGCAGCTTGTAACTCGGGAAGAGTGAAATTCATTCTTGGGGAATTTAAATTGTAAGAATCAGAATTTGCAAAAAAACTTGGTACCATCTCTTTCATGCTAGAGCTCTTTCTTAATGAGAGCTTTAGGACACTAAGAGGATGCAATGTAGCTAAAGGTTTCTTTGATCTACTTCTTAACAACTGAACAAATCCGCGCCAACGAGAAGCGGGTTTTGGACTTTTATTAGCTTCAAAGTCTGATGTGGGTTCTTTCGAAGAACAACTTTCAGATTCTTCATTTCTAAAGTAGTCTTCAAGAACCCCAACAGGAGAGCTTGTTTCCACCTTTTTCTCCATATCTAAAAGATCAGAAAATTTATAAGGTCAGCTTAACATATTTAAAGAGAGAATTGATATTAACAAATGAAACGATGGAAATTTCACCTGGAGGAAGAATAGAGACATAGAACAGAGTATTGGGTTTTTATTATCCTTTACTATTAATACTTAAAAGTTGATTTTTACTAATATTTTTCTATTGGGTTCTCTCCAACAAAAGAGGAATAAAAATTATTTCACTGATGGATTGGTAGGACAAATTTTAACAGAAAAATGGGGGTAATTAAAACAAGAAGCATGAAACAGAGGAAACTAAAAGAATCTAAATCGAAGATTAGAGCAATTGGAAAGGAAACAAACTGAAAGGATAATTGCAAAGAAGAATGAAATATAAAGCAAGGCATAACAAGTTTGCAAGAAGCAAAAGCTATAACCAGATTACAAAGAGGAGTTGGTTACTGAAACTTTATAAAGAGGACAGAGAGAGACATTCAAATAATACACGAGAACCAAAAAAAAAAAAAAAAAAAAAGTAGTCTTCAAGAACCCCAACAGGAAAAGAGCTTGTTCTCACCTTTTTCTCCATATCTAAATAGATCAGAAATTTATAAGGTCAGCTTAAACATATTTAAGCAGAGAATTGACATTAACAAATTTGGGAAAACGGATGGGATATATTTTCACCTGAGGAAGTAATAGAACATTAGGGAACCAAGTATTGGGTTTTTTATTAGTCTTTACTTATTAATACTTTAAAAGTTGATTTTACTAATTATTTTTCCTATTGGTTCTCTCCAACAAAAGAGGAATAAAAATTATTTCACTGATGGTTGTAGGACAAAAATTTAAACAGAAAAAGTGGGGGTCAAATTAAAAAAACAAGAAGCATGAAAACAGAGGGAAACTAAAAAGGACATTCTAAATCGGAAGATTAGAGGGCAAATTGGGCAAAGGGAAACAAACTGAAAAGGATAATTGCCAAAGAAAGAATGGAAATATTTAAAGCCAAGATCATAACAAGTTTTGCCAAGAAGCAAAAAGCCTATAAACCCAGATTACAAAAGAGCGAGTTGCGTTACTTGAAACTTTTATAAAGAGGACAGAGAGCGACATTTCAAATAATGACACGTAGAACACAAAAAAAAAAAAAAAAAGGAGAAACCACGAGACAACAGGTGGAAGCCAAAAAAAAAAAAAAAAAAAGGAGAAACAGAGGACAACAGGTGGAAGCAATTTCTCTAAATTATCATACATAACATACAAACATAAATAAAAATCATAAATGAAAGAAGAAGAAAGAGTCGGGGGATGAAGAGGAGGGAACAGGGTTTTTGGACAAACCAGGGCAGAGGCAGGCAGAGAAGAGAAGCTGAATCTTTCTGAGATAGAAGAAGCGCAGGGACGTAGCAGAGAAGACAGATGGCAGAGGCAGACATAAATTCACAGTTACTCCAACAATTCACTGCTCATTTCATAAGTGGTCAGAGATTCTTTTTACCGTTTTTATTATTGTACAATTTCATTAATATTTTAGGATCTGTTAAAAAAAATTTAAAAAAAAAAAAAAAGATTTTGTGAAGTTGCAGTGGCTAAAAGATTCTGATTAGGTTCTTATCCGCACCCGATTGGCGACTGAGTCTGATACTGAGCTTCACTGGACGCCGGTCAGAGCCGGTTCTTTTTTGTCTCCCTTCTCTTCTTGGTACGTATTTTTCATGTGGAATTGTTCATGCACGTGCCTTTTTCATAATTTGGCTATTAGCACGAAATTCATTAGTATTTTCTGTAATGCATTCTTTCTACTTTGGCAATTGGCTCCATTTCATATTTATTATTATCTAATAATATAAAAAAACATGTCCTCACCGTGAACATGTTCTAAAGTTAGGAAATTGGCTAAAAAATAACAAACTGAGATTAAAAATTGTTTTAAAATTCAATTTCAAATTAATTGAATCAAACCATTATATACATGGAGATGGTGCATTTGAAAACATTACTAATATTTCTGAAATATTTATTTTATTTTGATCAGTTGGAAGTAAATATTTGATTGTCCAAAATTTGTAGATAATCCAAAAAACGATTGAATGAACATAAAGCAGGGACTATGTATTGAGAAATGGACAAAAAAGGGGATATTTTAGCAGTCAAGTAAAGCTTAGCCACAGGCAGATTTGAATATTGCTAGCTTATAAGCCAAAAAAAGTAGAAATCAATAGCTATCATCAAACCAAAGCCTTGTGCGTTAATTGCCGACACCTTAAGTATCTATCAATACACTCATACTAACAAAGCCAGGCTGCCTTTACTTTGCTTCTTAATCATTTCACTCTCATTACCATATTACCATAAAACTACTGTTAATTACGCTTTTATTAATCTCGAATCCACACCTTTCTTTTATTTGCATACGTGTTTTTATACTTATTGAATCAAAATGATGCTGAATTTGAAATTTTCTGCTTTATAAATAAATTTCACTTGAAAATACAGTGCACTCACACTGAACTAATTACGTATAAATTGGCTATTTTGATTACCAATTTTGTAACTTGTTATTTATTATTATGACAATAATAATACGAACTTGCTTCTCAATCATGTGAGTAATTAATCAAATTCAAAAAGATGAAAACCCATTAATTAAGCAAGGGAATGAGATTATACAAATGATTGTATATGGCTATTCTTTAACCCTAAATTAAGAGATTGTTATAACTAATGATACATATGTATATATATTATTAGTTAATGTTACCATTAACTTTTGGTGAATATACTAACATCTAGCTTCGCTTCTCTTTTAAGCTTAATAATTAAGCAAAAAAGGAAAAAGGAAAGAAAAGAAACAAGAAGAACACAATTTGCAAGTCACTTTTACTCGTTTGATTCATAGATAAGCAGTGTCAACATTAACTTGTTAGTGGGTTTGGTGATTTCTTTCTGTCTTACGTTAAGGGTATCTCATATTTTTAAGTTTGGTTTGCTACTAAGTTAACTACTTCTTCCTCACCGACTCTTTAAAACCTTAACGGGGACTAATCCTGAACGGTTAAACCTCCTCCTCCATCGTATTAAAAAAAAAAAAAACAACTGATTAGCTATACTGCACGAAGACGGATATGCGGATGGAAACACAGAAACGCTGAAACGGAAAAATGATATTTAAAAAATAATTTTTACACGGACATGTAGAAACGATGGCTAAAAGTTTCAGTGCACATCATAGCTGATTAGTCATCATGATAAATAAGTAACGCAAAAATAAAGCACCCAGAGTTTCCTGGAAGCTGCAGCTTAATTTACCAGTCCGCTTATGCTTGCAACTGTTAAAATTTTAGCCAACCCAAGTAATCTAGAAAGAACCACCAATTGTCAATGGCTGCTCATCAGACAGACGCCGTGAGCAACGTTTATACCCACTGTATATGTATATATTATTCTTTTTTTTTTTTTTTTTTATATAGTTATTCTTTTTTTTTTTTTTTTTTCTTTTTTGAGAAGGAGATGAAAATTTTTTTTTTTTTTTTTCTTTTTTAGAAGGAGATGACTATTTAATTTTTCAATTATTCAAATACGTAGAAGGTGGGCTAGACTCAAATTCCTTAACCGTGGGCTTTTTGGACTTGCAGTGGGCACTGTACTAACCCAAGCGACTCCAAATCTTGACTCGGTCATAACCATTTTTTTATTATTTTTTTTTTATGTTTTTTCAAAACCAAATTTATTTTAAAGCACTAAACTAATGTTTTGTTGTTTGTGACAGAAGGCATCCAATGATAAAATGATTATTACACTAAACTTGTTGATTTCATATCTATCTGTATTGTTTGTTCTTTTCAATTTTTTTATTATTATTCATTTTTAACTCATTTACATGTTGTTTTGGACATAATTTCTGTAAATATTTATCTAATCTGACGAAAACATGGCTGTCAGAATTTGAATACATTAGAAAAGTTTATTAAATAATTTTCCTTACATGCCATAACAAGCCACAATCACGTGACTAATTAACTAAATTGAAAATATAATAATGATAAAAGAGACACATGGTACATATTTTTGTTAACAGTATTACAATAAAATATGAAAAATATGTAAATGTAAATAAAAATAATTATAATTTTTCGGGGGAATTAATTGAATTTATAATTAAAATTTTTTTATAATTAAAAAAAGTAGCAACTAGTGTGTATTATTATATTATATAGACTAAACAAACCACTCTGTTGAAATAGCGATTTAAGTGCTAATTTTTTTTCCTCTTGTCAATTTTAATTTTTGACTATACGTTCAAGGAGGTAGAATGAAAAGTTAGAAGGGGAATTGCATCATGGGATTAGTTATTATTTCTCACCTTAAATTATTTTTATTGTTGTTGACAATTTTAATTTAAAAAGCTAGACATACGATTACATCATTTTTGTTTATCCCACACCAATTGTCATTTTAGAAAATTAAAATAAGTAATAAAAATTATTTTTTAGTATATTCATTAACTATTTTGAGAGTTCAAAAAAGAATAGTTTAGTTAATTATAATTAACGTTTCGTGCAATTAATTTAATGAGACTTTATTATTATGTAATAATGATAACTAAAAATGGAATACCCTGTAATAGCTGAATCACTCGTGACTTTCCTGGAATCACCATCTAAAATGTCAACTGGCTGCTGCCAAATCATAGGAAATAGTAAACAAAACGACCAGTTGCTTCTCTCTGCTCAAATTATGCCCATCTTCTCTCCATCGATTCTCTTTACTTCCTCCATGAACCAACACCGCCCCTAAACGCTTTCTCCATGTCCCTTCTCTACCGCTATCAGCTGCCTTTCTTCTTCTTCACATTTCTATTTCTCTCTTTAACCTTAACCCTCGCCCAAAACGACACCGTTCCATGCCCGCTCGACTTCAGTGTCATTCGCAATCTCGTCGCCGACTCCAAACCCGCCTCTGTTCCACCTTCCCAGGAATGCCAGTACGTCAAGCAAGGTCTGCGACTCGTCCTATCCTACTATCTCCAGCGTACTAATAACTTCTTGCCTCCACTCGACTCAGCGGAGTCCTGTTGGCGCGCTTATGAGAAATTTCTCGATGATTTTAGGCCCAATTATGATGTTCGATCCTCTTGTGGCTTTAACACTAGCTGGATCTCTCAAGGGTGTATGAACATCACCACTAGATCGCAATACGAGTCCTTGATTCCCAAATCGTCGTTAGACGATGTCGTTTCTAACTGTAATCAGTCGTTTGAGAATAATTCTCCTTGCGCTGCTTGTACCGCCAGCTTGTCGAAACAACAGGCTTCGTACTTAGACGGAACGTCTATCGGGAACTTGTCGGACTGCCAAGCTTATCCGTCGATTTATGCGGCGGCTTTTGCTAACAGGTATGGCCCCACTGATACAGGTACTGCAAAGTGTATGTTTTTGCTTGATTTTGTCCCAAAGAATTCACGTCGTACAAAGAAGAAGAAAGTTTTGATTTTGCTTTTTCCTATTTCGGGTGTTGGGTTGTTGATAATAATTGGTGGGTGTTGGTTTTTGAGGCGAAGGTTTAAGCGTTTGAGGAAGAAGAAGAATGGGGAAAGAATTAGTGGGAGAGATGCGATGAGTTTCGGATTGGAGTCTATTAAAGAAAGTACTACGCTAGTTGAATACAATTTTGATGAGATAAGGAAGGCAACTAAGAATTTTTCTAGGGTTTATATCATTGGAAGAGGAGGATATGGAAATGTGTATAAAGGTGAATTGCCTGATGGGTCTCAGGTAGCTTTGAAAAGGTTCAAGAATTTATCAGCTGCTGGTGATGCTAGTTTTATTCATGAACTTGAGGTTATTGCAAGTGTGAGGCATGTAAATCTTGTTGCTTTGAGAGGTTATTGTACTGCTACTACTCCATTTGAGGGTCATCAAAGGATAATTGTGTGTGATTTGATGACGAATGGGAGTTTACACGACCATTTGTTTGGTTCTGCAAAGAGAAAGCTCAGTTGGCCTATTCGGCAGAAGATTGCGCTGGGGACAGCAAGAGGATTAGCTTATTTGCATTATGGAGCTCAACCAGCAATCATTCACAGAGATATTAAAGCCAGCAATATACTTCTGGATGAAAGTTTTGAGGCTAAGGTAGCAGATTTCGGGCTGGCAAAGTTTACGCCAGAAGGAGCAACACATTTAAGCACAAGAGTAGCTGGGACTATGGGATATGTTGCTCCTGAGTATGCTCTGTATGGGCAGTTGACAGAGAGAAGTGATGTCTATAGTTTTGGAGTTGTACTTCTTGAGCTTTTGAGTGGAAAGAAGGCACTCACTATGAGTGATAACACTCAGCCTGCTCTTGTGACTGATTGGGCATGGTCATTGGTAAAGAAAGGGAGAACTTTAGATGTTATTGAAGATGGTATGCCTGAATTAGGCCCACAAGAAATGTTGGAGAAGTATGCATTGATTGCAGTTCTGTGTTCTCATCCACAATTATATGCTAGGCCAACTATGGATCAGGTGGTGAAAATGCTGGAAACCGAGCAGTCAATTCCAGCAATCCCTGATAGACCAATTCCACTCATAGCCGATATGGATGATATTGAGAAATCTGTGAGTAGTAGTTTCTCAGGTCAGCTGTCTAGTTCTGCTGGCTACCAACCATATACGCTGGAGAGTGGTCACCCTTCTAGCCACAAGGAGGAAAGGTCCAGTTCAGACTCTAGACCAGTAGAATTATTGTTGTAAATTATGTAGTTTGGCCTGAGAGTGTATAATTTGAGCTCTCTTGTTTGGCATATGTTCTACCTGATCTGTTTCTCAGTTTAGATGACTTAAGACTTTGGAGTCACAAGTCTCAACTCCCATTGTAAAGATACATTTTTAATGGAATTTGATTCTTTTGAAGATATAGCGTGATTAAATTGTACCCCATCAGAAGTTTTCTTTTTACATGTGCTATTTTTTTGTATCTGGCATGGAGGTTTTTATACATTCACCCTTTTTTCATATGGTCCTTTAGATCCCAAATTCTTTGTTACAACGGCGAACGACATGTCAACGATCTCCTTAAAAATCAGATGAAAGGAATACCAAATATCAAAGATATCCCAAACGACAAGTCGCTTTTTTTATTATTATTATTATTTTTTACTGTTTTTTATTAAACACCAGCCGCGACACAAGTGCCAAGAGAAGAGAACACGTCGTCACCATACGTTGGCAATTTCTGAGGATCACCAAATCTGACGCTAAATAAAATATTGTTCCGGAATGACTTGTAGAATGCTAATTTTAGCTGTAATATTAAATTAATTAGATTGAGTTTCAACTCAACACAACACCCCTGGATTAGCTTTCGACCTAATTAATCACGTCACGTCTGTTTGATGATAATTATTATTATTAACTTCTAAATTTGGAGGCCTGAACAAAAAAAAAAAAAAAAATTGAATTTGGAGGCTCTGAACAAAAAAAAAAAAAAAAATTGAGGGTCTAAGCTCAAAACAAAGAAACCGACCAACAGCGGACAAAAACGACCCTACGACACGCCGGGGGTGAATCAACTTTCAATAGCTGTGGAGTTAAATGCAAAAAGCCTCGTTTCTTCTACTTTAACTCGAATTAAGAAAAATAAAAGATATTTTCCTCAATATTAGTCTTAAAAAATGAAATCAGTATTTAGTCAAGAGATTCTTATTTTGGAAAATCCAAACTCTAGGAATTTGTTTCTTACATTGAAAGGGGAAAAACAAAAAACAAGACCAAATAAAAAACCTTGTACTGTTGCAGCTCTGTCAAAAAAAAAAAAAAAAAAAAATTGAGGTCTGAAGCTCAAAACAAAAGAACCGACCAACAGCGGACAAAACGACCCTACGACACGCCGGGTGAATCAACTTCAATAGCTGTGGAGTTAAATGACAAAAACCTCGTTCTTTCTACTTTAACTCGAATAAGAAAATAAAAGTATTTTCTCAAATATTAGTCTTAAAAATGAATCGTATTTAGTCAAGGATTTCTTATTTGAAATCCAAACTATAGGAATTTGATTTCTTATTGAAAGGGGAGAAAAAAAAAAAACAAGCAAATAAAACTGTACTGTTGCAGCTCTGCAAGTTGCAATAAAAGAAGATATCACATTCAAAGAATTGAATCTGAATTAAATTTTATTGTATAACTGCTCGACCAAAAAATATAATTTTTCTTAAGAAAAAAAGGACATATGCTGAGATATTTTGTCTGCCGTGTGCATCTGAAAGTCAAAAACAACTTCCAATTTGTACGTAAACGACAAGACACACATGAATTACAATTATTTTCTACACTTTCCTATGCAGACAAAGTTAAAAGTTTGAACTCCATCCAGATCTATGGTTATGGTTATATATGCTCCTGGTAATGGTAATAAAAATCAGCATCAGCAAGGGATCTTAAGGACGAGAAATTTCTCACCTTGTATATTTTGCCATCCTCATTTTGCAAAAGGTTCTCTTCCTTCCATTTTGCATACCTTCTGTAAGCTTAAAAGCGCTTATTCAGCTTTCTTCCATTTCCCTCAGATAAATAGAGTAGAAGTTAAATAGAGAAGAAATGGCCATTAAAGAGGAAATAGAAAATGGTAATGGTAAAAACGGTGTGCACCAAGAAGCGAGAGAGCCTTTAATGAGGAAGAATCTAGCAGATGAGGAAAATGGATCTAGAGAACAAAATAGCAGCAAAGAGAGTGTCTGGATGGTTTATCAAAGCACGTTTGTTGCGGTGTGTGGTTCTTTTGAATTTGGATGCTGTGTAAGTACCCAATTTTATATTTTCGCTAGAAGCTTAGATTAGATTGCAGCTTATGAATCATAATTTTGCTTCTATTACTAATTCAGTCAAGAAAATGTTTTTTGTTTTCAGGCAGGCTATTCCTCGCCTACTCAAGATGCCATAACAGAAGATCTCTCTCTAAGTCTAGCAGAGGTAAATTAATGGCAAGTCCACTCATCTATTAAACATCAAACCTACAGTGATAGAATTTTTGGAAGAATATACTATCACAAGCATAATAAGAATTTCATATCGCAACATCTTGGAAAAAGAAATAATAGAAAGCAATATGCATGAAAAAAAGGGAGACGTGTGTTCAAGATTTTAATTTCCAAACTGATATGTGATAGTTTGTGTTGTATGCAGTATTCTGTATTTGGTTCCATACTGACATTTGGTGCAATGATTGGTGCAATCACAAGTGGTCCAATTGCTGATTTTATTGGCCGAAAAGGGGTAAGAAATCTTTTGATGCGGTTTTCAATTCTTAGTACAGTTTGTACAATGGATATCCACCATATAACATAGTTGACATATGGAACCATGCCAGGCAATGAGAGTTTCTGCTGCCTTCTGTGTAGCAGGGTGGCTTGCCATTTACTTTGCTAAGGTTTGTGTCATCTTAAAATCTTAATCATTGCTTCAGGCTGGATAGAAACCTTAACTATGTTCCAGATATGTGATGCATTTTGTCTTGATCAACATAAAAGGGGGTTTTGGCATTAGATTTTGGAAGACTGGCAACCGGATATGGGATGGGAGTTTTTTCTTATGTGGTACACTTTCCTTTTCTCTTCCAACTTTACTTCTTATTGCTTGTTTTTATACATACTAATCAATTTTACACTGGTTGCTAATGAGTTTGATTCCATTTTGAATTTGATGGCAAGGTACCTGTGTTTATAGCTGAAATTGCACCCAAAAATCTTCGAGGAGCTCTAACAACTTTAAATCAGGTAAAGATGTGCACCTAATAGAATTTGTGAAACACAAACCTTGTTTTTTATTACAAAATAGCAAAAACAGATTGCAGATCTAATGTAATGAAATGATATATTTTATCTTATTCTACAGCTTATGATATGCGGTGGAGTGTCGGTTTTCTACATAATAGGGACAGTACTAACATGGAGGGCTCTAGCATTAACCGGTAAAATTTCTTGCTCTATTATATGCGATATTTAATCACCAAAAGAATAGAAACAGGCATATTCTTCGGGATAATATACATTTAAAATAAGAATGAACAAAAAAGAGAAATCATACTAGAACAGGAGGCTTACGTGAAGTGCTTGCAGGACTTGTCCCCTGTGGTATTCTGCTTTTAGGCCTATTTCTCACTCCAGAGTCCCCCAGATGGCTGGTAAAAGATCTCAATGCAGCAATATTTAGCAACTTTTATCTCTACACACACACATCAATTGTATAAAATTGAAAATGTATAGAACACGTCTCAAGAATGCAAATGCAGGCAAAGATGGGACGTGACAAGCAGTTTGAGACTGCACTAAAGACACTACGCGGCGAGGATGCTGATATAACTCAGGAAGCGGATGAGATTAAGGTTCTTAATCCTCAAACCTGTTGACAATGTGTTCACAGCTGCATTCAAATGAAAGTATGACAATGGGTAGTGGGTTTTTGCCTAACAGGATTATATAGAAACCCTTGAGCGGCTCCCGAAAGCCAAACTGCTAGATTTGTTTCAAAGAAGATACCTCCGCTCAGTTATTGTAATAGTTTCTCCCTAAAATCATATTTTGCTTTTACTTTCAGTTGATATCATCTTGAAAGGAAAATCAATCACAAACTCTGACATTCAACTATCACATGATCTTCTAACCCTTTACTTGTCTGACCAGATAGGAGTTGGATTGATGGTCTTTCAGCAATTTGGAGGAATCAACGGAGTCTGCTTTTATACCAGCAACATATTTGAGTCAGCAGGTAAAGATATCTCTTTAGATGAAAAGAACATTTCATTCTTTCCGTTAATCTGCTAAGAAAATATTCTTAACCATTCCTTTCAGCTCCTATATATTCATTTTGCTGTCAGAAAAAAATCAGACAACTTAATTTTGATCTGATATCTCAAAAGTTTGGGCTTTTTAGCTCCATAAACATTCTAATTCTTTTATTTGCAATGACTCAGGGTTTTCTGCCACTATTGGGACCATAGCCTATGCCATCATTCAGGTTTCTAATTTTTTCCAGCATGATAAACTTCATGTTAGTCTAAAATATATCCATCGGGCAGAAATTAACTGAAATGAAAGTATTTTGCAGGTTGTAGTTACTGGCCTTAACACAACCGTGATAGACAAAGCTGGAAGAAAGCCTCTATTATTGGTAACGTTTTATTCAAATGTCATTTAACTCAGAAGATTAAGTTGCACCCATCTCCTTTCACATACTGAAAAATAAATTTCGTTTCCCTTGTATATTAGGTTTCCGCATCAGGACTAGTCATTTCCTGCTTGATAACTGGGATTTCATTCTATCTTAAGGTTATACCTTCATTATCAGACCTAGCAACTTCTTTATAGTCTTTCTCAAATATTAACATGCAAAACAACTTTCAATGAATTAGGATCATGAAATGGCACTCACTTCTGTACCCACACTCGCCGTTACTGGCATACTGGTAATATCACAAAACATTATCAAATATGTTGTTTTCGCAGAGTGATCTCCTGCAAAAATAATTTCTAATTATTTATCTGAACTCAGTTGTATATAGGATCATTTTCAGCAGGGATGGGTGCAGTTCCCTGGGTAGTAATGTCAGAGGTAGTTAATCTACTTTGCAAATGAAAATTCTATTTATGGATTGAACAATCCCCTCCCAATATATTTAAAAAAAAAAAAACTTTTGCTGCAGATATTTCCTATAAATATTAAAGGAGTAGCAGGAAGCCTAGCAACACTAACGAACTGGTTTGGTGCATGGGCAATTTCCTACACCTACAACTTCCTTACGAGCTGGAGTTCCTATGGTAAACTGAAACAAAAATTTTATTACATGAAGAAGCCATTTTTTTCACTAATACCACAAAAAGCAAAAGAAGAAGACTTATGCGTTTGTTTTGAGATAAATGGTGCATAGAAGCTTAAAAAATTATGTTCTATGGGTTGCAGGTACCTTTGTTCTTTATGCTGCAATCAACGCATTGGGTATTGTTTTCATAGCGAAGGTGGTACCAGAAACCAAAGGAAGAACCCTGGAACAAATTCAGGCAGCCATTAATGCATAAAGAGAGACAGGAAATGAATGAACCAAAAATTGGCATCATACTTCAGAAATAAATGCTATTACCAAGCCAAGTCTAACAAAATGGGATCTGGGAAGGAATTGCTAAATGCTGATGCCCTTCATGTATAAACAAACAATTGTCACGATGGGTGCTAAGATTTGGTATATCATGTTGATTATTTAGATTCAAATCAGCTTATGTCTTCAAGGAAATGAGAAATTATCAATTTAATACAGGGGATAATGAGCAGAATGGAAATAAAGCTATAAGAGCTGAAATTATCAATAACCAACGAACTCCCAACTTTGAAAAAAAATAGCTGCATAGTTGCTTATCAAAACCATTGAAAATCAAAATAAGATGAGAAACAGTCACGAGAGAATCCAGCGGACATGATTGCCAGTTGGCTGCGCTAAAATACATTCAATCGGGCTTGATAGATCGATTAAATGAGATGGAGATTATGCAAATCGGCTGGGCGCTGGAAGACCGAGTGGCGGGAAGGAAAGGTTTTCAGATAGAGGAAAAGCTTCGGAAAACGGCGGATTCATTGTCGTTTGAGAAACGATGAGTTCGATTCTAGACGAAGAGAAAAACGACGGATTCTCGTTAGAAAAAACCGTTCTTTTCTTTCACCACTTATTTTATTTATCATGGAATTGCTCGTCCTCACATATCTTATGGAGTGTGCTTATACATGAGAATATATGGATTGTATATGTTCAGTGTTAATATGTATTGTGTTATCATCTTCCCATCACAACAATTTCTCTAGTCAAATTAGTTGAGCTATAATCCACAAGACGAGTCTGCACTTACTGCCACAAGAACAGACGATTCCATAACATCAACAATTTTGCGGTTTCTTATAATCTTTGGTGGTTTATACTGACTAGCTGGTGCTCCATTCTCCACTGCAACTAGTAATATCTCATTAAAGCTACCAGGCTTCACAATGTATACCGAAAGAGGGCCTATCTTACCCTTATCCCTCTCCACCTTGTATATGCCTCCCAAACCATCCTCGAGAGAATAACAACATTTCTTCAAAGCTTCAATTGATTCTTGCAATTTCTCCTCTCTAAGTTCTATAAAAACCTTCAATTGCTTTGGACTTGTTTCCAAGTCCAAGAAACTTGCAAACTCGATAATCTCTACTGATATCAAACTTTCCATAGCAGAAATCAAATCCCTCTCTGTTATTATTTCATCTGCAGTTTTTGGAGCTCTCATTACAAACTCCACTTCTGGGGATGAATTATGAAAACCAACAACTCTCACAATATCGCCCAACCGATAACGATATAATCCTCTATAAGTAGTCACAACTACCTCATATGTCTTCCCTACATCAACATCTGAAAAAGTCATAGCTTTTTCGCTGACAACACTCTGCTCATTCATATCAAATGGAAGAAACTCAAAATATGCAGCAGTTGGAAGCATAACGAATCGAGTTGCCTCTGGAGGTTGCCTAATATCTAAATTAATACCCACAGGACATTCTGATGCGAAGTAATCTCCACCTAAAATCATTATCTCTCCTGCATAGTACTTGAGTTTGGGATAATACTGCTTCATGCTTCCAGTTATAACACACTTAACATAACGAACATTACACCACAGTTTAGACACAATCCCATTCCAATTCTTTTCCTCAAAAATCGATCGAAATCTCTTCGACAAATCAGGTTGAGGCCCATCAAGAATATTAGAAACGGATTCTCTCATTGCAGGATTCGTAACCTGCGTGCTCAAGAACCCATTTTCAAGATCATCACATAGTTGCTTCCATTTGGACTCTAGCAGACTAAATGCTTTAACTATGCCTATAGCATAAGGAGCACGAATCCCATCAATTAAATCAGAATTTCTAAGTGCACAAAGAAGGTGGCAATACATTTGGTTCTCAATGTCAGTACCCAAAAGGACTTCAGGAGGACTAATGCAGGGAAGAACTTGAGACCAATTCACTTCACTGGTTTTTGAGAAAGGGTATGTAGATGCAGCCATAACCTTGAAACCGCCTCTTGTAGTTGTAGTAACATCAACATATAAAAACCATAGGATCTTATTCACTTCAGGCTTCGGTGGAAACAGCCTAACTCAACAAAATTCAAATCCCAATTTACAAAACAATTACTAAAAGCAAAAGATTAATTGTAATAATTAAATAAATTGATTACCTACGAAAAATTGCACTGCTGCCTTGGTGTGCTATGTAGGAAGCAGCCCTTGATAGAGCCGAATCAAAGTATGGTATCAATTTGGGGTTCATTGTACTAGTTCCAGAGCTACAATTTTTAAAAAATATAAATAATTTTGTTATGAGGGAGAGAAGAACTTGAAAAGTAAAGAAATGGAGGCACGTTTTTCACCTGTAGAAGAAACAGAGGAGTGGGTCAACGGAGAAGACTGGCTCACTATGATCGAGTTCGCCATTAGCCATTCGATTGATGTGATCAGCGTAATCATCGTAGCAAGACAACGGCACTCGGCGGTGAAAATTTGCGGCGTCAATTGATTCATGATGGCCTGCGAGGAAGGGCCGAAGATAACTTACACCAGCTTGGTGTTCAAGGATTGAGCAGAGAGTTTGAAGCTGGTGGTGCACCGCGTCTTTCGTTAAGTCCTCCAGCTTTTGCAGAAGCTCTTCGTCAGCCATCTGTGATACGGCAGCGTTTATCAATAACAGTGCAGCTATGCAGAGTTACCTTCTGCGGAGGAGAGATCAGGAACTATATTGCGGAACTCGTTAGAACTGGCCAACTATGGAGGTAAGGTAAGAAAGATAGAACGAGTTGGGTCGGTCGGGTTTTGACTTTGGAGTACGATTGATTAGCAGCTAATGGACGTATTCTTTTTTTTTTTTTTTTTTTTTTTTTTTTTTTTTTTTACGGCAGCGTTTATTCAATAACAGTGCAGCAATAGTGCAGCACGTTACCTTCTTGCGGAGGAGAATCAGGAACTATATGCGCGAACTCGGTTAGAACTGGCACAAATATGGGTAAGGTAGAAAGATAGAACGAAGTTGGGTCGGTCGGGTTCTGACTTCTGGAGTCGATGATTAGCAAGCTACATGGACGTATTCTTTTTTTTTTTTTTTTATTTATTTTTTTTTTTTTATTTTGTCCTTTTTTTGGCATTATATGAATTAAAAGTAAACAATCACATATAATTGCTTATTCAACTAATACCTCCCGTTTTTTTTTTTTTTTTTTTTTTTTTTTTTTTTTTTTTTGTCCTTTTTGGCATTTATGAATTAAAAGTAAACAATAAACACATATAATTAGCTTATTCAACTAATACCTCCGTCATCGTTTGACTGATAAATTAAGAAAAGTTAGTTATTTTAGTTAACTCATAAATTTTTTTTTTCAATATCCCCTTATGTTAATATTTATAAAAATTAAATCATTCATATTAAATTATTTTTTAAATTAATCACATATTACTTAAATAAAGTTTTATTGAAAAATTAAAAATTAATATGTAATTTTATTTATATTAAAATGTTAACAACAATATGATAGTTTGACTGTTATATTTGTTGATAAAGAGATATATTAAATAAGTTTAAAATAATAAATTTTAAATATTATTTATTTCTAAAAAAAAAGAAAATATGACAATAATTTGGGACGAACGAAAAAGCAAAAGTAGAACAAAAATTACGAGATAACGGGCACATTTTAATATTTCTTGTGAGTGAGTGATTGATTTATTAATATTTTAATTTAATTTTATAAAATTATCCCTTAAATTAAGAGTATGATGAAAAAGAATAATTATGAGCACCAAAAAAATAAAAACTAAAAACAAATCACAAGCACTAACAAAGAAAATTAGAAGTAAACAATTTAATAGCATCTATCTATGATTTAATTGTTTATAAATGTCTCTAGTTTCCCCACGACCTTTAAATATGTTTTTAAATGTGTTTTTGTTGTGTTTGGCTATAAATAGCCGTGGGTATTTTATTCATTTGGATATCATACCCATTTAAAAGGGTATTTTAAATAAATTTGGAATGAATAGAATTAGTAAATTGAATATGACTACTTAAACGGATTTGTAACCATATAGATATGAGTACTAAAATTCTAAATGGATACAGATACAAAATTAGAATGAGGATAAGAAGTGAAATCGGATATAAATACTTAAACGGATCGGAATCAAAATGAGTACGGACATAAAATTTTAAACGGATAGAACTGAAATGAGTATGGATGATAAAATTATAAATAGATACGAATATGAGATAACTCAAAATTCGCGGGTATCTACTTTATTTTCAATTCCATTGTATCCAAAAAATTACAAAAATCGAAATTTTTATTACAACTACAAAATAGAATTATTTTCTTGAAAATAAAAAAATAATTTGTATTAATAATTTTATTTAAAACATTAGTAATAAAATTATTTTTCTAAGTGAAACTCACCCCAATGCAACGTACGAAAAAAGCATTATCCATTTTTCTTTTTATATATTTTTTTCTTTCAAAAACCATTTATTCTTATCTCAAATAATACTATAATTTCGGTCTCGCTAAAAGGTTTCGCTGCACCAAAATACTCAAATCACACAAACAGAAAAATGGCACGGACACAGTTATGAATATTTCCGAAAGAGCGATCGGCTTCTCTCTAACTCCCCCCAACTCCAGCGATCTCGAGTTCGTCCCCAACAATGCGGCGGTGATCGACGTCTTTCTAGGTACCGTTGGTCATGGCGGATTCGATTTCCCCAGGAAGGTTGTAGGATACGAAAGCTCGACGGAAAATACGAACGGCAACGATCTGTCAGCGGAATCATCGCCGCCGTTTGGATCACTGGCGGAGTCAAAATCTATAAAGAGAATGCCTGGGGTTAGGAGATTGAAAAAGGAGTTGGAGGATTTCCCGCCTTTTTTGTCTACACTGGATAGAAGTGGAAGGCCGAGATTTACTCTTATTAAATTGAGAAGTAATGGAAGGTTGATGATCGCTCTGGCGAGGAGCGATAGGCCTGTGATTGTACGGAGTTATGGAAGAGATGGTGGATTGATACTGGAGATGGTTAACTGGAAGCAACAATGTAACGGCGACAGCGGAGACAATGAAGAAATCGTTGAAGAAAGGGAAGACAGAGATTGTTAGTGTTTGGACATAGGAGAAGAATGATATGGATTCGGGATAGAATAACATTTTAGCAGAATTACTGGTTAAAACTTACTGGAGAAGTATTAAATTTTTTTAAGATACGATATAATTTTGTGCTTATATTGGACGGCTCAGATAAGATAAACAAGATCATATACTGATTATATGATATATTGAAATTGAATTCAATATTTTTGTCCCCGTAACAATTCACTGGCTTTTCATCCTTACAACCAAATACCCTTTGAAATTTTTAATAGTTTTATTTTTTATTTTTTAATAATTTTTTCTCATATTATCTATATATGTAATTTAATAATTATATATATATATTTTAGTTTCCTGTTAATATCCCGATACCTTTATTTATTCTAATACAAAACTAATCTATTTCGAGATTAAATCAAACTTTTAGCTTAATCCTTAACTATACATTTATGAATATAAATAAGACGGTAGAGTTTGAATATAGATAAGACAGTACAATTTATATAAGATAAGACTTTTTGACATTTTATGTATAGTACCTAATTTTATTTAAGAAATTTTTTTTAAAAATATATGCTTTTTCTTAAATAATTATGGGATCTTTAGAAATATTCATTTTGTAAAGGATGGCTATGGAAAAGAATGTGTAAAATCGTCTGCGTTTGATAGAATGACTTGTCGTTTCATGACCAAAATTGCAACTTTGTCTTTCTTTGTTCCCAAAATTGCAACTTTTTACCATGACACAACAAGAGGGAAAAAAAAAAAAAAAAGTCATTCGTCTGCGTTTTGCATAGGGATGGACTTGTCGTTTCCATAGACCCAAAATTGCAAATCTCTGTCCTTTCTTTGTTCCCAAAATTGGCAACTTTTACCATGACACAACAAGAGGAAAAAAAAAGGGGAAAAAAAAAAAAAAAAGTGGCGGTGGCATCACACATAATTAAATTTCTTAACCCCAGCCTGGAAAGAATCAAGCATGACATTAAAATACCATTATGCCTATGGAGTACAACTAAGTACTAGCAGATTCAGCACTGTACAATTATGATACCAACTCAGGAAATAAAATAATTAATAAATTATCTCTTAACCCCCGTTTTGATATATTAGTGCTGAAACTCGAAAGCTAGAATCTGTAAAAAGAAATTTTGAGATTAGACCGATCGACATTACTAAAACCTTAAAATTAACTAGTTAGCCTTATACCTTTATATATCAGAAAGCAGGTCCAAAATCATCTGCTTCCTCTCTCCCATCCATCCCATGAAAAAAACCAAACCAAACCCTAAAACACTAAAACTTATTTGCCATTAAAACATAAAAGAAGGGTCAAAAACTCAAAAATCTACACCCTCTCATGGCTGTGTGCTTTCCATATACCTTTAATTGGAGAAGAGTTTGATATCTTTATAATTTTTTGTTTAGGTTGGTGTTTCTTTCTAGTAAGGACATTTTCTTGATCACCACCGTTCATTTTTATCATATCAACTTTGACAATGTGATGATCAGAAGTTCCTTTTGAAGAAAACACTGAATATGAGCCTGGAACAAACTTGTATGGTGAATTTGATGAAGCCAATATGTAATCCACCCTAGTCCCATACTTGCATGTTCCTTGCACATCTGCCAAATTATAAATTATTTAATTAATTATGAGAGGAAAAAACTTAATAAAAATAAATACTGTGATTTAAAAAAAAAAAAAAAAAAAAAAAAAAAAAAAAAAAAAAACATACCTTTTTGGCTTTTAGCTATCATGAACGCACTGATTCCAGCAGTTCTCCTGCAAATTCCTTAGGATCAGCTGTAATGTTTACTGCTCTTCTTTATACTCTTCAAACAAAAAAAAAAAAAAAAAAAAAAAAAAAACATACTTTGGCCTTTAGCTATCATGACCACTGATTCACATTCTCCTGCAAATTCCTTAGCATCACTGTAATGTTTACTCTTCAAAAATCTCATCACTTCTACTTTTGGAGTTGGCTTTCCCATCTCCTCATAGTACTACAATAATTAGACAATTACATAATCATATTTAAAGTGTGATAAACATGTACTTTATGATAATATATAGTTGAGTAGCTTTTAGCATTTGGATTAGGAAAAACACTAAATGTTCGATAACATAGCATTTGAACTAGGTTTTAGATGTTAAAGTAATGTTTTATAAACTATAACGTTTAGCACGCTGCAAGCTAATAGCTAATAAAACAATTAATTTTGCCGAATAAATCGTAAAATTAATCAATTACCTTGACAATATCAGTCCACCTCTCTGCAGAGTAATCAGTTTCATCAAGGGAATTAAGACCTCCAGCTAAAATATGAGGACCATCATTAGATTGTATTATGGCATTTATTTGCTTCATTCTCCAATTTTCATCAAGGTGATCAAGATGGGTGCAATAGAAATTCAATTCTCCTTTCTCAGGCACATCAATTGTGGCCTTAAGAACATTCCTGTAACCACAAGGTAATCAATGGAGACACTCTGTTAATCAAATTGTTAAATATTGAAATTACATTAATTTACTCAAACTTATCAATATTTGACTTCAATATATAGTGGGATTAGTTGTGGATTGGTTGGTGATGAAGGTATCAATTTGTCCATTTCCTTCTTGTTTTTTAATTTTGATTATGTCAATGCTTCTTTTTAAAGAAATAGAATTATTATATTGTAACCCTCATTAACCCCTCTAAATAATTTAGTATACCTAAATTTCAGCTCTAACAATGTACAGCTACTCTTGAGTTAGTTAACATGAACTTCATTTTTACACTAAATAATAAACTAAGGTTAGAATTTGTAATCAATCTTCTTTAATTTTCATTTCAATCATATAATTAAATAATTTAACTAAAATACTCTAATTAAATTGCAGTTATACTAATGTACTTCTCACCTAACTGTAGAATAAACACAGCAACAAACAAATCCTAATTTTTGACAAGACAATAAGTGATAGTAAGACTTCTTTTACATAATTTTGATGTTTTTGGCAATGAGAAAAGACAGCATACCTCAGATAATCACAGTTAACAAAAAATTAAGAAATTAGTGGAATATTTTGTTCCTCCTAGTTTACTTGTACAGAGCTATTACAGATTTTCAAAGAAGGATAAGTTACGTTTAAAGCTATTAAATTACATGTACAAAAGCACTCCATAATTGCAGACTTTTCCAAAGTAATGATATTAAAATTTTGTCTTATAATGATTTTGCCCAGTCAATGAGTAATCATGTCAAGGTAAAAAAAGCAGTTCCTAACTTTTATTATTTTCTAAAGAGGAAAAAGGTAAAATATAATCATTACAGACAGAAACAGAGCCAAAACAGAGGATTGAGACATAAATTAGAATTACTAACCTGAAATCAGTATCGTCAAAGATCTTTTGCACTCTCCATTTCTTAATTGGCCATTTGGACAAGATAGCATTTCCATACTCAGGTGCCCAACTTTCAGCAAAGACATAATTCATTCCTAAAGCAGAGGCTAAATCCGAAAGAGGCTTCATAGCTTTCTCCTCCTCTGCTTTCACATCTTGCAAAGCCAATATATCAGCATCCAACTCTTTTAAGACTTCAAGCACTGTTCTTGTACTTCTATAACTCTCTACTTCATTTCCTATACTTCTTGCACTTTGTGACCTCATAGGAGCTTTGCCTCTCAAAATTCTAGTTAAGTTACTTGCTGAAGTTGTCTCCTTTTCCTTTTCTTCTGCGAACCCCAATTGCCTATTTCTCAACAATGAAATCTCGTTATCTGGCAAATTAATCGATACCCTTAATTTTGATTTGGCATATTTTTGCTGCTTTGGTAGAATTTCATTACTATTCATGGAATTTGGATGCAGGGGAGACGGCTTTAGTATACTCTTCGGCCGATCATTTGCAGATTTGGTGCGGAAACTAAAATCTGTTGATCTGGCACCCTTTTGGGAATCTTCATTGTCAAAGTCAAAACTTGAAGAATTCGGTAATTTAGGCACTGCAGGTGCCATCGAAAACAGAGCAGCATTGAAAGTTGCTATCTTTATAGGCTGCTCTGTTTTCAAACTATCTAATTGACCGTTTGGATGCACAGTAGCAGACCCATTTGTGATAGATTCATTTTTGGTGTCATTTTGAGGCTTGGGATTTGATTTCCCGAATTTTCTTATAATAATTTTGGACTTGGACTTCCGGCGAATCGGCCACCGGAGACGGGAACAGAACCGGCGGAGCCGTTTGTTAAGGATTTTGAGCATTGTACAGAATTGGGTATGCAGAAAAAGGGATTGAAAAGATGTTTTTTATGTGTCTGAAAAATGGCATGAAACAGAGGATATTTTTGTGTGGTTCTTGGCATGAATACTAACTAAGAAGGATTAGGATTAGTGAGTAAAGATCGATTAGGTTTGTTTAGGGAGGGAGCCTTCTAGGAAATGGGTTGGTGACACTTGGCAGCAAAGTAAGGATTGATTTGGAATTTAGGGTTATTTAACAGAAAACAGGTAAGAGAAATATAAAAGCCAAGATGCTAACTGCTCTAGAAAGAGAAATGCTTGCTAAAATGCTCTTTGTGTGTATGCGTTGTACAGTAAGGAAAATGCCAGGTTTCGAACATTAACAAATTACTTATAAATTATGTCATCGCCCATGCTTTGATCATTTCCCGTGTTTCTTTCTTAATATGAAAAGTAAAAATTCTCAAATTTTCATTTTGTGATATTCTATTTAAAATCAATTAAAAGTATATAATAATAAATTATTTTCTTATCTTGAAATCAAACTAGAAGAAATTTTCTTCTTGCAAATCCTTAAAGCATAGATAATCAGTGATATTATGTTATTTATTTTAGTGTTAAGATAATCAAAAGAGTATCTTTCGAAAATTTAAAATAAAAAAAAAAAAAAAAAAAATCTTGTCAGAAAATCAAAACTAGACAGAAATTGTCTTCTTGCAAATATGCCTTAAAGCATAGATAATCGTGATAATTATGTTATTTATTTTACGTGTTAAGATAGAATTCAAAAGAAGTATCTTTCGAAAATTAGAAATAATAAAATAAAAAAAAAAAAATCAAAGAGCTTAGCATATCTGCAGTCTATGCAATTTATTCTTAATGTTGGAACGCCACGGTCAAAACCTGAAATTACGCCGTAGGGCATAACTCCCAAGGAGTGAAGTGGGGATGCCGCCCGCGCGACAATTAGTTTGCAGAGAGATTTCATTCTGAGTGCTGAAAATGAAATGGCGTCGAATTGGTCTTAAATTTATTATTTTTATAAGTATTTTTTTAACATAGAACTGTTTTTTGGTCCCAAGGTCAACTTATACAATAAGGTTTTCCAAGTAAATAAAAATTTAAAAAAAAAAAAAAAAAAAAAATCAAAAGAGTCTTACATATCTGCAGTCTATGCAATTAGGATTCTTATTTGGAACGCCACGTCACCTGAAATACGCCGTGCATAACTCCCATGAGTGAAGTGGGACCCGACAATTAGTTTGCAGAGAGATTCATTTCTGAGTGGCTGAAAATGAAATGCGTCGAATTGTCTAAATTTATTATTTTTATAGTAATTTTTTAACATAAACTTTTTTTGGTCCAAGTCAATTTACAATAAGGTTTTCCAAGAAATAAAATAGACGGTAGACTGGTAGAGCATCATCTAATAATACTGAATATATTTCATTTATTATTCAAAATTGTTCTTTCTCCAAATTAAGAATATAAAAATAGTATCTAAGGACGTAAAAAGGTTGATAAATTGAAATCTAATTCGTACGTATAATACTAATTAAATATAAAATTTTAAATTAGGAGTTAGGTAGGTAAGGTAACAGATGGTTTTTATTTTTTTTAATATAAGATTGAATTAAATAAGTGGGTCTGTGTAGCTGGATTTGGTGTATGAAGAGTGAAGAGAAGGTATGAGTTTGAAATTACTGGACTTGTTGTGCTTGTGGTCGCTGAGTTTTCTTTTCCCCATCAGATAATCTTATTCCTGCTTTTGCATTCAAAGATCGAGACTTCACATCATATCTCACTGACCCCCTCCAAATTAAGACCTCCCATTCAAACATATGTATAAGACAAATATTTTGAGTCTCTGAATTTAATGCCGATGTCTTTCGATCTAAAAGTGTTAGGTTCGTTTGTCTTCTTGTTATGAACTGTTTGCTTTTATTTTATTCTGTTCATAGTTGAATCCACCGATATTGAAAAGTATGAAGTATATTTTTTAAGACAACTTCCGCTGCGGTGATTTTAGGTTTACCTTTTACTTTTTTTTTTTTTCCCAACACCTTCCACCATCAATGTATTGTAGTTAGAAATCATTTTAGACGTACTTCTTTCATTTTACCCTCAACTTGCTACTTTTTCCCCTAAATTATATATATTGATTGATGATATCAACAATTTTAAAAGAAAAAGAAAAAGAAAAAGGTGTACCATCTCTATTAATTTCCTCGAGCAGTAAGTATCTATAAAGGAGCAAGAAGAGGCAGTTGACTTCAGATGTGACGAATGTTGCATTGATGGAGGAATCTTATCCAAATCGTATGGACAGCTTCAATGATGAGCAGGAGTATCTTCAATGTAAAGAGACAGATGAGATGAGTAAGATTCACATGGCTGGTCACTAAAATAATTATTTGATTGAAATAAAATCTAGGTATGAAGGAGTTGATGAATGACTAGAAAGAAGTTCATCAATGCTGGAAAGGGCCACAGAGAGAGAGACACATACCATAACTGAGTTCATTAACTCAAATAGCATAATCCTGGTATCTGTTTTGTAATATAAATTACATCCAGAAAATGGACATCGCAAAATGAGAGATGATTTAGCTAGCTGCTTATTTTTCTCTATCTTCTTTTACCATATAATAATATAGGGATATATTTTTTACGGTCCACATCCCAGAAGCCCATATGTTAAGAAACTGGGCCCCAATTAGGTCCATAATTATAGAAAACAAAAAATGGAAAATGAAAATAGTATCGTCGACAGCAGGGTTCGAACCTGCGCGGGCGAAGCCCAACAGATTTCAAGTCTGTCTCCTTAACCACTCGGACATATCGACCAGTTGTTCAAGTTGTCTCCAATTTATAAATATATTAAATAATTCATATGATCAGCTATACCCATTCTAAATTTCTTTCCAATCAAATGATCAGCTCCAATAGAAAAATGTTGGAAGGGAAAAATGCTTCGAAACTATAAGTATCCTACTTTGCCTATTGGGTAGCATATATTTGCTCACTGTATTTCATTTTGGGTGGTCTATGTAATTTCCTAATTCTGATATGACCCTGCTTAGTTTGATGCCTTGACAATTATATAAGTACCGGAGTATATATGATATTCACTGGATGCATGAACTCGATTATTTGCTATTTGATTCAAACGAACAAAGATCAAGCATCCCCAGCTAAGAGAATGAACCATTTTCCAAGAGGGAAATAAAATGTCATATATCAGAACAGAACAAATAAATGAGGCAAAAAGAAGGTTCACATTTCATATATGGATTAAAAGCTTTTGACTCTATTTACAAGGTAAGTCAGCATCTCTACATGCTTCTTCGTCATTCTTTTTTTTTTCTTTCTTTCCTAGTTATACGAACTATTTATGACCCAAAAAGAACAAAATGAAACTCTCTCGTATAAAAACATAGCTTTCTCAACTCAGTTCCTGTTCCTGCAAAAAAAGATGTACAAGGCTCATTGTCATGGATTAGCAAAGCGGGCTGGAATCCGCCGCATGATAGGAGTCCGACAAGAAGGGCAGTCCTTCATCCCCTCTTCTTTGTGGAGTTCATTGCATTTTGTGCACAAGACCTGATGCGCACATGGGATAAAAACTACTGACTTCTCTTCTGATAAGCACATGACACACTCCCTCTCCCATCTTAAACCTCTAGTTCCAAAAGTTTCCTGGAAATGCACGATGTTTTCCAAGTTATTAGAGTCTTGGTTTCCCTTCATATTCACGTTAGCAGCCCAGTTGCCTGACAGGCCATAGTTTCCATCAATGCCCCTTTTAAGAGCAGCAATTCTTGAGGCGTCAGACTTCAACTTTAGATCAGATATTTCTTTCTCAAGCCTTTTGATGTCCTCCACACAATTCTTCACGTCATTTTCTGCATTTTGCCTTATCATATCCTCCTCTAGTTTTTTTGCAGCTTCAAGTTGTTCCCATTCATGCTTTATGGAGGCAGCCTGTGCAAGCCATTTTTCCTTTATCAATCTCTCCTGTTTCCATCTGGCCTGCGATTGGTTTTTTTTTTTATGCTTACAGTGAGAAAATACCAACTTATAAAATCAGGACAGACATTAAAATCTAATGCTACTTATTAACAGGCATTTCTGAGATCAGCAGAACTATACAATCCTTGACCTGATTCCTATGTAATAGGTTAAGCAACAGAGGAGATTGCCTCTTCCACATATTTTACAGATATTCTGAGAGGCTCTCAATCCTATAAAGTACCAGGTCTATCTAATCAAAAGTCAAAAATGTCACATAGTGCCATCACCAGGCATAGTTTTGAGCATGAAAATTAGGCCATTGTACTACTTACAAAGTAAAACGAGACATAAAGCAGTATTCAGCTAATAGAGATGCAAAGTCCATTAATTTAAGAGGTACTAGTATTTCTTTCTCATAAAGCATACCTCAAATTGGTTCTGTATCTTTTCTGCCTTGTCTATATTCCTTTGCAGTGTGAGCACCTTTTGTTTATGAGTTTCTAGCTCCTCCAGCAACAAGCTCTTCTGCCCATTCCATGATTGAGCATCCTTCAGGGCCTTCTGCTCTCTCTCTAGCGCTTCCTGACAACTCACGGCTGACTCTGCAGCTTGTAATTTTGCAGCCTCCAACGCCTGCTTCAGCAGAGAATGTTCCTCCTCAAGCTTCTGAATATTCGAATTAGATGTCTCAACCTGGCCAGTAGTATTAATCAAGGCATACTCCACTTCTGCTAACCTTTTCATGGCATTCTCCTCTATGACTTTCTTATCTTTCTTAAATTGTTCTGCCTCTTCCTTCTCCAGTTTGAGAGCTTTAAGCTCCGGCTTGTCTTTGCTGAGCCTACGAGCAGCCTGCATAACTTTCTGATTGGCCCACTGAGTCCAATTTTGGATATCATTCTGTAGTTCCTGCACCCGAGGAGCTATCCTTAGAATAAATTCATCTTTCTCATCTTGTGCGACATACTTCCCCACAGATTTGTCATATGGAATTCCAGCATAATAATCAGATATCTTTGGAAACAAAATGGTGTTCTCCTCTGGCTTCAATACAGGCTTCTTTCCCAAAACTGTGAGTTCAGTATTTGCTGCAGCTGAAGCATTTTTTATCCCCTCTTTCAAAGAGTCAACTGATGCAGATACAACAGGTGGAGTACTGGTAATAACATGACGACTTCCTTTCATCTCAACTTTGGCTTTTGCATTTGAAACAGAACCTTTTGTCCGGAGACCATGTGATTCAGATGGAGATTTCATTCTCTTTTCTGAAATAAAACCACCAAAACTTGTAATTTTTCCAGATTGGGAAATTGATTTACCATGATTCCTCAGAGCCCTCTCTGTATTCAAGGTTTTCTGCCAAATTGCAAGTTCTTTCTTGGTGAGTGTCTTGCGTCCTGTTTTTAATTTTCCCTCGGAGACAGATATATGGGATGTAGTTGTACTCAAGGATTTCTCAGAACTTCCTGACACAGAAAGAAAACTCTCCTTTTCTGGTTTTAGCCCATCAAGACCAAAGGAACTTTTGAGGTCAGGCAAATTTGGGAAACTTCCAAATTTTACTGTTCCTTGCGAATAACTTTGAGCATCAAATAGAGAAGAATTTGAAATATTTGGCTCCTTGTTATTCGAGGGAAAAGGTTCAGAGCTTTTGGACTTTGAACTTGATTTGGAAAGAGTAGAATCTGAAGAGCTCTCTCCTGGGATTTCTTTGACACTAAATTCACTCAGCAGATCTCCTCCCAATGCACATGCCTGTGAAATGTTCAAATCACATATTAATAACCACCACATTGCTTCCCCAGTGGACAATGAGGGCTTAACTTCCCTAAGCACATTAACCATCTCTAGCATTGTGTACTCTACCATTTGTTGCAAATTGTCAAACACAACATCTCTTATGCCATTATTTTCCTTCCCATCCTTCAATAAGGTCACAGCATCATTCACTATGTTTGCCACGAGGTCTTTATCCCCATAGTACAGCCCGAGCCTTGAAATGGCCTTTTGAGCAATATCCTCATTATACCCACTTTCAACCAGCTGCTTAATTGCATTCTGGAAAATTGTGTGTATGTTAGTCATCAATAGTTCTTGAAGTTGAAGTTCGACAGGATCACCATCCCAGTCAGTAGGCTGAGTGGAGCCCACCTCCAAACCGCCAAGTTCACTTTGTGGGTTCCGAGATTTATCTGAAGATGGCTCGAATCGAGGAAATTCAGTAAGACATGAAGATTGGTTAATCGGATTATCTGGAGAAGGATCAACTAATTTTCTCTTGTTCTTAGTTCCTTTATCTTGTTCAGACACAGATAGAGAACCTAAGTTGCTATTGCCACCACTTCTATTAGTCATTTCTCCACTTTTTGATCAATAACAAGTGTTAACCCTATGAACCAAACAAATCAAAATGAGAAAAAATTAATATATATATATATATATATAAATCGAGGAAATTCAGTAGACATGAAGATTGTTATCGGATATCTGGAGAAGGATCAACTAATTTTCTCTTGTTCTTAGTTCGCTTTATCTTCGTTAGGACACAGTATAGAAGAACTAAGTTAGCTATGCCACCACTTCTATTAGTCATTTTCTCCACTTTTTGATCAATAACAAAGTGTTAGACACCTATGAACCAAACACATCAAAATGAGAAAAAATTAATATATATTATATATATATTATATTTAAGTTTAATAAAATCAATATATATATATATATATATAACTAAGTTAATAAAATCAACAAGAAATCAAATAGGCTATTGTTATCAATTGCAATCGGCCACAAAAATTCCATTCAATCCACTAAAACCTAAATGCAAAACATAGGATGCCATTCTACAATAAACAATCCTAACAAACAACAAGATTAAATAAAAACACAAGGAAAATAAGAAAAAATCCATACCTATATACTGAAGATAAAGAGAACGAACGGGTAATCCTTTGCTCTTTGTCGAAATGCTCGGATTGATCAAAGGGGGAAAATGAAATATTTGCCCAGAAACAAAAACGCAACAACAAACACATTACCTGCAAGGCTGCAACTAGTGAGGTAAACAAACACACACACACCTATTAACACAACAAACACCTCCTATATACAGTCAAGCATACACACACGAATACCCATTTCTCAAATGGTATACGGAACCCAAAAAACCATAAAATTAAAAAAAAGAAAAAAAAAAAAAAGAAAAGAAAAGCTATAATGCACCAAACTTTAAATGAAAACAGCAGTAAAAGAGAACCCAAATGGGAAAACAGAGACAAAATTTCTTTTACCTGAAAAAATTAGTAAAGAAGACAAAATGGGTTGGCTTCCTTCAATCCATGTGTAAGGCGCGAAGAGAATGGGAAAGTTTTAAGCAGCGCTATCCCCTCTCTGCTGTACATTTGTGACTTGTGAACTGCTGCGACGCTGCTGGGAGGTGAGTGTGGCAGTGTACTTATTTTCTGTTGTTAGGATGGGCTTATAAAGGGATTCACCAACCATGGTCCGTATTACCAATTTGTCTTTGCCTAGTCCAATCCAGCCTTTATTTTACTTCGGCTTAACCATGGTTGAAGGTACCCTTTTATGCATTTTCCTGATTTTGAAATTTATTAATTATAAAATTTGATTTATTTAAGTTTTATGAAATTAAATTTATTTGAGTTGAAAATAAATAATTTAGTTAATATAGTTAAGTGTAATTTTTGTTTTGTTTTTTTCTAACATACTCTTGTGTAAATATCCATTAAAATTAAATGACCCATATTAAATTATTTTTAAAATTAATCAAGTTATAATCAAATATTTGATTAAATTGATATTCTTAAAATATATTTTTATTTGATTTTTATATTTAATTAATGATAATGTAGTAGTTCGAATATTATATTTGTTGATAAAAAATAAAATTAAATATTGATAAGATAATAAACTTCAAATATATTAAAAATAAAGGAGATAAGACAAACTTATGGATTGTGATTGAGAATTCAATCTCCATTAAATGCATCTGTAGGGGTGAGTAAAGCTTTAACTGTGACTAAGACAAGAGCCGGATTAAAAAAAAAAAAAAAAAAAAAAAAGACTAAGGACAAGAGCAGGATTAAAAAAAAAAAAAAAAAAAAAAAAAGACAATTATTTGTTATAAGACTGGAAAAAGTTTAACTGTGGCTAAGTCTGCAAAACCCCCCCCACACACGCACGAATTCAAACAAAAAAAAATAAAAAAAAAAAAGAAGAATACCGCCGACAATTATTCCTCGACTTATGCCTCGATGAAATAAAAAAAAAAAAAAAAAAAAAGATAAGACAATTATTTGTTATCGATGAAAAAAAATAAAAAGAGATAAGGCAATTATTTGTTATGGATGAAAAAGGAAAGTAAAACAAGAATTATAGTTTAAAAGAAGCATATATAAATGAATTCATTAATGATCATATATACAATTTAAATAAATATCCAAATCTCATATTTAGCAAGTGGAGAATTATGAAGTCGAGGGTTAATTAGTTTTTTTTTTAAATGGCTTCATTTTATTAGGTTTTCTTAAAAGATTATATCATAGCAATAGATTTATAAGAAAATAATAATAATTAAATATATTATGTAAATTATTTTTTTATTCAATTGAAGGTCCGACCGACTAAAAGAACATTATAAGCCGTATAATAGAGGATAGTCCTCTCATTTTAAATTGGTAAAAACTCTTATTATGAAGAGGTCTGAAACCTATATACATATACCGTATAAAGTTGAGATATAATACTATTTATCCATTATATATAGAAATAATGATTTTCTTTTGATAATAAAATAAGAAATGAAGTGAAATATAAATGGGAATAAAAATTTTGTTCTTATATTTAGTAAGCTGGTAAGCATTAGTTTTTATTCCTAATATATATTTGCAATACTTAGCTATCCATAAATAGTTATTTTTAAGTTGAAAATTAACAAATCAAAATATTATTTTAATAATAATGTCGTTTAAATATCTTTAATTCACATTTTTTTATTATAATTGTGTGGATTGTAAATGAGTATATCTTGTCCTTAACTCATATGTACGTGCTGTCTGTTTTCTGCTAATAATTCATAATTTAGTAACCATAAAATCAAATATTAAATTAAGAAATATTTTCATTATGTAACAAACAGATTCGCAATTGTGGAAGGAAAAAAAATTTTCTATATATGTGCTATTCTGTTCTTGGAAAGGGTAGATTTTGTGCATTCATTGGATGCTCTAAATTTAGTTATTGACATATATTACCATGCATATACTATGTTCATGTTCCTGTGTATAGAATGAAATTCTTACATTCGTTGAAAATCCAATGAACCGGAATAATAATTTGGGTTTTACAATAGGGATAGTAATTGTAATTTGCTAATCAGGTTCGGTTGGTCTTCCTACAATATACACCTCGTAACTTATCTAATACGATGCATAAAGAGATATTGTTATAAACTTGTAAAAAGTCAGCAATTTTAGAAATAACATTTTGGTTTGTCAAGTATTGTTTAGGGTTTTGAGTTTAATCTTGTAGTTAATGATTTCTTAAATTTTAATTGTCTTGGACTTTAGCTTTGCTTGTTGAGATAATTGAGTATAGTTTGGTTGTGGACACAGTTGCCGAGTAGGACCAAAGAGTTGCATTTTTTGTTTTTTTTTTTAATTGTAAAATTAGACTTATTTAGATCTAGTATGTAATCTCATCCATAAACCAAATTAATAAAAATAAAATTTTTTGAAAAATTATTCATATTTATTTTTTGTTTCATCATGAACACTCTCGTTGCAACAGAAAATTATTTTTTCATTGATTTGTTTCAGTAGACCTATATACTGAATTTAAACACGTATTTTTTTTTCAATGACTTTTCAAGTGATTTGTATCAATGAATTTTATATAATGGTTTTGGAAGTTGTATAAGGATATATAGTGTTAAATATAAGCGTGAATCTTTGTATTTTTATCATGCTATGATATCGTGTCGTGCCAAATAAAATTTGGTTCTAACTAAACTTATTCATGAATCGAGTATGGGCTTGCAAAATAGTACTCAAACGTAATGAACTTGATCCATTTAATTTGTTGTAATTTTTTTTTTATCGCACCTGAGCCGAATTCTTTACCGTCCGTTTGACTTTAATCGGGCCTCTTGAATAAGAGAGAGAGAAGAGGGGGCCCCATTTGATTCGACCGTTTACAATTGTTTGCGTTACAAAAGAACTAATGACACTTGCAGAGCATGCGGAAACATCACAGCCGCGTGGGACCGACTTAGGGAGTTGCAGGGCGAATGAAATTTCGACGCGTTAATCGTGGACAGCAGCCATTGACCGAAAATAGTGCATTAACAAGTAGCTTTAAAATTTACCCATGTGCCTCCGAATTTTTGCCTTCAAAAGAACGCTGTTTGTCCAAAAACTGGAGTCAAAATGAATTCCAATTTCCCCAAATAGTGAAAGAAAAAGAGAGAGTATGGCAACCAAAGAGGACAACAGAGAAAGCCCTAAAACCTCGTCCAAGGTACGATCTTTAAAATCTCACTATTCTATTTTTATTCCGCGATCTGCACTGCTTATTTTTCTCAGCCTAGAAAATCTTGTTTGCTTCCTGAGAAAATTTAGGGGAAAAGAAATTATGAATCCAAACTTTTTGGATTTGCAGCTGTTGCCTTTGTTTGCTTACTTAGATGAATGCATCTGAATCTATAATTGTTAGAAGAGATGAACAGTAGATTATAATGCTAGTAGCAAGTTTAACAATGAGCTTTATACTGAAAATTTGGGATTTGGTTGTGGTAGTTTATACCATTCAGTGAGTGAATTTGACGTATCATATAGACTGGATATCTTAATGTGAATCCTTATATCAATTAATTCGTTAGTCCTTCCCTGCCTCTTTTCTAGCTATCTATTGCAAAATTCCTTAGCCATTGATTTCAGTTCATGGAATGAGTTATTTGTGGTATGGTTTTATGATTCCCTCCCTTTTTCTCCTTAACGTGTTAAACCTTAAACTTTAAATCTAATAACACTAAAATCTCCTAGTAAGAACCAATTCTGAGGTGTGTTCTCTGATTTTGTACCGATTAATATTTTTTTTTCAGTAAGATAAATAAGGTCATTATGAATCTTTGGAAGTATTTGCTTCCCATTGAATTACCTCCCAATTTCTTTGGAGAGTTCTGGGACAAATGAGCTCAGCTCAACTCCATTCCATCTGATGGTTTGGTTATCAGTGTTCAGAAACTTGACTCTTTTTCCAAAACCCTTAGGAGATTCTTTCTCTGCGTTTCAACAGAGATTGAAGCTCAAAAAAATTTTCCAGATCAGTGGGAAGGGTTCTAAAACATACTTCTTATTTGCTTTGGCTAATTTAACATTATATTCTTGGAGAACTATATCAATATCATTTAGACATACAGTTTCTTTCAGCTTTAGCATCTACTACGTACGACATGATACAGTCTTTCTATTATCTTCCGGTGCTACTACAGCATTATGCTTTACCTGAGAAGTTCTTTAAGGAACTCTTCAATCGTGAGAACAATCACATTTGTTAGTCTTTTTATGAAACAGATCCCTCTTAAACCTATACTTCCAATGTCAGCATCCTTCTGCATTTCTGTAGAGAGAGAGAGAGAGAGAGACTGTTTGATATGTCCGTTTCAATCAAGACTGTCAAGGAATTCATTGTTAAAGTAAATTTCAATGCAAATGTTCCAAAGTGCAATCTGCTACCCAGAGAGGGATCCCAGTGGTACTTGCCCGATAGGTGGCATTCTTCTTAGTCATGTGAGATTTGCTGTAACTTTTCTCCCAATATCATTTTTGAGGCTGTAAGTTTAGCGAGCTGCATGTTAAGTTTCACCTTTTGGGATAGACTTTGATTAACAATATTCTGTGATTCTAAAACTATGATCACTTTCTTGTGCTAAGGAACTTGAAAACCCACAAATATGACTCTTGCTAAGTGTTGTATCACTTCAGTGATTCCAAACATATCCATCAGTAACATAGTGAAGAAGCTTATATTGATAGGTGGTCATCCATCATAAAGATCTCCATTGTTTTGCCTGTAAATCAAACATCTGATGTCCTGAAAATGGATTTGAACATGCATGCAGCCAGTATTTTTCCTTCAATGATTGTTCTCATTGTGCTTTTAACATGGGAAGAAAATAGAAATAAAGAGATGAGACGCATATGATATTTTAATTCTGATGACAGAATCCACGAGTGGCAGTGCGATCGGTTGATACATATGCTGCACAATGTGAAACATGCTTAAAATGGAGGGTGATTCCAACACAAGAAGAGTATGAGGAAATCAGAAGCAAAATCGCAGAAAATCCCTTTGTTTGTGACAGGAAACCTGGCGTGTCTTGTGAGGATCCTGCTGACATTGAGTACAATGCAACTCGAACGTGGGTCATTGACAAGCCTGGCCTCCCAAAGACACCCAATGGTTTTAAGAGGAGCTTGGTGCTTAGACGAGATTTCTCCAAAATGGATGCATACTATATCACTCCTACAGGAAAGAAACTAAGAACAAGAAATGAAATTTCAGCATTTTTAGAAGCAAATCCAAAATACAAAGATGTATCTCTTGAGGACTTCAATTTCACATCTCCTAAGGTGATGGAAGACACCATACCTGAAGATGCAAAGAAAATTAATGCTACTGTTGGTAGTAGTGGTAAGAAAGCTAAGGCATTGAAGGATGCAGCTTGAGCCTGGAACTGTTACATCACTGAGCTGCCCTAAAGCCCATTGTTATGCGGTGTTGTGTTTTACGAGAATGGTCTGATAATGGATTTCTGCTCATTTTTCACGTCATTTGAGGATTTTGTTAGTCCAACGCATTTTGGAGATGATGGTAGAATTACAGAGCAGTTTTGTAAGAATAGTATTCGTTTTATAATTGGGTTGTCCTTCGGCATTGGTCTCATTGAAAAATTATATAAAATGTCGGATTCAATATTGGCTCAACTTTCATGCTTTAACTTTATTCATGGCACTCAATTTTTATTTTGATTTTGATTTATTAAATACTTTCAGTTATAAAGCTGTATCTATTAAAAATTTTGGACACTTCAATTTATAAAATCATCAATTAATATTTAGTGTATATCCGATAGATATATGTTATTCACCCAATAAATATTCAGTATATAAAAGTCAAAAATATGCTAATTTTTTTTTTTTTTTTTTTGCGGTGAGGTGTATTATACTTTTAAAATTTATAAATTTAACTACATGACAAATTATTAATACAGTTTAAAATACTATATAGTCAAAATAGATAAAATTCAAGATATTATATGTAAAATTGTAAAGCTTAAAGATGTATTTATATGGTCCGCCTTAAAAGGTTTGTAGAGTAGATCCGTGTCAAAAAAAAAGTTTGAATGGTTGGAGTATGAAGCTAGCAATCCAATCATTGATACGAGTAAAATTGATTTTATTAAAGGCAAAAACTGCCACGTTGTCCCTGTAACGAAATGTGTGACAAGCTGTCAGACTTCTGAATTAGCGTCTATTACAGTGTTTGGGATCAAGTAATCATTTATTGCCGCCAATGCATAAATGCAAAAAGATGTGGGAACAGAAGCATAATTAGCTGAAAACAGCAAAGCAGCAAACATAAATAAGATGAATATGGCAAATTCATGTCCAAATAATTTGGAACTATTGTCGAGATAAAATGACTAAAAATGAGAAAGGACAGGGGATTCAGGGCATGCAACTGTACAAACCTCATTTGAATTTCCAATCATTTTTGTCGAGTTTTGTAAGAGAACTATCCAGTTTCGCTGAAAATACAGATACATACACTCTTCTGTTTCAAAGAATAGTAAAAAAGTTCTGTACAGATTTAACGGGATACTAAGAATCGTATATACAATACAACGAAAGAAAGGTATAATCTCTCTATTTGAATCGCCATAGTCCTCAGTTGTAAGTTTTCAATGCCTTTATTTCGCCACCGGTGAAATGGAATTTTTCAGATTTGGAGGCCCTGCAACTGATGATAAATAGATGGCAAATCCAGCATGCAGAATCCATCAATAGAAAAAAAAAAAGGGGATCCTCTGCAGAAACCATGTGATTCAAGTGCCGAGTGTTTCTCAGGGCCATGGAAAGAAGAATTGCTGTTAGTATATACATATATGTTCTGCTGTTAGTTGAACCTAATGTTTAGCCTTACAAGCTACTCTTGTTTGGTGTACTCAAGAAGCATATGTGGCGATCTGTATATCTTTACAAGTGTCCAGTAAAGGACTTCTTCAACTTGAAGCTCCCCCTCTGCTCTTGCAGCATATATATCCTCGCAGATGGCTATCAACCTACATCATGCAATAACTTGTTAAGTACCAGGAAGAGACTGAAACATGAAGTATCCAGAATTTTTGCTCGACATGGATGACAGAATAAAGCACACGGTTTTTTAAGAGACAGAAAGAAGCGAGGAATTCTCTTTTTGACTATGGCTACATGCAAGGTTAAATTTAGGAGTCAATTTGTTTTATTTTAAATATCAACTCACAATTTTAGTCAAATTTAAAGTGCAATTGAAAGTGGAAGTTAATACAATATGAAGACTCTGGACAGCTATCCAAGCTTTTAAGCCGGGAAAATTTTATATTTTACTGTATAATTCAAAAAGGAATTTTAGATGTAATGAAGGCAAGTGCTCCCACACTGGCCCCATTCTAAATCCGTCCTTACATTTTGTAATGATCATCACACATCAATATCTGGAAAATTAACAGACAAAAAAGAGGCCCAAAATAGAGTCTTTTTACCTGTCACAGGAAGGTAGATTTTCATATGGTATTCTCATTCTTAAGTCTGAGCACTGAAGTCTGATAAAACGGCCCACAGCGAGCACAAAAGTTATGTAGAGACCCCAGATGCTGAACTTGCTGATCGTGTCACCAAGAATACCTTCTGCAGAAGTTTTTGGGCAATAATATCATCATTGAAAAAGAAGAGAATTTTCCCACCAGATTGTCATAGCTATGACAGAGAAATGCATTTTCAAACTTACGTGGTGGAGTTTCCTCGGACATTATAATGGCCATGGGTCCTCTCAAACCTCCACAGGCACTTGCATTTGGTGAATTGATATCATGAAATGACCACCAGTTAACATCTGCATGATTTAAAATGAGATCCGCACTAACCGCAGTTTCCTGTAAATACAGTTTAGTCACGTTTCATTAAATAAAAAAAGAAAAAGCATGTCTAATGACAAGTATTAATCTTAGACTGGATAGACTACCCTTAACAGATGACATTTGGACTAATGGAAAGGTTGCTCCATAGTCACTTAGAGGTCACAGGTTCAAAGCACATAAAGTTCCTTGAAAGTTAAGGAATGCTGTGTGCATCTAACCCTCTCTAGAGTCCGCAATACAAGAAGCCTTGCACCGATTGCAGAAAATTTAATAGCTCAAGTGGCATTTCAATATAATGACTGATTTAAAGAAATGATTTAAATGTATTAAAAAGGCTTTAGAAATTACTTCCAGCTGCAACAATGTATCTAACCATAACAAATTTCTTATAACAGAAAAACACAGGACCAGAAACCAATTTCTTATGAAATACAATTAATAATTTCATCTTGCACACACACACACACACACACACACACACACACACACACAGAGGAGAGATCTGCTGAGTGAATGAAGAAAAGTAATTGGATAAAAGTGTAAAATACCTCTAATTCCAAAGGTCTGACATCACCAGAACCAGAAACACGCAAGTATCTTGGATAAAGATTGTATATCCTAAAGCTGTTTGTAGAACCATTAAGAACTTTCTGGATGTCTGATCTTTTTGGAAGATACAGAGAATCAACAGGTTTCTCATATTTCACTACTTCCTTGCCCTTTGGCCTCTCTCTGGAAAGTATCCAGACCAAAAGAATATCCATATCCATATCCCAATCAAGGGACTGGATAAATCTCCTCTGAACCACATCAGGAACAAGCCACAATGTACTTGCATCTGCTTGGCAGCATATCAACTGAATGTCATTCTTATTATAAGTATACAAATAACCATAGGGATCGAGATCAACATCAGAGTTGACATCATCCCATGGGATTTTTTCGCAAAGAGTAGTTTGATACAATGTTAATCTTCCACCCACTGTCTTGATATCAAGCTGAACACTTGCATCTTTAATGGGGTTGGCAACATTTGTTGGGTTGCCACTACTGTATATCTGTGAGAAAAAATAGATCATTTCATGAAACATTAAGATGCACAATTGCATGTTTGCTTACACTGCAGTAAGAATAAAATTCAAGTGAAATTTATTGTGTGTGCACGACCCCCTGCGTGAATGTGGCCAAATAAATAAATTTGCCCCTTAACTTCTTGAGAAATAACCACTCGCACAAATATTCTTTTATTTGGACCTATGAAACCTATGTTCTATTATTTTGGAAGAAATACCTTGGTTCTCAAGTTTGCATGTGTCCATACACTTGCAGACATGGCATAAGGATATGGAGACGATGAACTTTTTCCAAAAAGTTGTTCTAGTTTATGTATTAGGCCCATATAAATGCATGTGCACCTTTTCTCAAATAACATTAAAGATGTTCTTAGCTAGCATAAGCAGCAATTTCTGATTTCATACAACCTACTATAGTGTTTATGAATGACTTTTTCCAGAACTTGTGAAAACAAACTACTATTGGAACCATTAACAAATTTATTGGGCATGCGTACCATACAGAAAAACAGTTGTGTATTATAAGTTACTTACCAGCATAGGAGCCCAAATAACACAGAGTAAAAAGAAGAAAAGGCATATCCCATTGCAACATTTGGTCCATTTTGTTTGCCTCTCTCCTTGTTTGTGTGCAGCTCTATTCAAGACAGCATCACATTTAACAAGGTATAAACTTGCATTTATGTCTTCCAGCTAAAGAGAAAGGCTACTTATCAGTTCCAAGACTAATGAATTGATTACTTGATCTATGAAAAATAATAAAGAAATTAAAATTAATCAAATGATATCTGAGAATAATAGTGAATGCAACTTCCTACACAGGCAGAAAAGAAAACGAAACTCCATATCAAGTTAATGGAATTCAAATTTTCAAAAAGTAAACCACATTAAGAGACTTCTGAAAGCACGTATTTTCAATTGGCATATATATTAACTGAGACCCAACGACAAGAGAAGGGAAAGATTTTCCTTTCATAAACTATTTTCTGAAGGGTTTAAGGTTTGATAACAAACAATAATAGAGAGAACATTAAAACCACAATGCTAAGGCATTGGTAATTTCCATGCCACCCATGAAAGTGATAAATTAATAAAGCAAGATAAATGGAGAGTCCAATGTTAGCTAAAGCATTCTAAAATTACCTTCAGCCAGTCATACATGGTCAAAGACGTGGTTGTACATGACCAGTCCAGCACACATCGCAATTCATAAAGGAATGGCAGAGCACGGTAAAGTCTATAGCCTAAATAATTAATTCGTGAAACTTTGCTGGTCAAAAACTGTCGATACAAGGTGCTTTTATGAGGAATCCCATGACGGATTTGTATAGCCTGCAGTGCTAGAGACACTGCTTTCGCAAGAAATATAGCACGAAGCGCTACCCCTGCAGCATGCTCTTGGGAAGGTTCCAAGTGCCAAGCATATATAGTGACTGAATATGTGAAGAGGAAGAGGTTGAAAATGTAATAGATCACCTTTGCAGTGGCAAATGAACAGAGGTAAATAACGCGATCAAGGACAATCAATAAAAAGATAGCCTGCACATATGAAGCAGTTAGAAATCCAGAGAAAATAGGGGGTCACATGAACAAAAAAAAAAAAAAGATATCTGCTACACATTTCCAGCTGAGTAAGCCAGTAAAAAGGAATAAGCTCTAACTTTACTCAGAATTAAGTAATTATAAATCTCTCTCACCATATCTGCGCCTCAGATGATTCAGGGCACATGTACCATGTAAATCATTTCATGAAAAACGATGTGTCATTTGAATCATGAAACCTTGCTATGTCTGATTTAAAGCTTTTCAGAAGAAGTAGAAAAATACAAGGAGGTTTTTCAGGAGAACAATTGAAATTTTAAAGTTGCCACATTTACTAATTAAAAACATAGGGCCAAGAGCTGCCAATATAAGATGATTAATAAACATCAACTTGGTCTTATCTCTGTTAACTTCAGCACTTGCGCTTCTGAGCTAAATCAATCCCACACAGGTGATTCAATCACTATATTGAACTTGGTTTGGTTTTTGAATTACAGTACGCAGAAAAATAATATTAATACAGAAATTGATAGAGAGACTAACCATCAAGACAAATACGAACTCTTTTGGAAACTGATCTTCAAGCTGATAAACATCTAGAAATTCGCTTTTGTTTTTTATGACAGATTGGTAGAAAATTGCAACCAAGAAGAACACACACAAATCTGCACCAAATATGTATGCATAAAGATCAATCTCTCTTTTGCCTCCCCCAATGACAGAGATAATAGGGTATGGAAATCCTATTTCTTCAACAAACCCGTCACATTTTGCTTTAAGAATCTCTTTTGCTACATCAGCTGCTGGCGTTAGTGACTTGTACCATTCTGCAGATGCGCAGCTTGTCAAAGGGGAGGCATATACTACCTCAAAAACAACCAGGGCCATGTTAGGGTTTTCTTCACTTCTTTCAATGCTCTGGACATGAATCCTACTAGAAAAAGGGCAAAGATTTGGGAACTTTTCTTGGCATCTCTGATCATGAACAAGTTTAAGCAATTTGTTTATTCCCGACTCAATTCTCTCCGGCTGGATTCCATCCTCCGGCCACAAGTGGACATCCACAGACACCTGGACAAAATATGGAGGAGACTCTGCTCCTTGTGTCAGTGATTCCCAGTACCTAAAAATGCTTCTGACTATCAATTTTACCATAGTTGTCATTCCATGCAGTAATTCTTGTGCCTTTTCACTCCAGCTATAACTCATAAGAACATCTTCTCTATGCAGAGAAGCTTTTCTACAGAATTTACTGTCCACAGAAGGCATCCATTCACCATCTTTTGCAGTTATAGAGCTCTGTAGAAGGGTAAATAAGTACACAAGGAACAAAGGCAATGAACTGATGACAAAGGAGGAGTTGATTTCATGTGCAGGAAATCCTAACTCACGAAGGATGACTGAACCAATAGTCAACCCGCAGTGCTGAATGATTATCTGGTAGAGATACTGAAGCAAAATGTAAACTTCAGTATAAATCAGCATGATAACCCAGAAAACATAATTTGGGCCGGTATTTACACATAAAGCATATAAGAAAAGAGCCGCAAGATACACCATAGAAAGCAAACTAAAGTTCCACAGAAAAACAATAATGAAACAACAATAACACACGATATCGTTATTGAACCGCATTTGGGACCATACATATCGGAAGATCCTTCCTATCTGCAGACTTGTAGCATCTGAACTCATATCAGACTGCAGAGATGACGAACGGTCCAAATTAAGATGTTTATTCTTCTGGTTTTCCATCTCATCATGTATTCCATTCTCAAAAGAGAACTGTTCATTCGTATCTGAATCCTCTGGTTCAATGTTCAAGAAGCTCACAAGATTGTTGACTGCCTGATTTCCAATAGACTGCACCTGGGAAACACCATCACCTATCAGCTGCACTGCAGATCTTAAAGGATTTTCCTTTGATCGGCCCTTCTCTTTTTTTCCAGAATCAAAAAGCATGCTATCAGCTGATTCCTGTCTGATCTCGGTGATCTCACAAATTGGAGATTCTGAGGAATACTTCGGAGACATTTCTCTTTCTAGACTTTCGGTATCCAAACTAAATGGGGATTCATGCCTTTCAAAAGGACATACTGAATCCTCTCTAGTACTATGCTCTTGTTTAGCAGGGGTTTCTCCACCTTTATCAGGACTAGAAGAATCCCTTTTAGAAGTAAGAGAAATGCTCCTCCTTTTTCTTATACCTTCCCTCTCATGGGAATGGCCACCATAATTAGTAGTTGACTTAACATTGTGAAGCTCAATTTGCAAGTTGAGCATCTCAGACTTCATCTTCTCCACTTGCAAATTACGTTGGCATTTCTTCTCCTCAGATTCACGAATATGTTGCAACTGTGCAGTTTTCCATGCAGCTTTCTTCTCCTGCTCATGCACAATGGCGCCAATTTGCTCCGCTTCAAGATAACGTGAGACATGATCAAATTCACTAGAGGAGAACATATATGACTGAAGTGATACCAGTAGAAATATTATGATCTCAACCAGTGCAGATCTTGCAGTAATTCGAAACCCATAATCATATTTATAAAATCCAATCATCTCATATATGTAATCTATCGTCTCACACTTCCCAGAACTAAATACGCCCACAAAAGGAGATTGATAGGCAAGAGACAAAACAATAAGAACAAAATTGTATATGCGCAAGAACCTGAAGATCTTGTTCTTCTTCTTCAGTATTACAAGTCTCATCCGAAAGAAAACCAGGGCAAATGCAAGATAACCGAGGTGCAGAATGTCATACTCAAGGGTCCCAGTAATCAAAATCAAACAAAGCACAAGATCCAACAGATGACAATAGCAGTAAAGTCTCAGGTAGTCAAGAAATGTCCACATGCTCTTAGTTTCAAAAGACAGATCCTTCCAAACAAATATATTTTTACGTTGAGACATCATTTGACGATATGTGGATGAGCCTGAGAAACTGGAGAAACGATCAGCACGAAGTTTGAAACAAGCAAACATAAAGACCACAAAATAGCTGGCAAGCATGCGAGAATCATCCACGACAAGTCCTACAGCAAATGCAACACGTCAAATTAGCATAGGCTAACTAAGATAGAAGAAATCATGGCAGACGTAATTATCATATGAAAATTGTACGCTATGAGAATCAGACATTTTTTTTTTTTTTTGGTAATACATAATGAAAAATTGTACCTAGAAGCAATCAGACATGGGGGGGGGGGTGGGGATTGCAATAAGTTAGAAGACCCTATGAAACTCAACCAACTCACTAAACAATTTAAGGGGCAGGCATTCAGACTTCAAATGGAATATTTTCCAGGGCTGCAAACTTCCACAGGAATAGAAAGGAAACAATATACAAATTTAAGCATTTTGATGGTTTATTGAGAAACAAGTTTAACATGATGAGGAGAGTGAATACCTAGCCAACAGTTTTTGCAATACTGGAAATAAAGAGCAGAGCTTTTCCAGCAGTCATGACAATATACATCTGTCTCAGTTGGGGTAGGTTGATCCGCAGAAAAGATGCTATTCCAGATGGCAAAATACTCGAGGATGAGAATGGAAGCAAACAAGAAAACGAATATGGGCCACAACTTCCGTATGATGCGCCGATGTACAAGAATACAAGCAGCAAGCAATGCAATATATAGCATAGAGATAGCATTCAATAAGGCAAAGCTTGCTAGAAGCAATGCAATCATGTTTATTTCAAGGCCAAAGAGGTTAAACATATTTTCCATCCAGAACTTGAAATATATTTTCATAAGAGCCTTTTGTGTTTCAAATCTTTCCTTTCTCAAAGCAAGAATCCTCTTCTTATTCCACTTATGACTTTCCTTGGTGCTTCCCCAAATATATCCAAATGAAAATTTCCTGCTGCTACTACCTTCTGAACTACCTGTTTTATTGGATAGAATTTTAGGTGCTCGAGTAAGACCGGAGGTGAAAGAGAAAGTGCTTGTAGTTGTAACTCCCTCTATTTTTACGGATGGCAAACAATAGTCTGATGGTGGCTTATTTTCATCATTGGATATAGAACCATTTGTAAAGGCATTTTCATCTGAGACAAACAATGGACAGGGCTCTTCCCACTTGCCTCTATCTGGAACAGTATTTGGCATCTTCTCCAACCAGCGGAACACATTGTACTGAAGAGTGCAAGCAGCGATTACTAGCACTTTTCCTCTCAATCCTGACTCTAGCCCCCAAAAACCTGGCTCATACACACGGAAACCCAAAAAAAGGGAAATTTTTGAATGCTTTTGCCCGGGAAACATTCCAGCTTGTCCACCCCACATCTGAAACAGATACTCAGAAGTCACTAAAAATCCCGTATACAACAGGAATGATTTGGATGGTACCCGAGAAGTTTTGGGTAAAGTTGAACATATTACAAGGCCAAGTAAATATACAAATCCAAAAGCACTAATCGGAGATAATGAAGCATAGAATAATGCAATAAACAGGAACTTCTGACTGTGCCAAATCAGAAACCGTTTAATGAAACCAAATACCCCAGAATCCAATGGATCAGGATCCTCCGACCTGTTGTACTTGCTCTGTCTCCTCTCATAGCTATAAAGTTGCATCACTATTAAGACAGCCAGAGATTCCCAAATATTTTGCAATAATGAAGCCTCTGAGTTGTAGCCCAAATAAAAATACAGATCAATGAACTTGGAGAGCCACATCTCAAATCGGGGGAAACTGCTCAAGCTATAGATGGAGACAGAAACCATGATTGCATATACTTTTAAAGGAAACCATAGACGCCTTTTTGTTTTCTCAACAAGTTGTCTTCCAGTTATCCAAACAAGAAGCAGGAAAATATACCCAAATGATATATAATTGGGTGTTACCAAGTATACGGTGAAAAGAATAGTGAGAAATGCGATGTAGGTGCCACATGATCGATATACAGATAGAAACTTCTGTCCAACTGCACCAAGGAATGATGCTATCCTACTCTCTGAAAACAGAAAAACAAATCAGTTTTCTACGTTTGAACTTTAAAAGCAGGTCAACATATTATCATCATCAATACTACTCACAGTAGGATCACAGTTCAATTGTTGCTCTCATTTAGAATTTCTAGACCGAAGGCTAGATAAACAATGTGATTATTATTTTTTGAGATGGGATGTGACTATTACTTTTGAAATCAGATAGAGGATATATGAAAGGCTGAGAACAAGTTTCACAACTAATAAATAAAGATCAATGGGGGAGCAAACAAGCTTTGGCAAAACCACACCACCCAGGCCTCTTCACTATAAGGTTAAAAAGGGAGCTGGACTTAAAACAACGTCATTTAAAGGGAACTAGTCCTGTACAATATCAGGCAAGGAAAAACGTGGTCCTTGTAAAATATCACATGGTCTTTTTCTTTAAAGTGTCCGATCCAGATTCCTTTATCATGAGTATAAATTTTAGGGGTGAAAAGAGATGGAGATCCCAACTACCATAACCAAATTGTAAGTTCCATCAAAATGTAACAAGCAGTCGATGAATTTATACCATAAGAATGATTGTCGTGGCCATATTTGACAGTTGGAGAGGCATACACTGACAAGAGGACTGATTTGTTCAGACCCGCTTTCAAGATGCTAAATCCAACAGGAGGGCTAGTGGTATTCTGTACAATTGCTGAGAATGAAAATAACATCTCAAAGCCATGGTTATGAATGGCACAGAAGCAAGCAAGCAAGGCTATTTCCAAGAAATCCCAGGAACTATCTTGTTTATCAAGACCTGCATCAATTCATAAAGAATTATTCTGATTATTACTTTTTCCTGGTCAGACTTTGAAAACTGAAAAAAAAAAATCATGTATCAGAAGCAACTAAGAAATAAATTAAAACTCGTGCTCATGGCCATAGAGAAGGTACCAATTCAGGTTGAAGTGCTCAACATAAATGCCTACCTAACTGCAGCAAAACATCCTTACTTAAAGAGCCTGTTTGCTCCAATGCATAAGAGATCAAATCAATCTGAAGAATGTACAACAGTGCAAAGTGAGCTTCACACAGAAGAATCAGGGACTGACGCATCTTTCTGCTGATGCCATGGCTCAAAAGATAGACCAAGAAAAATATCACTGAGGCATATATCAGAACAGAACACCAATTAGCAAACTCAAATTGCCATTTTCCCAGATGCAGTCTTTATTGGTGAGTAAAAGATCTAATGCCACCACAAATTCACAAGAAAATATAGTCTTTTTGCTGAGAATATGGAACTTACTATATACAGCATGGATGAAACCAGGCTTCATGGCAATGAGGAAAATCAGTGCCAGCATAATAGCCCGAGAGCATTTTCTCAGTCCCCATGCAATTGTAGCCACAATGAACACCTTGGTATCTTCTTCCACTGTAATAATGGAACATATACCAGAATAACACAGATGAAGCATTATTGTTAAGTTACCAACACTAACTTACTTACAGAAGCAAATTAGAAATTCGAAAGTATCAAAAGCAGTGGAAGTTAGAAAAAGAATTTGAAGGACATTGGTTGATCTGTTGGTGTTTAGGGACCAAAGAGTGAGAAGAAAATCAATAATGAGAAACTTGAATATTCTAAACAATAGAAATATCTGAATGCAGTATATCTTATCAAGTAACAAACCAGGCAACCACCGATTTAGAACTCCTTAGTTTCACACAAGCTTAAAGAGGATGCAAAAAGCGATAATGCAATATTGTTTTGCAACTCAGCAAGTAACAATTGATGAGGGATTGATAGTACAATTTATTTAATATAACAACAAGACATTTAAAGAAAAATCAACCATTGAAGATGGGCTCTTGAGAGTTATAACAAAAGTGTTCAAACTAACACCAACTATTTTAACTACAACATTTTTATTGAAACTACAACTTATTATATAGAAGGATTAACATTTGACATTGACAGAGAACATAAAACACTCTATGAAACCGTATCCACTAACGATCAAAATAAACCATCAGCCTAGGGTGATTAGAAATTTTATCCTACAAGATATGTGGTCTTTTTTCAACATTTCTTTCTCAAGTAAAAACTCAATTCAGCATCTTTAGAATTGGCATTTGGATGAGTTTATTGATATTCACTCATTTTCAAGTTGCTTCAAAGGTTATTATCAACCATAAATACTGATGCTATGACAACATATTTCAAATCAAGCTCTGCACTTGCTCATTAACTCAACTCGAGTTTACTAAAAACCCAACAAGATGGTCCCCTTAAAGACCCACAATCTTTCACAAAGAATTTCAGTTGCTTGACTAAATATCAACCAGGCTTACAATATTATGATCAAACAGTAAGATACACAAAACCTAATTTTGTCACCTTGGGAATCAAATTATAACATAGTTTAAGACAAATAATACTCTTCAAAATAAATTTGATACTCCAAAAAATCACTCCTGGACAATGTTCACAAATGCGTAAGACAGACATTAAATATTAAGATATGAACCTTAAGATCAATGTAGAATAAGAATCATGTTTCTGAGTAAAAGCTAAAAAACGAGCTGATTGAAGTGCCAATTGTCACCGGATAGGTGCAAGTCTTAGGTCTCTGGGCACAAGTGGCATAAATAAACCCTAAAAATGGAAAACAGTAGCATCCATAAAGTAGACTTAAGAAACTAAAGGTTTGAGCATAAAGCAAATAAGTTCAAGTTAAAGAAACATGTGGAGGACTGGAACTAGAACATTATGATGTGTGTAGAAAAACCTTTATGGCTCAGCAGTTATTAACTTAGTTTCAGAAGAACATGCAGAGAAACAACTTTGCAAATTCACTCCAGAATAACTATAATGAATAAGGCTAGATAAGAAGCGAATGACAAAAATAAAAATAAAGAACATATATGTAGGTATATATGCAGGACAGAGTAATCTACTTATGAGTAGAATAATTAGTTGATACTGCTATAAATGTTATTTCATTACCTTCGGCAGTGGAGTTCTCATTTGAAGATCGATTGCCCTCATCAGACAAGTAAAGGAAAACAGAGTTGTTCACAAGATTGCCCAAAGCAACCAAAATACCAAGACAAAATTGAGCAAGTAGAAAGAATCCGGGAATGGGATAATGCCACAACCCAACCATCTCCCAAATTTTCATGTCCTGCATGCATATGCCAGAAATAACTCTGAACCATCTAAGATTACATTTCAATAACAGACTTATGCTGAAAGAGATAAATACCTTTCTGAGTTTCCTATTCAAGAGAGGAAAAGCTACATTGAAAATATATGTGCTCACAGCCCAAAATAGAATGAAGACAAGAAGCAGCCCATTTAACCGGTGCATACGGAACACAGAAGGGAAGGCATAAACAATGAAGCCAACATATGCAAGCAGCCCAAATGCACATAAACTGGCAAAATGAAAACTCCAGTAGGAAAGAGCGAACAAGGAAACCTATCACATAGACCGTAAGTCAAATGATTGAGCATGGATAGAATGAAATTCATTGTAATTATATCCAACACTCCACATCGCATTCATTAAACAAGAGTATTTACGGAATAGGAAAACAAACAAAAAAGAAAAAGAAAGATGGCTTTACTTTTCTATCAAAAGCTGCAACAGAATGGTTCAAGTAGAATTTGCTCCAATGTTTTCAAACCCGATTAACAGAAACCACCAAATATTAACAGACATTCAATATCAATATTCAATATTTTTGTGTATTTTTGTTATATTGAAGGAAATCGCACGATTCTAATCCAATGGGTTTTAGGGGGACACCTTTTAAGGGCATTCCTTAAAATTATTTCTCCATCTGATAATTATAACATAACAATGAGATGGTCTAGTCGAAGAAAAAGGCGATAAATGTAGTTTATGAATATGTACCGGGAACCCATACGTGAAAAAGTTGATACTAAAGGTCCGAAAAACTGCTCCCCTTAATAAAACGTTGGTATGCCTGACACCAGATCTGCAAATTATCGTGTTGTTCAGTTGGCTTGCAGCAAAAAACAAAGAGAAGTTCTATATATCTAATCAAATACTCAATCCTTTATGTCTTAGTTTGTTATTAATCAGTTCAAACATGAGCCTGCAGAAACAAAATTCTACACAAACAATTTTTATTTTGTTCATGCACAGAGGTCATCAATTCCTTTATTAGGAGAAAGAGATAGGGATTAATGAACTTTTGGGTCGGACAAACTATCAACAACACATAACACTTGAAGCAATTTTGTTGCAAGTTTGAGCATACAGCAGATAAAAATCTTTTGCTAAATACATACAAACAAAATTAAATAAGCAAATTTTCATCAGACAATTTTTCAAAAAAAAAAAAAAAATCATTGGAAAAGTTCTTAAAAAATCAGAATAATAACAGATTGTAAGAAAGCGAATTCTTCCTTTTAATTGACCTTTAGCATATAACTATAGCCCATAATTAACAAACCATGATATTACAGAATCAAAAGTGGAAAACTCTAGTTTGACTGATTGGACTTTAAATTCACAACCCATTCTGTTATAGCCTTATGTAATGGTGGCACAACATGGTGAATGGCAAGAACATGAAAAAAAAAAAAAAGAATAATAACCAGATCAACGGATGCTCCAAGTCTCACCTAGATTGACGAATGAAAAAAGAATGCCTTAAGGGGAGAAGGTGCTCCGACAAATTACTTTCTCTCATAGACATAATGAAATCCATTTCCTCCAAATCACACTTAATAAAGGATAGCTGCATCAGGAGGCAGAAAAAGATTTAGAACTGATTCAATGTAAATAACTTTGAGAAGGCAATGCATAAATTTTGAGCAGTTTGAAGAACAAGCATATTATAGATAAAAATCATTTTCTACCATAAATCACTTAAAAACCTTGTATTGCAAATTGCTATAAGATATCTTCTGAAGATATTCAAAAATGAATAGTTAATAGTTAGGTGTGCTAAAGAACTTGGATAAACTGGAAAGATATTCATCAAATCATCCATTTATCCACCAACAGCTGCTCTAGCCAAATTTGTAAGAGAAGAGTAATCAAGAGCAACTCTTCATTTGAAAGCTCTCCTTGTATGTGGAACAAATTCATCAAGTAAAATAATAAGGCTGCCCAGAATAGTTACTAATTTGCTATTTGAAAGTTTTTAAGGCAAAGGCTACCACAGAAGCACACAAACCATAGAGAACCTAGAAGGCCTCATACTCCAAAACCATAAGCACCCGAAATTGCAGCTAAAGATGTGTCTAATTAATTTCTAATAAAATTTCAACTATCTTAATCAACCAATAACATTACCCTATGCACCTTGAATAAGTGTCTTCCCATAGTTTTAATCTGATTATTTTCAAAGTTCAAACTTTTGCAAACATAGCCTTTCTTTTAGGAAGTATTTGAGAGAGAGACGAATAGGTATAGTATGAAAAGAGTTCTGCTAAATTTTAGAGATGCGTACCATGATGTAAAAAAGCACAAGGGAAATACTAGAAAAAATGTAAAGCCACTCTGTTTTCCCTGATATTTTGAATAGACCAATAAAATCAGCTATCCAGTGAAAGAGACCAGGGACCTCTATAGGAAGCTGATAGACATAAAGAAGGATAATGTTAACCCCTGCATATAGCTGAAGAGGCCTCCACCACCTTCAAGAGCAGTATAAACAAACATAAGCCACTAAGAAGATTAACATGCAATAAATAAAAACAATTAATCATGTGGATGGGACCATGTAGATGTGTGTGTATCACAAAGAAGTAACCTGAAAAGTCCTAGAAAATTGCTTGTCAGAGACCAATCCACAAGACCTGCACAGCTACCAATAAAAAAAGGAAGAGAAAGCCACGAGGGATGGCAAATACCCACACCCAGCTGAATGGGAGGCAACAACAAACAGGAAGTGACCCTGAGATAAGAGCCTTTCATGTAGACAAACAGAGAAATATTAACAAATCAATACCCATAATTTTATTTTTATTATTGTTAGGAAATACTTAAAAGAAACACAAAAATAAGATCCCTAAATTTCAATGGAAGTGTAATCTAATCTGATGAAAGTAGGACAACAAGCACTCGGGGGAAGGGGGGGGGGGGTTATTTTTATGTATTGTTAGGAAATACTTAAAAGGAAACACCTTATTTGTCCAAAAAATAAGATCCCTAAATTTCAAAATGGAAGTGTAATTCTAATCTGATGAAAGTAGGAAACAACAAGGCCACTCGGGGGAAGGGGGGGGGGGATTATAATAATGAAGAAATGAATGAATAAATTAGGAACAAAGAAATGATTGAGAAAAAAAATTAGACCAGGAAAATAATGTCATTAATGAATGGCCAAAAGCCACCACACGCAATTTTAGCAAGAGACATAAATGCAAATGGCTAAACAAAGCTAATCTTAAAAGTAGGCAATCTTTTTTTGAAAAAAGAATAAAAAATAATTTATAAGTAACCAAACCATGGAGGGGGGGGGGGATTATAATAATGAGAATGATGAATAAATTAGGAACAAAAGAAATGATTGAGAAAAAAAATTAGACCAGGAAAATATGTCATTAATGAATGGCCAAAAGCCACCACACAATTTTCAGCAAGAGACATCAAAATGCAAATGGCTAAACAAAGCTAATCTTAAAAGTACGGCAATCTTTTTTTGAAAAAGAATAAAAAATAATTATAAGTAACCAACATGGAAATAAATTTTCAACAGCATGACTTTTGAAACAGCTCCCAAACAGGCTCATCCTTTGTTACATCTTTGCAGGCATGCTAGAAAATGACCTAAACATTTTACCAATTTGTTGGGCATTGTATTGGACAAATTATAGGCTCATCTATGCAAGTTTTCCGTATCGTAATTTAATTTGAACTGAAGAAAATCTTTTGAGATGTGCAAATAATAGTAAAAAGTGTCAATAAGGAGATCCCAACAAAAAATTGAGAAGAGCTAAATATATCCCAGGATCATAATGACTCTTTTAGCTATGTGATGAACTATTAATTAGAAACAGAAGATGTTATCTCTATTGCAATCTTAGGAGGCAACAAGCCATTTTGCTTATTGGAGTCATTCCATAAGCCAGTAAGGTAAGATAATTTTGAAAACTGAAAATTGCATAAGAACACAAACTCTTCCCTGAGATCATAAGAAAAATTCAACCCGTAAAATTAACTTGTGCTTCTGCTTCAAGAATGATGTCCAAATGATCACATTACAATTCCTATTCTAGAAGAACTTATAATAGGTGGAAAAGCAAAACTATTATGTACAAACAAATCAAAAGGTTTCAGAAATAAATGTATAAATGCGTGTGTGCGCACATGGAAATACACATATTACAAGAAGAGAACTTGGAGCTGTAGTGAACTACTGACAAACCTATCTGTTCAAGAAAAGTTAAGAAACGACCCCAGCAGGAATCTTGCCATGGAAACAGACCAAATCTGATCCCGTATATATCAACTAAAGCAACAGAAACTGTTAATAGTTGTACCACCAAGAAATAGATCACATATAGTGATTTCCAGGGCTGGACTCTGTAACAGCATACCATGGGAAAGCGTCAGTAAATACGATCCATAAAAACATGATAAAAGAACAACAGTTAAATAAAATGAAATAGATTCTTACACCATAAAACCAATTAGATGTGCCCACCAAGCATTTACTCCACTCCATCCATTTCCCTTAATCGCCCATAAAGTAAGATATACAAGTTGAGAAAGAATGACAAGAAGGGAGAACAAAATAATGGGCCACAGTAACAAAAATCGCCTCCGAAAACGAAAGCCTATAAAATTTAAACAAAAGAAAAATATATGTTAATTGAATAAAAGGGAATCAAGGGAAAAGTTCCCCCAAATTGGGATCTTATCCTATGGTGGTCTCCAATGTCCCAAAACGCATATTTCAGTACATGGAGAATATTTTCACTTTCGAGCCAATCAAGAGTTAAAGATACCAAATGAATATTATCTTAGGTATGCACTAATTGACTAAAACTGCATTCTTTTAAACCTTCCAACAACATTCATATCCAATCTCTCAACAAAAGCTGAAAAACAAGTTTTTGGTTCTTTGGAATATGACATTTATTATTAGAGTATAAAAAATAAAAATTACTGAATAAAACAAAATTATCCTTGGCTAAATTTAAAAGCTAATAATTTGATTTAACCTTATACAAACAGTAAATATCAATTTAAATTGCATTTTTTAACACATAGAAAATATATATTGAAACTTTAAATTTTGTAAAATTTGCAAAAAACGCTCTGCTTGATTATATTCAAAGGAAAACAATGATGCAAGATAAAATAAAATATAAAAATAATATATCTACATATATAATTTGTTTACTTTTTTTTCTCTCAGAATCCCATAAAATTAAAACATAAAAAGCTAACCCAAAATTAGAAATTAATCATATAAAATAAGAGCAACTATTTGAGATATTGATAATGAGAAAACTAATATGAAACTAAAATCAATGGAAATAGTTAAGAAAGAACCAGAAACATTTCACTTTTTTTACTGAATTTTTTAGTTGAGAGACTACTGAAACACAATCATGGTTATTATTATCCTCTATATGTGTACGTATACATACATACATATATTATTATTATTATTATTATTATTATTATTATTATTATTATTATTATTATTGTGAGACTAATATGACTTTTTTCAAAAATGAAGTTTAATATATAACTAACAAATTTAATCACAATATCTGCACTGAAAGTAAAGACCCAACAAGTCAAATAAATAACAGTGACAATGTGGGGCACATTGTTTACCAAGGAAGCCTCCAGTGCTCAATCAGCAAAGAGATGAATACTAATATTGATAAACTATTATTCGTGTTTGATTTTGAAGCAGCATACTTGCGCATCCCTAATAACAAATACAAGCAACAACAAGCACTGATATGCCATATCAGTCCAGATATGTTCCTCTCATTGCTGAAAATAGCATCATTATTCCAGCCAAATACCCAATTCCAAAGGAGAAAGGTTATACAACAGTATGGTCTGGAAGGCCATGAAACTGATAAGAAAATAAACAACTCACCTATTTTAGGTGCAGCATACTGAATGATAAGGAAAGCTATCAAATCAACAAGAGAAATCAAACTCCAATTAATCAAAGCAGCTGCAAAAAACAATTATAGAATAATTAATTACTTAGAAGCCATAAAAAAGACAAAAAAAAAAAAAAAAAAACAATGCATGATCCGTTCTATAAAAAGTTGTATGCAATTCCAACAATCAGAAACTGTAGTAACTATTATCCTTCCATCCTTCTGCATTGATTTCAAATAGCTCAACTGAACTCAACTAAGCCTTAAATCCAAAGCATAAAATAACCTAATTACTAATGCAGTATAGTACATGTCTACAACCCAATTGTAGAAATGTACTGTGTTTGAAATTTGAAATCGGCCATCAAAACACATCAAAGCAGCAAACTGCAAGCTACCAGTCAAAAAGCCAACAGAACAGATTGTAGAAGAAAAAAAAAAGCAGTAGAAAGTAACATCGAAAAGCATGTACCTGTTAAGAGAAGCAATGGCAAAACAAATCCGACGAGAAAATTCCCCATGAGAAAAAGGCCACTTCTTAAGACCTTAGAATCATCAGTTCTTTGTCGGTAATTTCACAATTCCATTAATGAGTTTTAAGAGTTTCATCGAAAGCATGAGAAAATCCAATTTCCCGGGAAATACAGATTTTCTCGTTTGATTGGGAGTCGTAAACCGGTAAACGCAGCGGTTGCTTAGCTCTTTGTCTTGCTTTTACTTCCAAAAACAATAATGAGAAGAGGTTTTCTAAAATTACGGGAACGATAAATAATTTTGCTTTTTTCTTTTTACATAAAATGTGCTTTGGCTATTCTGTTTATACTTCAGAATTTAGATGCTTTCTTGAAAACAATAATTTAATTAAATAAACATATATTTTTTTAAAAAATACCACGTTTTGGCATTTTCTTATATTAAAAGATCCGTGGGAACTAATTTTCGCTAATTTTTTTTAATTAGCTAATTTTCACTGATTTGGTAAGTAATTAAAATAAGTAAATGATACGGTTAAGATAAATTTGTACAAATTAAAAAGTCCAACTTATTAAAAATTTATATTTTTATTTTTATGGAATGAAATTTGATTTTTTTTCCATTATTAATCTTGAAAGCTAATTACTAGATGACTTGACGAGCATAATAATAATGCGAAAATTCTTATACAATATAATCTAATTTTAATTTAATCTTTTTAGACTTTTCGAAAGTATTTCTAATTAAAAACATAAAATAATATATTTAGATATTTTTGACATGATAATCATTTATATTTTTAATAAAATACTAGAGTAAATAGATAATTATAGAGAAGTGTAAGGAAATTAAAAAAATAAACACCTAATTTTGTAACTAAAATTAAAATTAAAATATTAATAGAAAAAAAATTGGATTTAAGATACAATAAAAACTACCTACAAAATTTAAAATTTTTAATGATATAACCAAAAAAATTATGAATTCATAATAATTTATCGAAAGTTAAATGGAGAAGGAGAATTGCCCACGGTGTATATATATATATATATATATATTTGAAAAAAGAAGATATTACATGCATCATATATCACGATGTTAATTGAAGTATTTTTTTAAATTGTCTTTTCATTAATTGCACTTTTAAATGCTATTTTAAATGCCATAAATTGTTTTTTATTTTTTTCATCTATCTTAAGTTACAGGTCACTTTATTTTTTAAAATTATAATTGATTTGTAAAATAATTAATTTATAAATTTTCTAATATGCTCATATTTAATTTATTTTCTTATCAATAGTTTTTATAATTAATTGCATCAAATAATGTAACATCAAATTTACTCTGTATAGAGAGAGAGTAAAATTTATCATTTAATTATATTATTAAGTTTTTAATCTGTATGAAAATATAATTTTTTTTTCCTTTTCTTTGATAATAAGGTTTTGGTTGAATGATAAAACTGAGATAGAGGATTCAAAAGACAACAGGAAGACAAAGGAAAATTATCCTTCAATAAACAGAAAACTTTCTCAATCATTGATGACGGGAAATTTTTCCATCCTAAATGGAAAATTTTTGTGTATGAACTTCTTTCACGGTACTCGCGGTCGTTTAAAAGACGTCGTTTTTAATTGAACAGCGGTAAAACGATGTCGTGCCAATTATTTCGCTTGGCCATACATTCATTATCTATAAACAGCTCCTCTCCCACTCGGTTCAAGAACTTACAATTGAATAGATTTTCTGGTTTTCAAGCAACATGAACTCACTAATCTCATCGTCTCTCTGCAACTGCCACATTTCAAAACTACCATTAACGCGCACCAGACTTAGATACGGACATAGATATAATTTCTGTAATATTAATGCCCAAATACCCAGCAAAAACTTGAAAATAAGTGCTAATACAAATGAAGTGGATACACAGACACTGGAGGAATCTGAGCAAGAGCTGGAGCAAGAACAAGAACCAGATGAGGCAAGCAAAGTCTCTGCTCCTGCAATCGACAAAGAGCTCAAAAAGGTTGGTTTGAGAAATTTGGGTTTTTCTGTTTTTTTTTTTTTTATTGCATATGTTTTTTAAAATTTATCTGCATAATTAAACAGGCTGTTCAAAAAACTGCTGCTACCTTTGCACCAAGAGCTTCTACAGCTACCAAAAATCCTGCAGTCCCAGGAACTGCTTTATATACAGTTTTTGAGGTTCAAGGGTATGTGTCACTGTTGTTAGGTGGAGCACTTTCTTTTAATATCATATTTCCATCAAATGAGCCAGACATATGGAGATTGATGGGGATGTGGTCTATTTGGATGTTCAGTAAGTCTTGCTTCCCTCTAATTCTGAAATTATGAGGATTTTTTTTCTTGCACCATTTCTTCAACTTCTGAGATTTGTCTTGAACATGATTGTGTTGTTTACTTGTATGTTTAACAAAAGGCTCCACAATTACATGGAATCTTAATTATTTTTGCAGCAATCCCTTCATTACGAGCTAGAGACTGCTCCAAGAATGAAAAAGAGGCTCTTAACTATCTATTTCTCCTTATCCCTTTAATCAATGTTATAATCCCTTTCTTTTGGAAGTCCTTTGCTGTTGTATGGTCTGCAGATACCGTAGCCTTCTTCGGAATGTATGCTTGGAAGGTAATAATCCTCGTTTGTTGCTTATTCAAGAACATCAAATTTTGATATTTACTTTCTCTGTTTTGATCATCACAATGAAATGTATGGGTTCTGCAGTTGGGATGGTTACAGAGAACAGAGTAAGAACTGGTTCAGTACTTTCTGCAATTTCTTTGATTGGATCGACTGAACCAATCGTATTTTCTCTGGCATGGATCGGACAAAAAATCACTTCTCAAAGATCAGAACTGCATACGTTACAGCCAACAACATGATTGCCAGTTATTGGGAATGACAGATTGATCGACTGTATTTAGGGTCTGCATTTTATACTCGCTTTTACGTTTTTGGAAGTTGATACGCTAAGGCGGAAACATGTATACAGGATTATGAAGCTCACTGTATTAAACAATTTGTAATGGCCTAATTTTGCTATATTCAAAAGAATCATAGCAAGAGCAAGAAATTATCAGAAAACATACTAGGATATAAAAAGAAATGAACATAGAAACAAAGTTCTGGAAGCATTCCCATAAGCTGATTCCAGTAAACAACACTAAACGTGGAATGAAGGGCAACACTAATAGAGGAATCTTCAAAATTTTGAATTACAAATTTGAAAATGTTTATTTACGTAGAAGTTCCAACCATTCCTGGTGGAAAACGTAATAATACAGGGAAAGAGGGGCAGGAAGTCAACTAGTCACAAATTGGGTGGATACTATTATATCTATCTGTATATATCAAAATTCCTTCAAATTTACTTACAGATCTGAATGCCACCAAAAGCAGCACATGTATTCTCAATCCTCATTCCACCAAGGTCCAGCTGTAAAAACAAGTCGCCATGTTGTTAATAATCAACAATGTCGCAGTTTTTCCAAACAAATTGTACAAGTAACAGAACATATAGAAGATACATACAACTGCAGATTATCATACAAATCCAGCTACCCACAATAGGTCGTGCTAACCACAGAAGTTATCCCAAGGCAAACTAAACTTATTATTCTCCTAAACCTTGTTCATTACAAGAACAATGAATTGCAAAAGCAAAATCAGCATTACTTTGTCCTAGTATATCTTAGTCATACGTTGGAGAATATTCAAGTTTACTGGATCCAATCTCTTTGCTCAGATAAAAACCTGCCATGAAAAAGCATCTGGTGGTTTTTAGTTTCTACACAGATAGCAAGCCAAAAAGAAAAACCCACATGATTCATGGACAATTAAAAATTTATTCCATCTCTGATAATGATATTGATATTCATAATCATGCCACTAAGAGCATTTTGTTTTCTATTGGTTCAACTCTGAAATCTATTTGGCCAATGAAATTAACAACGTATTTTGGTTTGAAATCCATTATAAAATCGAGGCAGCGAGCAAATATATAGACCTGAAAATGCTTTAAGCACCAGAATATAATTCGTTCTACATAATATGAACAGAATGAATTGTTGAATTATTTTAAATGCCTCCATAAATAATGCTTACCTCTAAAAGTACACCAACTCTACATGAAACTCTGATTTCACTAAGCCAAGATTCTTCTCCAAAGCAGACCACCACCTAATGATGACTCGTTCTTATATGTGCTCATCTTCACTGTCCTCCTCATAGTCCGAGTCAGACTCCTCACTCCTTGGTTCTATGAGAGTATTCATGTCAAATGATGGCATTTCCATCTCCTCCATGTCAATGGTCTCATAGTCCATTCTTTGTTCAAACTTCTCATCAGAACAATTAAGAAGCCAAGAAAGTGAACATTTCAGCCCCTTCTTTGAAATTCTTTTATGTCTTGGCTTTATAGTGGACTCAAGAGCATATGTAAAGAATGCTGGGAAAGTAACCAAGTCATCCAAAGGTCTTTCCATCTCCATTTTAAAGTAATCAAAGCTAAGTTTCATAATGTCAATATTCAAAGCAAGCAACTGAGGACATCCCACAACCATCTCCCTTACCTGTTGTAAGGAGAAACCACAATCCTTAAGGAAGTCCACATGCTTAACTATAGGTATTCTACTAAGGCTGACGACCTGTGGCATCTTCTCCACAATTCTGGCAAACTCTTCTGAACTCAACTCAATAACAGAATGAAGTAAACTCCATTGACTCTGAAGCTTTAACTTCAGGTCAATTCCTATAATCTCAGGATATTGTGCTATCACTGAAGGAAGTGAGACTTCTCTTACATTGAACTCTAGAAGGGATTCAACATTTGGTTTAACCGAGTCCTCTAAACCAAATCCAAGGATGTGTGGTCGCTTCTCTATCAATCTGGCTACTGCTAGTCTCGGTATACCTAAACTTTCAAGATACTCCACAAAAGGCTTGATCACCCGGCCTACTCGCATCCCCAAAATCTCTGGGTACCTAGTTAAAACACCTCCTATTTCTCTCCTTGCCACCCCAATTCCAACCAGATAAGCCACTGATGTGCTCATGGTCCCTTCAAGCTTGAATCCTAGAAGTTCTGGGTACCTCTCAAGCACCCTTGGAATATTATTTGGCTTTATATCCATACCTTGAAGATATTTAACCACTGGAGCAAGGTCTACGACAACACTAGCATGGAGGACTTGTGGGTATCTTCTTAAGAATTCAGTGAAAGAGGATTTTCTAACTCCCAGCTTTCCAAGATAGTCAAGGACAGGAATCATGTTCTTTTTCACACTACAACCAAGAACAAGAGGATAGTTGTTTATGTCTTCGATTGTGAGACCTAATTGGAGGAGAAAATCCACACGTTCCCTCATAACCTCAACCGTCACAGGAAGTTCCAATCCATCAAGTTCATCAGGAACAATGTCAATACTACGCAAAAACTCATAAACTCTGGCACGATTTGCGACTTTCTGATTCTTCATCTCTAACAAACTAGGATGGGAATACAAGGATGAGGAACCTCCTTGCTTCTTACCGAGACGAACATTGCTTGCCTTGGAAATAGATGAATCTAAAGAGCCGGATGTGAATGTTCGTTCAGCAATAGAACACCGAAATTTTGTAATGAAGCCAATCCTCTTCAGGTGACTAGGAATCCTAAGAGTTGCCACAGATTTCAGCTGCTGTTTATGATATATAAGGATAGGTAAATCTGGATGTACCAGCAAAAATCCAGGTCTAGTAATGCCACCACAGCTTCCAATCTTCATTATATGTTCAAGAAAAATCTGCAAAGAGAAAAGCGAGGTAGGTGGTTATGATCTGCAAACTGATGATCTTCCCTATACTGCACAAATTATTAAACCAAAAATCCAAACTTTTGAGCTCTGTTCTTGGGACAAAAACAAAATCTATACCAGTTTACAATACCATCTGCGACCTAGCTGAGATTGATCCCCTATTCTAGTTTTTGGCGCTATTGGTCATACTAGAAAATATATGCAAGTTTGGTCTAGATTGAACTCATGAGTGAAACATTAACACTGTCCACTTCTTTTCCTCAAGTCAGGCCTTCAAGTGTAACCAATGGCATTGTATCAAACAGTTCAACTAGTGACCAATAAAACAACGATAACCATTTTGGATATGACAAGTAGATATTAGTTAGCAGAAATAATGGAGGATAACATAAAATAATGGATTCTGAAAGACTAAATAAATAATTAAAATATCAAATCCTCAAAACACCCAATAACAAATTGAAATCCTAGAACTCAGTTGAGCTACCAACACGAGCTTTCTTTACTAAGGTTAAAAAGAAACCTAATTTCTGTTACTTTCCTACACTTCCACAGTTTATAAATAAGCAATACTTCTCACCCTAACAGCCAACTAAAGGAAATGAAAATTATCCTTGAAAAATGTGAAAACTAAACTAACATTTTAAGAGCTTTCTTAGCTCACTTCATCTTCTTAGCAATTAAAAAGCAACAAAAAGAAAAGCAAAAACTTTTCACTCGTGTAGCTGTTGAATTAGGAAAGGATGTTAATATCTAAATTCTGAATCAAAAGATGGTGAAGAAGAAGATTACTGACCTGTTAGGCAAAATCAGCTCAGAATGACAGATGCTGGTAGCCAGAGGTGAAGCTTTGGGTTAGAGAAAGAAGGGTAAGGTTTTTGGGCTCACCAATGGCTTCCTTTTCTATTGTTTTATCATGCAAACTATTTTTTGCAAACTACCCCGCAGGTTATGAAAATATCCCTTATTCCTCCTAACTTTATCTCTTTTCAATTATACCCTTCTTTTGGAAAACGCTGATTAGCTGAAGGCCCATTTTAAGATCCATCCAGAAAACCCAAACTGGTACCACACGGTCCACACCAGCGTATATAGATTCTCTATGGCAGAGGTCCTGGTGCTTGCAAGTGGCAAGAACGATTCTGGAGTTGGAAAATACAGTGACCTGGAGTGGAATTAGCGAGAAAGATGGCTTGTCAATGGCATTTCTTAAGCTTTCTCTTTATAAGTTTGCTTCTATTCCCTGCAACAACTAAGGCTTCGAAATGTTCAATCAGTGGTGGGTGAGCTTTCGCTTATATTCTCTGCCACAACAAATTTATATGCTTATTTTTAGAGGGATTGAATGTATCGATTCGTTTTGTGGCCGTTTTCAATTACAGGGTTACCGCTCGTGAGGAATATTAGTGAGCTTCCTCAGGATAGTTATGGAAGGGGAGGTTTGTCTCATATTACAGTTGCCGGTTCTGCCTTGCATGGAATGAAAGAGGTAGAAATTGAAAACTGAAATCTATCTGAAATTTTATTTTTATTCAGTGAATGTACATGAAAATCAATTATTGTATTAGAATTTTAAGGAGATTGTTCATCTGTGGAAAATCTAATTTGTTTTGAAATGTTTCTTTCTTTTTTTTTTTTTTGTCAAACATTTTGTGGATTTCATAGGTGGAGGTATGGCTTCAAACATTTTCTCCAGGTTCACAAACCCCAATCCACAGACACTCTTGTGAAGAAGTTTTTGTGGTCCTAAAGGGAAGCGGCACTCTCTATCTTGCTTCAAATTCACATGGGAAGTATCCTGGAAAGCCGCAAGAACATTTCATTTTTGCCAATAGCACGTTTCATATACCTGTCAACGACGCTCACCAGGTAAGCATTTATTTGTAATTCTTTTGGATGGATGCGAACTCAATCTGTATTATGTTATGGGAATCTGCAGTTTAGTAGTATTAGTTTGAAAAAATCAGGAATAGTGCAGTTCTTTTGTCCGGTTCTGTAAAATTTCATAACTCCTTAATCATTTAAGCTAGCAATTATTGGCTTTGGCTCATGTTCCATATCTATTTAACAATGGGGAGACCGGTCTGTTAGAATACAAAAACAGGAATGGCCTTTTACCTTGCTTAGTTTCAGCATGCTGTTGGACATGGTTTGCACCTAAATAGTTTTGCAGTCTGCTTCTTCTTGAGAAATCGTAGAAATACCACTTCCAGTAATCTTTCTTCTTGCCCCAATTCTCTATTGGTTGCTATAACAACGGTTTCTATTGTTGAAGAAATTACTTAATGCGGATAAACCAAGTAAAAGGCAGGACTGCTCACACTTTTGTTAATCTCAGTTAGTCCAAAACAATTGATCTCCTGATATTTTGCATTGTCCATGCTTTCAAGCTTAGCTGAACATATTTCAAAGCATTTGGAAATAAATATTTGAATCTTGCTTGGAACCTAAGTTTTACTGTCAAACCCAACATAGCACTTCTTTTTTAATTCTGTAGAGAATTATCCTTCTATTTGTATTGTATGATCTTTTTTAATTCAGTTGTATTTTACTGCTTATGTGCCTACTATTTAACTTAAGACTCCAATATAATTCACATGTTCCTGGATTAATGAATGACCCTATTGTTTCTCTTCTTACTGAAGTGTCTACTCTTCAACATGCTGAAATTTAGTTTGGTCAATCTGTTTCATTCCTTATTGACCACAAGGTATAGTGATTCGAGCTGTTGTTTTGTGCACTCTGTTACTTTATTTTCTTGTTGTATTTCAGGTCTGGAACACAAATGAACATGAGGATTTGCAAATTCTTGTCATAATATCTCGTCCACCTGTCAAAGTGTATGTAAACAGTAGCTCTCTTCTGCCATCCTCTTAGACTTAATAGTTATCAGCATTTTACTGCTATTTGTCTCTCTTTTTGTTTTGCTGTTAGAATGAAAATCTAACTGGTACCTGTCATGCTGTCACATCTTCCTGTGTTCATTAGTTAAATATTTGCATTTCTAGCCATTATCAAGTAAAATTTTATGACTCCCAGTTCCTTTCGGTTTGGCTCTTTAATCTGATAATTTTGATTGCTCCACTTAATGCTTGTTGTAATTGCAATTTTTCAAATGCTCTGGTTCCTCTTGTTCTATTACATCAGTGCTCACTGTAGCTTTAACTTCTCATATCTGTGTCTTCGATGGATAGTGCATGGAAACTTTCACAACTTTTATCTCCTTGTTTATGGGAGAGGGGAAACTATTCATTTCATTATTGCAAAAAAACCATCCATTCTCAAAATATGGACAGATATATAAGATCGAAGTTCACCTGATAAGATGAAGCTCAACCATCATTGTAAAACCCACCTTGGCACTGCTTCAGGGAAAATATAAAAATGTTACTCTCTCTATTGCATTTTCCAGAAAATGTTTTGGGTCTTCTATTGCAGGTTGCAAACATATTTCTTTCTTTTCTTGTTATCATTTTATACAGGATGACACTTTCAGAACATCACCTTATGGTTTCAATAGTAAGAATGTATGCCTATATTGTGGTTTTCCATGTATTTTTGAGGTCTCATAACAAGTTCTCATAATGAATTTTGAACTCATTTCAATAGTTGTTGCAACAGTCAGGTACTTCGAATTTTCTTTTCCTATCAGTTTATTATGAGGGTAAAGTTCTTGCTTACAAGGGCAAATAGTCTATTTGTAGTGCAAATGGACAGGTTGAATCACATATATGATCTAGCTCTTTACAAAGCTTGTAACGCAAAAAATACACCTTTTCTGTGTTAATATACTTTGTTAGACAGATCTTTTCTCTCCCTCTCAACCGTATTTTTTTTTTGCTTCCAGGTTCACGTACGATGACTGGTTCATGCCCCATGTTGCAGCAAAATTGAAGTTCCCCTACTACTGGGATGAACAGTGCCTTCAACTTCAAGCTTCTCCAAAAGATGAGCTTTAATCACAAACCTTACTTTTGAACTTTGATTACACGAGCATAGTAATTCTGTTGTGAACTGATAAAATACTTGATATGAAAGTTCACTTAACAAAGAGCGGAACAGAGATATTCTTGTTTGTACAACCAGAATCTGAGAATGTAAAGTTGTATATTCTAGTTAGACTGTCCCTAACAAGGAGTGGGCTTTGATTCTGAGTGATCATTGCTTGGACAATAGCTGAACAAAGGCTGCGTGCAAAACAAAGTGTGTTTGTCTTGAGGTCACGTGCAGAAAGAATACGACAGCAATAGGTACATTGAACGTGTTTCTGGCATATTCTTTTAGCTGAGAAAGAGAAACTAGTGTACGCAAACTTCACTTCCAATAACGGATAACATTATAGGGTGATGATTCAACAGCCCAAAAGCCCAAAAACCATTTCTTTTTTGTTAAAAATCAAATTCATGACTAAAGACAATATATTAATGCAATATTGATATACACTAGATCTCATTTCATGTCATGTTTGTTCGATTTAGCTATTAATCTGAGTATAATTAATCACCTCTGGTTCGAAAATTTATAGTTTTAAAAAGATACTCCAATTCATACATAGTTAGACTGTTCCCTTCCCTGCGGTTTACAGGGGCCAATAGGCAATGCTTGGCAATCAAACATGACCGGGCAAATATAGTATATTGCCAAGGACATTTCCATGATTCTGAACGAGCAATTCTGTTAATTGCGCTAACCTGCAGTCTCCAGATGACAGCCAATACATGACATTTCAGTATATGAGAATAACTCGACTCCAAGAACTCTTGACAAATTGAACAACATCATCTCTTCTTTTTTGTCAACAAACTGCGGCGTTCAGCCTCTTTTTCTGCTACCACAACATGGAACTCTGACCCAAGCATTTCATCTATACCAAGATTCAACATGCTACTCAAGTTGACAGTCTCCAGTATCACTTCTAAAGTTAAACTGAAGCCTAAAGTTGACAATACACGGATAGCATTTGCAATGCGGCAAATGTTCTGCCTTGTCTCAAGAGGTACATCTTCAGAAGCTCTACTGGATTTGGTATTTTGTTCTTCAGTATTGTTTACTTGATCTTCTGCCACAATATCTCTGGCATCAACATGTTCACCAACCCATATAAATCCATTACATCCAAGTATTAAGTCAACATCATATTGTACTAGATGATGGAAATGCTGTTTTTGTCTTTTCACAAGATAAGGAGGGACTGTCAGCAATTGACCCTTCTCAAGCTGCAACACACAATAAGTACAAGTAACAAAATTAACACAATTCTATATTTAACGAGAGCGGCTATGTTTTTCCTTTTATTTTTTTATTTTTCCCACAAGGATGCACTAAGGAATTCAGTCTTAGATTAAATAAGATAAGCTACATGAAATGAAAGCTAAGTTGTGGGATCAAATAAATGAATCAGTAGTTTTTTGGCAACAAGAATTCAAGAAGAACCAAAGGAGGAATAGGCATTAGCATTATAAGTGGAAACCTAAAGCATATAAAGTACCTTTCCTTTTACTGTAATCCAGAATGGTTGTTGTAGAAAACTGCTGTTAATTATTTATTTATTTTTAAAGTACTCAACTTCTACACAAGTAAACTAGAAATCCTGTTGTTATGTTTCTATCCCTTTTTTGGTTCCCATGTTTAATTTATCAAGATATTGAACTTAGCTCTATATCAAACCTTTCCATACTTCTGACTTCTTGCTTGCAGTTGTAAACTACCATCATTCTGAAAATTGCGAACTTCAGCCTGAAAAGGAAAGGAATGACTCATAATATTAAACCATGCATTTTTTTTTCCCTTGTGGTGACACATTGGATTGTCTTATAAAGCATTATCAAGACAAACAACGGAAGGACACAACGCTCTATACTTACACAAATAACATCATTCTCCTCGAAAACATTGCGCATGTTGAGTTCATCAACAGCAGTTCGCCGTCTCTAGCAATCAAATTTGAGAAGGCTGCACATGTTTAGTAAAGAAAGAAAGCAACAAACTACTCTATCTCTTCAATATAAACAGATATTGCAGATGTTTTATGCTTCATATAGTCATGCTCAATGTGCATCAAAATATTTTTATTATGAGAGAAGATTAATATACAAGCAAGCATCTGAATTGAGACCAGTCAACACCCGAGGTTTCATAGGACTACGAACTAGAATTGGTTCTGGAATTAAGATGGAATCTCAATCAACCACAAAATCACACTGTGTATGGAATGAGCCAGGTCATAGAAATGAATGAAATGCTTGGTCTAGAGCCCAAATGATAAACTACAGTAGCTTGCTGCTTCTCAAAACAAGAATGGATTTAGATAACTAGTACTGCAAACAGATTCGTGATCAGGACATGTATATGAAGGATTTTCATCATTTCACATAAAGCTCCTTACATGGCCTTTAATCATGAAACAAGTTACCATCAAGTATAGATGTCTTATTTATTCTCTCTTATGTTTCCAATAATATGGCTCTCAACCAATCTTGCAACACAATGAACAACTGCACACATCATAATGTGAAAGCAAAAACAATGACCAATACATGGAGAATTATATTAAGAGAGATATTTGATACCTGAATACCATCAGGTAAGTTCATGGAAGAAAGCATTAACACAGCATCTTGGTTGAAATTTATGTCCAATTTCCATCGCTTTTGGGCAACCTGGATGGTGAAGAATTAGTGGATACAATTAAAGAGAAAAAAAAAATGCTCCATTAAGCAAATTCATTAGTCTTCTAAATAATCAGATGAAAATATTAAGACACATAAAGCTTTTCCATGAGAAAATAAAATGAATGCATTTTCCATTAGTAATCATAATCAACCCTTAAACACGAAAGATCATAACATAACATCATGTTCCTTCCTAATCATAATTAATTATTACCTCAAGGACACGGGCCACTACGATATCCCCGATCTCTGGCTTATATCTAAAATTAACAACAGTATTGAATTTGTCATAGTTAGATGAAATTAATATCAAATCCTTTAACCAACAGTGACTTAGCTCTGATCAATGGACAATTACAAAATCATAAATTTGGTAATGAATGCACCTGGCGCGCAAAGACCGTACATAGACGAGCATGTTAACGCGCTCTACAACTCCACATATCGTCGCCACCATTTCACCGTCCCGCTCCGCGGTTCCATGTCCCCTTCAATTTAGTAAAAAACAAGTTACTCGAGATACACAAATCGAAAATGTAACATGTAAAAGGATAGAGCTAGGGCTAGAGAACAGACTTGAGAATGCTGTCCTCGAGGTTAATGGGGATAGTATCGGCGACGGTGACGGAAGCTTCGGAATTGACTTTGGCATGTAAAGATTCAAGCTGTTGCAGAGCTCTCTGTAATCTTACTTTTTGTGTTTGATTTAACGGTAGCTGTATTTCTCTCATCTCTCCTTCCTCTCTTAACTCCCTCTGTATTTCGTCAATGGAGAAAACCCTTAAACCCTAGTTTTAACTAAAAACCTCCCTATCCCAAAATGGTGTAGATTAAATTTTGACATGGGCCTTAAATTGGGCCTTGGTTATGTTTTCGTATAATGAGCCCATTAGGCCTTGCACATCTTTTTTTTTTTTTTTTTTCCATAAGTGTCTTGCACTCTAATTTTGTTTAAGCTTGTTTTACAACTTATTTTTTGACGGTCAAACTAATTCATTCTTAAATTTCTCTCTCCATAAAGTACTTTTTTTATTCAGACCTTTTTTTTTTTTTTTTTTTACCATAAGTGTCTTGCAACTCTATTTTGTTTAAGATGTTTTACAACTTATTTTTGAGGTCAAACTAATTTCATTTTAAAATTTCTCTCTCCATAAATATTATTTTATTCAGACTAATTTCATTTTGAAATTTGCTATTATTTCTATTTATAAATTTTTTTTCACTAAATTTCATTGAACTCTTAAAATTATAAAAATGTTCCGTTAGATTTAAACGTGGTTTATTAACTGATCTTAATAGTAATATTAATCCAGTGCATAACTTTTAATTTTTAAAAATTAAATTAAATCATATGTTCACATTCAGTTATTGAAAAAGAAGTCTTACTATTGATTTGACTAACTGACCGCGTTCAACTTCAACCCTAGACAATGTTATTTTTAGTTGCTTCTCCACCAAAGAAAAACTGAGAAAACAGTATTCGTTAACTAATTTTCTTAATCAGGAAGGTAATTAGCCAATAATATAATACCCTAGTAACTTCCATTGCAAGCAGGAAGGAAAATACTGTCAGTCTTCTACCGTGTCATTTGGAAAACCACCAAACCCTTGACTTAAACCTAGTCAAATTGACCAAAAAGGTTAAAAAATAAAAAATAAAAAAACAAAAAGAGTTAAACTCTCTGTTATTAATTTTTTTACTTTTTACCACTGAAATGTAGAGAATATATAGAAATGAAAAATAGAAAGGCGTTGTCTTGATATTACATACAAGAGAGAAAAACGCAATTCCCTCCGGATAATGTTCTCTTCCTCACAATACCACCAACCTCTTTCCTTCCTTGTTAATCTGAGTCACTAATTAGTTTTGTTTTTAAACCTTCTCTTGACCGGCCAAGCAATGGCAGCAGCTACTCTTCCTCTCTAACACCACCCTAACCTTACCCTTCTCATAATCATTTTTAGGACAGGATGGCCTTTTGCACTACTCTCCATTTGCTCCTAGTTGGCCTCCTGTCTCTCCCTATTTTTCTTTCCTCCACCATTGCAGTAGCTGCTGCTGCCACCCCCACCAATGGCGGAATCCGCCTTGGCTTTATCAGAAAACCTTCATCCGATATCCCCACTTTCCGGGAAGCTCCAGCTTTTCGCAATGGGGATTCTTGTGGGACTGATAAAATCCATATTACAATGAATTTAGATGCCAATTACCTTAGAGGCACCATGGCTGCAGTTTTATCTATTCTAAAGCATTCAACTTGCCCTGAAAACTTTTCCTTTCATTTCCTCTGGTCACGTTTCCAGCCTGAAATTTTCTCCAACATAAAATCAACCTTTCCTTACCTTAACTTCAAAATATACCGCTTTGACTCTAACCATGTTCGCGGTAAAATATCTAAATCAATTCGGCAAGCATTAGACCAGCCATTAAACTATGCAAGAATTTACCTTGCTGCTATACTTCCATTGGATGTTAAAAGAGTAATTTACTTAGATTCTGATCTTGTAGTTGTTGATGATATTGCAAAGTTATGGGAAGTTGATTTAGAAGACAAAGTACTGGGTGCACCAGAATATTGCCATGCAAATTTTACTAAATATTTTACAGAACTATTCTGGTCAAATCCTGTCTGGGCCAAGACATTTGATGGAAGAAAGCCTTGTTATTTTAATACAGGAGTTATGGTTGTGGATGTGGAGAAATGGAGAAAAGGAGACTATACAAAGAAAGTGGAGGAATGGATGGAAGTGCAAAAAAATATAAGAATATATCATTTAGGGTCACTGCCACCATTTTTATTGGTTTTAGGTGGGAATATAAAAGGGGTGGATCACAGATGGAACCAACATGGATTAGGAGGAGATAATATTGAGGGCAAGTGTAGGAATTTGCATCCTGGACCTGTTAGTTTGCTGCATTGGAGTGGGAAAGGAAAACCATGGTTAAGACTTGATTCAAGAAAGCCTTGCTCTGTGGATCATCTATGGGCACCTTATGATTTATATAAATCTTCAATGCATTCTTTGGAAGAGTATAATTAATGGGAGGAGAGAATTGGAGGAGGAGTTGGGTTAAGGTAAGGGATTTGGTAGGTTAGGAGATTGAAGAAGTTGATAATATATAATAGGTAATTAAGAAACCTTAAAAGAGAGACACAGAACTTTTTTTTAATGTTCCTTTTGTTCTGTGTCTGTATATGTATATTGTTGAAATTAATTATTTTCAATAATTTTCTGGTCTCTCTTTAATGGGATTCCATTGCAAGGAGCACGAGAAGATTTTGAGTTTTGTTGTAATAAACAACTTCTCTATATATTAGTAATTGTCATTTATAAGGTTATGCCTTCTATTTTTATTTTTTTTCAACTTTTTTGTTTCTCTAGTACTTAAGAATTATTTTTATTTAATTCCTAGGAAAATATATTATTTCTTTTTAATTACAATGAAAACCAGGTAACTTAATCATGCGCAGGTGCTTCAAAAGCCACACGCATACATTTAATACAATGATATCATCAACAACAAATATTAGGAGAAAAAATTTATATATATACACATACATGAAATGAAAGCTGAATTCTCCTTATTTTGATTTATACTCAAGAGATACTTCAGGTTCCAAGTCAAGTTTCATTGCTTCCTTCCTGCTCTTGAGAAATGCATCTGATTTTTCATTAATATTAGGAGCAACACTTAAAAGATGCGGTGGATACCTCACTTTTGGGTTTTTACTTGTGCTCTCCTTTCTGCTAACAACGTTCTCTTGCTCTGGGTCCTTGTCTTGACTTGTTATATTCACTTGAACTTTAGGGAGCTCTGTATTCCGGGGCAGTTTGGTGACTTTGCTTCTCTTCTTTGTAAAATTGTCGCCTTTCTTTAATTGGGATTGATCATCATCAGAATGGATTGAAGAACCAAGCTCGTTAATGGGAGTCCAGTCGTTCAAATCTTCTTCACTTATCTTGTAATGAATCTCAATTGCATACCTTGAATCATCGAACCTTTCTTGATCTGCGTTAGCGTTTGAAGGATCACTTACAGAAACAGAACGGTCCAAAGTTGTGCGTTTAAGGCCTGGAAACATGAGGCCGCCAATGAAGTTGAAAAGCCTCAGGCAAATATTGTTAGGAGGGTGATCCTTTTTTTGCATGATTTTGATCATAACCCAAGAACGAAGATGCAAGAAATGAAGGGAGAGGTGTGTATTTGAAATGAGAATGTGCTATTCTATCCTTGGAAAATGGGTAAACAAAAGCGCATTCTTTTCCCTTTTAACCCAAAAGGGAAGTGGCTTATAAGTTATTTCTCACCCACTTTAGCAGCTAGAAACAAAAGAGAAGAGATAGGAAGAATATCAGAGAATGATCTCTATTTATCTACTTGATGATGCCAATACCATAGCATAGACAAAATGAAGTAGAATCAATTCTAACTTTGCTTGTAACTTTGAAGTTTCATATATTCCCGAATCCCAGAACACCATATGACTCACGGGGAAAACCCATATATTCCCAAATCCGAAAGCACCATGACTCGCAGGATAAACCATATTTAGTCTATTATATACCAATAATGCACAGCATTACATCGTAACAGCAAAAGTTAATCACAGAACGCTTGATTTCTCATTACACCAACATATAAATCCATGGAACAAACGTCAACATTATTTTACAGACATAAGCATGTCGAGGAAAAAGAATACTTTGGAAAGAAAAAGATCACATATCATATATAACAGTTAATATTCCATCAAACAACAAAAACAGAACTTGGAAAAAGAAAATTGCACAGGATATCATTCTATAAGTTCACATAGCCATCTATTGCCAAAATTGGAAAAATATAAAGTTTCACGAAAGGTTCAAAAACAAAATCCACCATGGGAGCAAGCCTAATACTTTTTCCTCTAGAAGACAAGCTCATGAGGCTTCATTCCTGCCTTGAGAGAAAACCTAGCAGCTAGATAAGCCTTCAAGTCTGGAACCCCCTCAATTGATTTAATTAATGCTGCATCCACAGTCTTCTGATCATCTTTCTTTTCTTCTGGAAGCACATTTTTCTCCTGAATGTGGGTTAAGACCAAAATCAATATTAGGACAGATCAACAAAATATAATAAAATATAAGTATCAATAGCAAAACCTTAGTGTTTAGCAAACAAACCTCTTTCTCTGCCTCAAAGAACTCGCCTTCTCCCTTCTTGTTCTTCTTCTCAAATTGCTTGGCAAAATATTTGTCATCAAACTTATCAACATTAACTCCAGATATGTCAACCTTGGAGGAAGTTGCAATCACATAAGATTGGTTCACTCTCCTCAAAGGGACACCATTGATCTTAAATGGTCCTGTAGTAGAAAGTGACATAAATCAACAAGTGATGCAAATGGATACGATTTACTACAAGTCTGCAACCCATAGTTACATAAGGCTCATGCCCTAGCAGACAGAACAAACAAAAACACAGAACATCTAGCTTTAAGGATATACAATTATGCTCATTAATTGTATTTAGGGTGGTTAGAATGCTTCCAGAAGACAATTAAATGATTACAGAAATGCACCAATGTGGAGATAAGATACTGAGCCGAATGCAATTGAAAATAAAAGGTGTTATCCCACTCATATAGATACATGACTAATCTTATATGCAGTTATTATTATAATAATACAGTGATACACCTTAAGGCACAGGAAAGCTCTGTCATACATGGAAATATTTTACTAAATGCCTATGCCAATCATATAATGGAAAAAAATCAAATCATCCTTACCAGTGACCAAAAGCAACCCAGAGGAAAGCTGCTTCAAAAATACAACCCTTTTGCCCTTGAACCTTCCAGCAAGAATGATCAAAACAGTACCCGGAGTAATGCTAGACCTACAGGCATAAAAAGAAACGAGACAATTGTTACACATCCTAGGCACCACTCAATGCAGATAACCCTATAAATTGATTTATCTTCTATAATCTCTATTATCATTGAAGCTAACATTATCTTAATACACAAACAAAGATAAACGAACCCAATGAAAGCAAGCTAATACATGACAAAGTTATAAAATGAATCCAGAAGTCTACTCAAATCAGTAATAGAGAGAGAAATAATGACGAAGACCTGAGCTTGGTGGGCTTAGGCTTGCGCTTGTTAAGCAGAGGTTTCTTAGCATCATCAGCTGGGTAGAACTTGGGCGGCTTCTCGGTGGGAGCAGAGGGTTTGGGTTTGGGGTCGTGCTTAGGGAAAACGCCGCCATTTTTGGCCTTAATAGCCCACAAACCCCTTTTGTGGTACATCTGAGATCTCGAAAACTTGCCGATTCCTCGAACCAAATCTGGGTTCCTGCTCACCCTCACCGTCCTTGGAGCCATCGTTTCAATTAGGGTTCTTCTCTCTCGGCAGTAGGGGTTTATGTGTTCTGCTTATGCGTTTGTAAACAAAGCTAAAATGAAATTCTATTATTATTTTAATGCCAATTTTTATAAATATTTTGTTGTCGTCACCATCATTTTATTTAAATGATTTTACTTTATTTTCATCCATCTTATTTTTATATGACTTTTTTAAAAATATAAATATGTTATAATAATATAGACTGTCTAAAACAACAAATTTCATAAAATTTTATATAATGTTTAAAACTTTATTATTTTTATTCTTATTTATTTATTATGATAGATTCAACTAATTTTTAACAAAAAGACTTAAATATAAAATCTCACATTTCTAGTATAATTGAAAAAAGATCGATCAGACTGCTATAATTTTTATTTTTATTTTATAAAATTTAATAATTTCAATAGATTTCTATTGCCTTAGTATAACCGAATTTTAAATAAAATTTATTTATAAACATATTTTTTATATTTCTAAATTAGAGAGCCGAGACCTTCCACCTCATATTAAATAAATTTTTTTTAAGGTGACAAATTTTATTATTTTTTTTTATAAAAAAAAATGCTACTAATAAAATAATTTTTTAATTAAAATAAAGATTAAAATAGCATTTGATTTGAGATATATCAAGTTTTAATACCTTATATTATTGTTTTAGAATGAAGAGATTACAGAACATACGTGAGAAAAACTAATGGCGCACGTGCAAAGCTTTAATTTGGTTAATTATTATAAATTATAGAGTAATCGATAAAAATGGTCCTTGCTGGCGCTGCTGCCGGTGCTGGTGCTGGATGTAACCGAAGCTCAGTTGCTTCATTATCAAATCTTCAACCTTGACCATCCATTTTCTCCCAATGGATTTCTTCAGATCAGTATTCTCAGAGGAACATGATTCTCCAAAATCCGAACACGAATCCAAATCCTTCAATAATCAACCCCAATCCGATTCAGATCCAAACTCCCCTCCTAACCCTAACCCGAACACCACTGATGGTGCATGGAGCTTTGGGGGTCTCATGAGAACCCTGACAACCAAATCTGAATCTGTCATCGAAATTTACCGCCGCGATCTAAAGGAATTCGGGTCGGGCCTAAAGAAGGAGATCGAGGTAGCCCATGGATCGTTAGAGACTGTGGGGCACACTATTGATGAGATTGGTAGCTCTGTGTTGAAAAGTACTGCCCAGATCATTTCCCAAGGCAAGGAAGCAATCCTCGCCGATCACGAATCCGATTCATCTGATAATAATGAGAGAAGCATTGCTAGTCAACAAAGCTTGAACTCGAAACCTTATAGTCGCTTTGATGCTCAGGTACGAGCGATTCAAGGCGATGCGACTACATACAGCGAGGAGCCAGAGGATTTGGATGATTATAGGAAATGGAAATTAGGGTTCGTTTTGGAAGAGAAGAGAGAGGAAGTTGAAAGTTTGCTTGATGAGAATGGTACTATGGAGAGTATATTTAATAGGCTCGTTCCAAATATTGTTGATGAGGAGACATTTTGGTCTAGATATTATTATAAGCTTTATAAGCTCAAGCAAGCTGAAGATGTGAGAGCTAATCTTGTAAAGCGAGCAACTTCAACAGAAGAGGAGGAGTTGAGTTGGGATGTTGATGATGATGAGGAAGAAGAAATCAAAGATGAGAGTAATGAGAAGGAGCCAATAGTGAATGCTAATGAAATTAATCAAATGGCCAACAAAGAATCTGAACAAAGTGTGAATGTAGAGAAGAAGGAGATATCTGTGCAGGAATCAAATGAAGAGAAGGCTTTGAGTGGTGAAAATGTGGCTGGTAAGCAAGGGGAATTGGAGAAGAGCAAGGAAGAGTTTGTATCAAAATCTGATGAGAAAGCAGGATCAGAAGGGAAGGGTGACAAAGAAGAATCTTCAAAAGATAGTGATGTTTCGGTTATATCGAGCCACCCATCAATGCCAGAGGAGGAAGATCTTGGGTGGGATGAGATTGAGGATCTAAGCAGTATTGATGAGAAGAAAGTGAGTCATAGTGGAAGTCCAAACAAGGTTGATTTGAGGAAGCGATTGAGTGCTGCAGAAGAAGAGGAGGATTTGAGTTGGGATATTGAAGATGATGATGAGCCAGTTAAAGCTTGAAGTAATTGTTTTGTTTATAACACCAAAATTTATTACTTTGTCTGATCTATCAGCATATTTGTGCAAGTGTTATATAGATTTTGGTTCATTTGTACCTTAAAAGTGCGAGCATTATCTCCCATTATATTACTTGAAGTGGAAACAAATGTGTGTTTAATAATAACATTTTCATTTCTTGACTTGCTTTAAGTTAAGGTACGAGAGACTCTATTGTGATGTGTATATGTATAGTTGTGATTTGATAATTTTCTCTGTTGGCTTGACAATTAGGAGCCACGCTAACCCAAGCTCTTGGAGTAACAGCAAAATTTTTGTGATGGCTACTGGTTGGCTTGCATTAAAAATGCAATGTTAACAAAGGCTTTATGAGGAATTGCAGCTTGTATGTTCAAGGCAAACAATTCAGCTAATGGATACGCATGTAAGAGAGAGTTATGCTTGATGGCATAAAGTTTCTTGCTGCTGAATGTGTACCCACTGAATCTATAGTGCTTCAGCCCCTATTGCAATGCATTTTGGTTTTAGGAATTGAAAGTTAGCTAGCATTTCAGTTGACAGAACTAAGCTGATTTTTCTGCTCTTGTTTAGTTAGTTGGGCAATCCAAGAAATTAGCAAAGAGGAATACAAGTAGATGTAGTAGAATTGTAATATCGGCTATGCATCTGCAGACGAGATCCTCGAGGCCTTTTAGTTAAAGACCAACAAGAAAAAAGAACCAATTTCTCTCTTTAGAATCTTTCATCTTCCTACATGGATTTCCCTTTTTTCTTCTTCTATCTTGCTCAAACCAAACAGTATAGGCCTGCCTGACGATTTTACGACTGGAACAGAGAGAAATGCAAGAGCTGAAAGTGTAATTGAATCAACCGGAAGTGTTTTGGCCATTGCTGCTAAGTGCTGCTGAGATTAAGATAACATTGGGAACTAGCTGAATGTGCCATGCGTACATATTCAAATATCCTACTGGAGAAATAAAGAATCAAAAACATCCAACCAGAGAGCAAATTATATGTCTACCAAAAAGATAAAAATATAAATAACTCGTTAATACAAAATCTTCCCTTACGAGAACTAATTCACACTCTGCAGACTTAAGGCTCAACTACCCCTAAAGCCCTACACGATTGGCATCAAAGAAACGTGTAGTGACCAACGCTAGAACCTAATTTACAGAGAAAAAAAAAACGGAGTAAATAAATTGAAAGAACAAACTCGTTCCGCAGCATTCAGGCCCCATTTGTACAAGTAAGAATCCTTCAGAGCAAGAAGTGCATAATAGAGACCTATCGTTGACTTGTATTTCTTCGGCCATGGGGCTGCCTCAATTTAACATCATGCAGATTTTCCTTCAACACCGACACACGTTTCAGAAGCAGAATCTGTTACATGTGTTTCAATGGAAGGCAATGTGAGAAGGCGCCTTTTCTGCGCGCGGGGTGGAAGATGCTTTGCAGGCTTTCTTGATCCTACAGTCCAGGGCAAGAAAACCCCAGTACCACCACGAGACATCCTTTTTGGACTCAACACCATTGGCCGCATTGGAGCAAGCATGACCACTGGAGTACGCAGGACTCCCCATTTAGACATCATATCCATTGCATCATACCCTCCAACAGCTCCATTAGGCATTGCATATGGGCTTGGTATGCTGGGTTGCCATAGGGTCATGGCACCTGCCATTGGACTAGTTGGTGGTGACTGGCCTTGGTTGCTGTCTGGGCGCACTCTGAAGAATGTGATGCTGACCCTATCTTTTGGAGATGAGCACATGACATGTCTTGCCATGTCAGAACTGTTTCCCCTCATCACCAAAAGAGACCTGCAAGTTTTTCGAAATCAAGTCATAAATGAACTTGTCCGCTAGAAGTTGCATGATGAAAATAAACTGGTGGCAACTTAGAAATTGTTCAAGTAAAGAAAATTTTGTTGAGATCTATATCAAGCACACAAACAATTTTATGGATGCAGCAAAATACATTTAAATGCCTCTCTGTCTACTACTACATTTGTCGCAAAACGAGTACAATGCAACATATAGAACTTAATCAAGAAAAAAATTTTGCTTAATGTAGAATTACAGTCAAACAGCTTTGATGGAGGTCTCGATGCATGTTGCATGGAATGAAGAAGATGCAGTACTAGTTGAACCTTCCATTCAAATTCAGCCACAGCAAGTGCTATTACTAGATATATAACCATAAACACAGTAAAATTATGCGATGTCGCTGCTATCTCAGTTAGTTTTTTCATGAAAAATTTGTCGAGTTGAATTTGTTCATAACTATTTTCTCATTTATGCCATCCCCAATTCTTACAGTTCTTAATTCTGCTCGGCAGAAGAGCCTGGGGGAAGATCTTAGAGTAACATAAAAATGTGGAAATTCAATTTAAAGAAACTCTCAGTGTGTACCCTTCTTTCAGTGAAAGCATAAGTGGACCTCTATAATTCCCATCATTGTCACTCACAAGAGTACGTCCAAAAGCCATTGTTGACTCTGATAGAACAAGAGTAGAGATTGGTTGATCCAAATGAGGTGGCTTCTGAAAAGGCTGTGAATATTCCTCCTGCATCCAAAACCACATACATTTGAAATTTCCTCTGTTATTTTCTCACTAACCAATAAACTGAAGATCCAAAAACAAAATGGTATATCACTCTATCCTCCTATATATGTATTCTAACTAACAATAAAGAGAAAACATGAAGATTTAGCAAAACATAAAATACCTTATCAAAGAAATGAATGATGCAACCATTTGGTTTTTTATATTCTGGTATTAGTTGCCACTGAACCAGGTGGTCAATGACACTTTCGAGAAGAGCTGGAATTGATTCTAAATCACCTGTCAAAATTTTTTTCAAAAATTGTGAAATGGCTTAATATTTTTGCAGTAATATATGCAAAGTTTTAAGGAATCCCCCATCCAAAAATGGGGAGGGAAGGAAGAAAGCCACAAGAACGAACTAATCATAAATTTTAGTTTGGTAGCACTAACTTGTTTGGTTGTTACTTATAGCTTCCTCTTTTATATGTCCAAAAATTGGAACGCCAAGCTGAATGAGCTCTCTCTTGTTTCCCTTCATCTGCTTGTTGAATAAAATATAACTGTCGCCTGCATTCATTGTTTAGGAAAATACGTTTAATTTTTATCAACAAGAAGTCTTGCCCATCAAGTGATGTGAATTTTGAATGTGAGCAAGTACAAGTTTTTCCACACCCAAATTGCATTTCAATCAACCAGCATTGAGAAATAAAAAACAAATAAAAAGAGGAGTGATATTAAAGATGTAACATGCAATAGGAATATCATAATTGCATCAACATAGGGACATTCGAATCCTTTGTATCAGCAACAAACACTTTATGATAAAAAGTGTAACAACTGCTTTTGAGAAATCTTCTTTTTTCTTTAGAAATATGTAAGGCTAACTTTTTAGAAAATAATGCAAACCCCAAAGGCTCGCTTTATCGGCCTGTTATCCAGACTTGCTAGATATCAGACGGTATCTAGGTGCTCTATTTCAAATTGAATTGGGATCGACTTACAGGTTTTAGTAACATAACATATCTTACGTAAAGCTAATGCAGCTTATTTGACCAGAGTAGAAAAATGAATGCCTAAACATATTAGAACAAAGCTTATCGTCAATTACCACAACAAAGCATGATTAATCATAAAAGTAGGACAAAGAGAAAGGTCACCTGCAAGTTCCCCATTCTGACCAGCAACTCGTAGTTCAGTAACGAAGTCAGTCAACTTAGAGAGCTCAGAATCAGTGAATAAGTCCTCATATAACTTTAAACCTTTCACAACATTCACCTGCCAGTTGTAATATCTCTCAATCAGTAACAGCTGGCTGTTTTTTTATTTTTATTTTTTTTTAAGAGCATATACTATAGGGATATCTACTCTGTGAATTCCATCTTCTTTAAGGAAAGAAGTTTTTTAAATTTTGAATTAAAGAACTCGCCATGTGCCCTTTCACTTGTTCTTTGGCAGTGAAACCTTTTGTCAACTTTATTTGATCAGGACGTGCATTGCAATCTTCATGGTTTGAACATATGTCAATGCTCTCAATTATAGGCTGCACTTCTTGAGACCCTGCATTCCAAACATAAGCAATGAAATGAACCCAGCAATGCCATGAGAATCAAACCATTATTATTAAACTTGTAATCACAAGTATCTTGGCCCATTAAAAATTTTTAAAACTAGTTCTTTTCTTTTTTTAATCAATTTGGCTTTGACTGAGTTTGAACATACAAACTAACAATCCAGAGATATTTCTGAACTTTGATAAACATGGTTCGAAGAAATTATTCCAAAAACATAATTTGGTATAGTGTTAGGACATACGTGCAAATTTATATAGGCCTAACTGTAATTGAAATTCATTTTTTAGTGATTGTTTGATGATGTGGCATAAATGTATTAAATTTTGGCAAATAAGTGCTGCATTGTCATTCATGAGACATAGGAATTGATATAAGAGAAATTGAATTGTATTGGATTTTTTAGAACAGTAAAATTCTCTTTTCTCTCTCTCCTTGATCTTCTCTCTTCTTTTACAATTTTCCTATTCAAACCCTAAGTTAGCTTCATGACTAGCAAGCCTGACAGATATCAGGTCAAAAATAAAATTGCCAAATGCATAGCAACTGTCGAACCATATGCTCATACTTACCAATATAAAGATACTCATTTTATAGAATCAAAGATAAATGACAAACCTCTGTACAAATTGATTGGCATCTAGTTGAAAGCCACTGCAGTTTTACAAGTCATAACAGGACTTTCATTCACCAACTTAAAATTCACTTTCTACAGAGAGGTTCTAATAATAGCATAATACCACAAAGTCTAATTCTTTAGAGACTAGCTAAATAACATTTTAGACAGCACTTAACATTAATGGAAGATGGTACACAAAAATCGGTGTTGCATAGTGCCATCCAATGTGAGTTACATTAATCTTCTAATAATATTTGTTTCATTAATAATAGATATTCCTTTGTCTCACTATTGTCATCTTACTATTTGATCACACATTTCCAACAAACTCAGCTGCAGCCCTTTTTTTACTTCCCTAGGATGGAAAAAATATTTGTCACATTTGTTACAAAGCTGTCACTGTCAAATTTGTACCATAAGGTACCAAATAATACCCCAACAAAACAACAAAAATGAAAAAGGTAGTTCAGCACTGTACGAGATTCGAATCTTGAATCGGCTTATTCGGCTACCCAGTCTATCACTGTCCACCACGACAATTGGGTCATACACACAACTGAGTTGACCGGGAATCTCGGCCTAGTCAACCGAGTCGACTCATACAGAGTCGTAAAAAAGAAAACTTTAGGATTAGCGATAAAAAATTGTTTTCCAACAGCCCAAAAAAGCGGGCCACCACGTGGAAGGTTCAAATGGCAGCCATGACGTCAGTGTTAACATCTGACGGTTAGCATCAAACGCCGCCTGTAATAAAATCATTGCACACATCTCCAAGTAGTTGCATCCAACGTAATGGTATTCGCTCCTCCCAAAACTAACTGTAACACCAGATGCAGACAAGCAATTTTCACCACCTCGAAACACTCAAACCCCTCTAAAACCTCGATATCGACCGTAAATATTACTACTACCACTTTTTATTTTTAATTGTTTCCCTTAAAAAAAGTTGCTTTACGGGAAAAAGAAAAATTATTTTCTATACAGTTTTTATCAGATTATAGGAATTTGATAAAAATCAAATTTCAGAAGATCCGACATGCCTTTGAAAAAAAATTAACTCAATCTAACTAGCATCGTCTAATAGAACGTTGAATTCAAAGTCAAATAAAATTGCAAAAGGGAGTTTGAATCTCGGATCTGATGGAGAAAAACTGGTTTATGTTTGATTCCTGGGAAAATGGAGGGAATAAATTAGCAGTTCCTTTTCAATATTTTAAAAAATACTATAATATAAAAGATCAGGGATTCATATATTTAAATTGCCCGGACTTTTATTTTCTAGGCTACCAAACAATACAATTAATTTAATTTGTAATATTTTATTGAAAACAAAGGAAAAAGACAAAAACAAAAACAAATAATTAAGAAGTATTCCAAACACATTGTTTGCGATGAAAAAAATAACGAAATTAAATAAAAACTATTTCTCATATTTAGCAAATCATTTTTAAAAAAGGACGCGATTTAGAAAAATTAGAAAAATTAATGTAAAATCACTTGTGAGCGATTGTCAGTCCCGATCACGATTTCCGAGAACAAACACAAACAAAATCATCAAAAGCTCACTCGCTACTGACTGATCAAAATTCTCATTCAAATTACTAAATATGAGAGAAGACAAAAGGCAAGCTCCTTTGTATAGAAAGTAATTATTTTTGAGGATAAAAGATTATACTTACCTGAATCAGTTATATCACTTTCAGGCGAATCCTCCTCTTCAACAACCTCGCCGCCGTCGTCACCGTCATCAATACCACTTTCCAGACTTTCCCTCACTTTCTCATCAACTTTCTCTTTCTCATCCAAATACACCTCCTTCAACATTACCTCATTCTTCTTCTCAATTTCACATTTCTTTTCATTCAATTTCCTCTCAGTCACTCGCCTTAGTTCCACCGCCACGTCAGCAATCGAATGATATTTCTGCATCTGGAGCACTGGGATCCAGTTCAGCCTCCTCCGATGTATGGCAGCGAAAACCGAATCATATTCCGATCCTGCTCCTCCGCTTCCGCTGACCTGCGCCAGGTGACTGCACAGCGCATCAATTATGGCGTTGGCAGCAGCGAATTCCCCGCGAAACCAGCCGAGAATGGCGTCTTTGGCGTAAGCGTCCGCCATCAACATTGGAGGCGTTTGTACGGGAACCACAGCAGGCATCACCGGGGGGACAGCTCGATCCGTCGGCGATGCTGGCCCAGCCGCCATCGGCATCAGTGATAAGTAAGGTGGACTAATTCTTCTATGTTACGTAGTATTTCACCTCTTAAAACTCCGAAACACCGGCGTTCAGAGTGTGGACTGTTACCTTCCGGGCGAGATATCGGCTGAGAATATCGGGGAGCAAGGAAGAAAAAATACGAAGAGAGAGAGGCAGGTGAAATCAAAGGGGTCACACATGGGAAGGTTTTTGGTTGATGAAACGAGGAGTATATATGAGAGAGGCACGTCCGTACATAAGTTGGGACCAGGTGCTGACATGGCAAATTGGGAGAGGCTCTGACGTGGCCAAACAGAACTGAAGGTTTGGTTGGTTGGCCGCTAAAGAAAGATGGTTAGGTCCTTTGGTGCATGTAGAACCAAAACCGGTTGTGAAACTTTGAGAGTTAGAGCTTTTGGGGAAGCTGGAAGTCAATTTACTAAAATAGGCCTCCAAAATAATTAACTGTTTTTTGTCACGTTTTTTTTTAAAAAACAATTAAAACTGATGATCGTTTCCATACTAATATTTGTCTTTTGTTTTTTTTTTTTTTTTTTTAGGTTTTGCGTTGGATTTGGCGCTAACGAAAGAGGGTTAAGGGTCCTTTGGTAGATGTAAACAAGAACCGGTTGTGAAAACCTTTAGAGAGTTAGAGCTTTTTGGGAAGCTGGGAAGTTCAATTTACACAATGGGACCTCCAAATAATTAACTTGTTTTTTGTCACGTTTTTTTTTAAAAAACAGATTAAAACTGTGATCGTTTTCCATACTATATTTGTTTTTTTTTTTTTTTTTTTTTTTTTTGCCAAATTATCAAATATCGTGATGATTCTCTGGTTTTTAAAAAATAGTTCTAAATCCTTTTAAAAAAAAGAAGTTCACAATCTTATTATTGAAGAAAGAAGAATATTCGAGTTTAAAACTTAAAGTACCATATGTTAAAAGAATTTAAATATATATATTTATATCATACGAATAAAAAAAAATATCAGGTATAATTTATTAATTTTACTAATTGGGGCTATCTAATAATGAAATTTCAGCTATTTGTAAATTTGGGAGAGAAAGTTCACAATATTGACGTATTGAGATTTCCTTCCAGCAACTCCTTCTAGATAATGGTACTGTTGGCCACATATTCTTACCATTGTTATTTGCTAGAAATTTGAAATTTCAGAATTTAGTGTGAAGTGTATGATGTGAGATCACATAGTTTTCATGGTGGGGTTGATTATTTTTTCTTAACTTTCTAGGGATTTGAATGAGCAGTCATACAAAGCTTCATGCATTGGATAATTTGTTGACATTTAGTTGTTACAAACAATGACAATTCCACATATTTCAAAAAAAATTTTATAATATGTACATTTTATATCTCAGCTTTTTAGAGAAATGAAATATATTATGAAAAATGAAAAGTTACTCTCAGCCGAATCAAAATAGGGAGGGTTGCCTCTGTGCCAGACAGCCACCCACCACCCCTATCTTTACCGCTGTATATATACTGATTTGCTCCCTTTGATCCTATCATGCAAGGAGTTGGGATGTTTCAGCCCCAAAAGGTAGGGAGCAGCCACGCACATTGAGGTCAAATAATAACACCCCAAAGATCAACTTTCAACTTCCTACCAAGGATTGAGTAAACCTCAAGAGACTTATTTTTATACATAAATTAATAAATAATTGTGTTCAATTATATTTTGTACATCAAACATGGAAGACTAGTACAATGTGCAATTAATGAATGAATGATTACGGTTTGTCAATCCGGATCTCAGTCATATAACTAAATTTAATACATTAATATATGGTATTTATATTTATTAAAATTACAAATGCAAAATAGCATTTCAATCGGAAAAAGAAAAAAAAAAAAAAAGCATCAATGCGATTAGCAAAAAGGGGTGAAAGCAAGGAGGAGAGAGCAGTAACTTGGTACATGTATGTAGGACCCTCGAAAGTGGCAATCCCATTCTATAGGGAAGGAGGTTCGTTTTCCTTCCATTGTTGTGGAGGGGTCCATCGAAAGCGCCTCTATTGTTGGCTTACAGGCAAGGAAGGAAAGCAAAGGAAGGTGTGTGATGTGGGCTCTCTCTCGCGGTTGGTTTTGTGCTGTGGCCACCAAACCCAAAGCGCTTTAGGCACATGCACACGATACCTTCGCCACTACTACCACAAGAGACAATCTCTACCACCCCGCTTAGCCGGCTAAACTCTAAATCCCTAGCTAAGCCGCCATTTTCACTTCTCTCTATCGGCTTCGTTTTAAAAGATTTTACTTTAATAATTTTAAAAGCCTCCCCTCTTTAGTTCTAAAGATTTTGGCTGTCTTATTCCCTCATAAAGCTTTATTTTTAATAATTTTATGTAAAATCATGTTTGCAGTTCTAAAAAAAAACAATTTGAATTAGAAATATATATAAGGACTTGTTTAATTATTATTGAACTTTATAAAATCAAGTTTATGGAAATCAAATAAATATTTTCTTTTAAATATAAACACTTGAATTTATTAATTTATTTATTATATTAAACAAGTATTAAAATTGATATATCAAATTTCATTCTCTCTATTATTAGTTTATCAATTCAATTATTTAGAGAAAAAAAAAAGAAAAACACTACCTGCCTTACGAGAATAATCACATGCTCCAAATAATAATTATTACATGCATGTGATAAGGAGAAGCATTTTATTATTATTCTATTCTATTTTTCTAAACAATGTTTTCACATTCGAATAGATTATTTTTGAGATTGTGAAGTTATAAGTTGATGCTTTGTGATTAATTAATTTTCTAAAACTGCAATTTAAATTTCTACAATTAATTTTACATATATGCATTATGTAACACTTTTAGAAATGAGTGAATTGACTAAAAACCTTTTTTTTTTTTTTGTTTTGGAAATTATTAATTACAATTACCAATACTTAACTAAAAACTTTAAACTTTAATTCAAAGATGGAAGGCATATGATTTCCAAGCTAAAGTTTTTTTCAAATTTATATTTTATTCAAATAAAAGTATAAAAAGAAATAGAAAAAGCATCAAAGAATCCCTTAAAGTTTAAAGTTTTATATTTGATTATCTGTTAATTTTCTCTATATTTTTATCTTTTATATATATATAAAATTCGAGTTTGGCTATGAAAAGATTTAGTTAAAAAGCATAACAAAGACATGTAAATTCCCATGTAGTGGGGGGAACTTCCTACCTTTGGTTAAACTTTATTGAGGTTTAGCTTTATTAGATTCTCACTTCTTAGCTAATAATAATAAATAAAAAAAAAGACTAAAATTGTAAGCAAGCCAAGCTGAACTAAAAATGTGAGACCCCACCAAACAAAAGTCAAGTGTGCACACATGAGCATGACGGGCCCATCTCAAAAGTGCCCTTAATTTGAAAGTGTACCAGTTAGATTAGGACCAATCCTTTATTCAAATCCCCAAATCACCCTGGAGAAAGTCAATTCAAATTAAACTATTCTTTCTCTCTAAATACTTGCCAATCACAATTCCATTTCTGTATTAAATCAGTATGCATAAACATCAATTTTTAATTCACAAATAGGTGTCTTATTCTTTAATGACTTATTGCTCCTCTATTATTATTAATGAGGCCAAAATAATTTTTTTTAAAAAAAAAACTCTTCCTCTTTTGTCCTTTCATTCTTTTCAAGGGATATTTTCTTATTTTCATTTTTGCTTACAAAGGAGAATATTAAAATATAAATTATTCAATATTGATTTTAATTAATTAGCTTCAACTAAAATTTAAATTCCTATTTTCAAATCCGTAGATTTTTGTCAATTTTTTTAAATTCCTTTATTCAAGTCTAATTTAATTGGTTAATGGCAAGTGAGATGTAGGTATTGGATTTAAGTTATACTATATTCATAGTTATCCTGATTTTATAATAATAATAATAATTATTATTATTATTATTATCCTTGTAATGAAAAATAAAAAACAATGGTTGTGAGTAGAAGAATCTTACCAACTTTCCAATGCCATAAAAGAAGGTCTCTCTCTTTTTTATCTGATACACTTGTATTGTGTTTTCCGGCCCCTTTTTGTGAATTACAAGTAGCATATTTATCGTGGACCATCCAAATAAACAGATGGATGGCATCCCCAAAATCAACGTTGAATGTGCCACTTGGGATCATCACGACCATCCAATATGTAAAGTAGGCAAAAATATATGGATTCCTTTGTAGATATTGTAGGATTGTTACAACACATTTTGAGTTGGCACAGAGTTTGAGATCAACAAGAATAACTATGTTAGGCCACATTATTTAAGGAATTTTTTCCATTCATCCGGTCCAACTAATATTATCGAATAACATATGATCATAATCAAATATATCTTTTTTCTTACAAAATTAAATATTCTCATTCTGTTATGCTAAATTTGATAATTTTTTATTTTTTTATTTTATATGTTATTTTAGAAAATAAAAAAAAAGTGTTAATTTGTTTTCAATCTTTTTTTTTTTTTTTTTTTTATGCCTAAATTTGATAATTTTTTTAATTTTTTTTATTTTATATGTTATTTTAGAAATAAAAAAAAAGTGTTAAATTTGTTTTCAATCTTTTTTTTTTTTTTTTTGTAACTTTTTCAACGTTTTCAATTAATTTATTTTTTTTTTTTTTTTTTTGTAATTTTTCAACGTTTTCATTATTTATCAGTATCCTCGTTAAATAAGTATTTACAAATTTTGTTTACTGACGTATTTAATTGCACTTTAGCAGACTTGCTTGAAAGTTAGGTTTTTGTGGACAGAAAGGGCAAAAGTCATGTGTGTAAATTAATTAAAATAGCTCCCTTTTTGAATTCCGCTAACGTGATTGTGATCGCACGGGCTTTGCCCTTTCTATGTTATCATTCTTGTGAGGTACATCTCCTTGTCACAATATTAAAATAGGACAAGAATACAACTCCTTCCTTTGATTTAGCAAAAGCTAAAAAGGTTTCAGTTTTGTTATTATGTTATTAGTCACTCTTATAATAGTTTCCACTCGAACCCCTCGGAGCCTTAGCCACCGCGCTAACTAACCCATCCACAACGCACTTACTCACCCGTCCATTTTTAGCATTTTTATTAGATTCATGATGAATTGTGTAGATTAATTTAGATTTTAATTAATAATAGAATAAGGGGAATGACTTATCTACACTCGGTGTATGAATTAACTTTATATGCGAAATTAATTAAAAATTAATTTTATTAGTTCAAATGAGAATATTTTTTATCATTCATCAAAGAAACAAATGATAAAACGGTAATAATTTTTTAAGAACTCTTTTCTTGATTGGACCACATATACACCAATTGTAGACAAAAGCTATTTGAGTCAAAATAATCTTACTTCTTTCTCTTTTCAACTATTAAACATAGCTTACTCTAATAAGGAATTTGTATAAACCATACAAGTCAAAATCAAGTTTTTATTAAGAAAAATATTTTTAAGATTTTTTTTGAAAAAGTCTTAAAAGATTATAAAATTTACTTATTTGGCAATATTTATAGTGAAAACAACACTCTTATTATCAATTTGAGTGAAGTCAATTCCAGAAATATCAACTTCAATTAACTCACCATGAAAAATTTAAAACATATTAATATATATACACAAAAAATGAGAATTCATGTTTAAAATATAAAAAAAATAAATGAAATACAATTACTTTGAAATAAATTATTAAGAAACAAGAAGATACTTAAAAGTGTCGGCTTGACCCTAAAATAAATTTCACCACTCTTTAATTAAAAAAAAAAAGGGAAAAACTATAGTTTGATAATTTTTTTTTCTTACCTTAAAATGTTGAAATTCAATAGCCCTACCTATCATATATAGGAAAGGGTACATAACTCAACAGATAGTAAAAAACAAAATATCCAAATAAAATAATTAAATGTAGAAAATAAAATAGTTGACTTTGGATACATGGATTCGACCTTTGGAGGAACTAAAGCTCTACACACATACTTCACTAATTAAGATATTAAGGCGTGCTTTCATGACCTAATTGCAAAAATCGTTTTAAATTTCTGTATTAAACCATTTTAAAAAAATAAAAATAACAGAAGAACACATGGAGATTATGTCAAAGTCAATGATTTTAAAATAATTTTGTTACAGCAAAGCCAGCATGGGCCGCTTGATCATTAGAGCTTGACCCTCGCCACACACACACCTATACATAATGGCGGTAGGTGAATATTTATTTTAAACACACTTATTTTTCTTAGGAAGAAAAAATATATTTTTTGAGTCATCCATACGGAGAGAGAATCCGAACATGAATATATTATTAGTTTATATATACAATTACCTAAAAATTGTGCTTTATTAGTAATATGCATAGGCTATTTAGATTATTCAAATTAATATGATTTTTTCACTAAGAAATATCGTACATTTCACGCTAAGACATAGCTTAATGTTAAGTGTATCTATAGTCTGACAAGAGATTCAGTTTCAAAAACTCCTTCCCAATAAAAAAAAATAATAAAAGGTCATACATTTTGGAAGCTAGACCCTATATTGGCACAGAGAGACTGAAAAAAAGGGAGAGAAAATATAACAAAAAGAAACAACAAGTGTAGCATTCCAATATTGACTTCTTTAGATAATTATACATATGCGTAAAATGAAATTAAAAATATAAAATAATAAAAAAAGCTGTTGAAATTGGCAGTTATTCTTTTACTTCAATAGAGCCTTTTATAGGTCAAAATAATACTAAATTGGTGCAAACAACTATGGTTGAGAGGACTCGAATTCAAAATCTCCTATTCCTTACATAAGTTAAAAAGAACAATCAAACCATCACCTGATTGGCAAATTGGTAATTATTATTGAATTATCATTTGAACTGGTTTAATATATGACGTAGCATTACCGTTGCATTATATAATTTCTTTTTTTTTTTTTTTTTTTTTTTACCGTTGGCATTAATATAATTTCTTTTTTGTTTTTTTTTTTTTTTTGGAAAAATAATATAAGTATAGTGAAAAGACCAAGTGGCCATTTTTTTTTTTTTTTTTTTTTGGAAAAATATATAAGTATAGATGAAAGACAAGTGCCAACAAATCTTTGCTTCTCAATAACCCCAAAAAGCTCTAATGGTGTCATGCCAATATTACTACAATTTCTCTGTTGTTTCCTCCATTAATTTATTCTGTTCACTGCCTTTGCCTAAGTTAACTCCTACGAAGAAGAAGACAATGCAATAAACTGTTGCTGCAACAACCTTTTTTTACATATGATATATCAATACGTACAAACCAAATCCTTGACCCCAAAAAGAAGGGAAAAAGGTTAGTTTGGATCGATAAGAATAACAAAAAAGGAATGGCCATTTAACAAAAACAAAACAGTAAAAACAGAAAATGAAAAATTTCTAAATGGAGCCAAGGAATTGCCAGAGCTAACTGACTAAATCATGACAAATTGACAACTCAGTTCCCTAATTTGCATCGTCCATACAATTATAAAATGAATATTGTTACAAAAGGACCATATTTTAATTTTAAATTAGTTGAAGTCCACGTAATGAATTTTTTTTATTTTCAATTTACGTTGTTCTTAGTTAAGTCGGCATTAAGGTCAACAATTATCAAATTGAAATCTTTGGATTCCGAAGTTGAAATATTGTTACATGTTGTTATGTTATTTTAATTCATCCTGTAGCATTTTTTTTTTCCCATATGCATGCGTTAAATGAATTAACTTAAAATGGGATATTTTTAGGTCAACAAGGTGGCCTGGGCTAACTACAAGTGGGCCTGCGAGCCTGTAGTCTAATATGGTTGGTCTGGGCCCTAACCGAAAGCCTAAACTAAAAGCCTGACGCGCCTGCAGAAATTTAGCTATTTCTGAACCTATTTCACATTTTCTCATTCCAAACAGGAACCTATTTCTGAACAATTAAGGAAATATTCAAGGATGCATCATGTAAACCTTTGATAGAAATTTAGCTAAAAATAAATAATAATTTCATCAATCCAAATATAAACCTTACAATTAAGGATTTTAATACAGACAGCAATATTTTTAATGAAAAAAACAATAAAAAAAGGAAGATACTTGACAATTATTTGATCCATAATAAAAGTATTATGTATCACAAATCCTGAAATAGAAACAATCTTTATTCATCAAATTACCTTTTAATTGAAATTAGTTCATAGGCATAGCCTCTATCTCTCTTCACTTGAAAGACTTGCTCTTTCCACCAGCAAGGCTTAATGTCGTTTTGAGCTTATGCTTTGTACGATCAATGTAATCAGAGAACTTATCCTTTCCTGAAGTATTATCCAAGTTACCTTTTCCTGAAGCATTCTTTTCTTCACCAGGATGTGACACAGTTCCAATCTTAATCTTTACGCGTTTGATAAAGTCAGTAAATCTATCTTCAATGTGGACTCCTGATTTCTCATGTTCAATGGTGACATGAGATGGTTTGACAACTTTTTCAGGTTTAGCCTTAGCTCCTTGACCATGAATTGTATTTTCTGCTGTAGGTTCAGGTTTGACAGTAACTTCAGCTCCATGGGATTTCTTCTGAATGAGCTCAAATGGAGTAGCTGATGATGACTTGGGTTTCTCATTTGGAGGAGATAGGCTTGAGTAATCATATTGGATTTTAACAGCTTCAGTTGCTTGCCTAGTTCTCTTTGCTTTGGGTTTTGAAGAATTGGGTTTGGACTGGATCATATCAATGGTGTTTTCAGGCCTAGAGTGTAGGCGAGCAGAGATGCGACGAATGGTTTGGGAGGCAGGAGAGATCATGACTGTTCTACACATCTTCTCACACACTTCGATGGGGCATCTATTGCCTTTCTTTTCCATTCTTTGCATGCCTAAGAGTTTGCTAAGGTGAAGGTAAAGGAAAAGGCTGAGGCAACTGCAAGTTAGAAAGGCTCCAGGAGATGGATTTTATACTGTATAAAATAATAACACAGATAGATCGATCATATTCCTCGTGATTCTTGCGTGAAAATGAGTTGTTATGAGCAGAAATTTTGATTGGACGTTTTGTCTAATATTCCTAATAATTGCTGGTAATAAAGAGTGTAAAGAAGTCTATACATGGAAATTATTGGAAGTTTGGAACCACATTCTCTACTTTGGTGATCATTTTCCTGCAGAATCTAATAAGTACAGCTTGAAACTAAGATGAAGTAATTGATGTGATGATCCTTGAGAAAATAATGGTTCAGTTTGCTAATTTCAGCAGAATTGTCAAACAAAATAATTGATGTGAAGAACCTCTGACAGGGAAATTGGTTGTGTCGCGGAAGTCTTTTTGCTTTTCTTGCTTCAAAACGACAAGGATTCCAAAGTTAGTTCACACCCCATTCAGTTTCTTAAATGACTAGTTTTGATCTGCTAAATTGTGTGCTACCCATGGAAGAATTTGTTAAGAATTAATCTCAAATAATTCCACAATAACCTAGATCGTGCAAACCACTAGATTCAACAAAACGGATTGAATAAGAAAAGGTTGCGTACCTGATTTGTTTAAGAATTAATCTCAAATAAATTCCACAATAACCTAGATTCAGTGCCAAAACCACTAGATTCAACAAAACGGATTGGGAATAAGAAAAGGTTGCGTACCTGACATCGTTGGTTTGGTCGATCTTTGATGTATTAGGTTTGCAGCCTTCCAGAGAATTGAAGAATCGATTTAGCGGAAGCAGTACGAAAGGAACGTAAAACTGAATCGTATTCAACTCTTCTGGGGACCAGGACCTTTATATACCTGTAGGGTTAGTACAATTCCTATTTCAGCTATTTCGGTCCTGTTAGTACAATTCCTATTTCGGTCCTTTAAAGAAATAGGAATTATATAATGGTCTCTACACTTAATATCTATAATTAGTTGATACCTCAATAGTCAATTATTCACAATCAAGACCGCATTTAAAATTGACTTTATAATTAGACTGCTGTACATATTTAATTTTACATATTAAGCCCACAATAGAAAATTAAATCCAACAATCTCCCACTTGGGCGACATTATGTTAAATAAAATACATACACCAAAATGAGCTCAACAAACGCAGTCATACAAGGTATCCAAAAACAATCTCGTCCATTAATTATATTGATAAAGAACTGAAGAAACATTCGCCATAGATCTCATGACTTAATTCATCATCAACTAACATTACCCAAATACCCCTAAATGACATAGATTCATTATAGAGTGTAAGCATGAAAACTACATGTAATGTGAATCATTCATGTCCTTTTCCAACTGGTCACCAACAAAATGAGATCAAAGCAAAAACAATAAATAATAAAACAATAATAATAATACAGAGTGTAACCATCAACCAAAATGAGTACTCAACAAAATTTCATGATAAAACATATCCAAAACAAAATAGAGCATTCAAAACCATAATGTATACATAAAGAGCAGACTCCCACTAAAACTAGACAGTCTCAAACAAAACGATACCCATATGAGCGGTGTGCTCATGGAAAACTTTCGGTATCACTGCCTTTGCAAGCGGATCCGCAATCATAGAGTTTGTTCCAATATGCTCTAAGGATATCTGTCCACTCTGTACCCTCTCCTTCACAGCCAAGAACTTAATCTCAATGTGTGTTTTGATGCGAGAAGAGCTCTGTTGGTTGTTGGAGAATAAAAGGCTGACTTGTGTCACAATCAACTTCAGTGGTCTTTTATATACCACCTACTACACGCAGCCACGTGACAAGGTTCTCAGGCCAAATAGCTTGATTTGGGAATGCTCTGATACAGATGCTACAAATTCAATGCTTCCCCATGGTGGAGGGTTGCCAACTAGAGTTTTTGTTTCACACTCCTTCCAAGAAAATAAGCACCGCCAAGCCAATAGAAAAACGTAGCCAGATGTGATTTTCTACTATCTTGGCATCCAGCGAAATCAAAGAAATCAGTATATCCAGCGAAATCAGAATCAGTATACCCAATGATCTCAAGCTGATCTGATCTCCTATATGTGAGCATATGTCCCTTAGTCCTCTGAAGATATCTCATGGCTCTTTTGGCTGCTTTCCAATGATCCATTCCTAGATTGCTGAGATATCTACCTAACATGCCAACTATAAAAGAAATGTCTGGACGAGTACAAACTTTAACATACATAAGACTTCCTATAGCTGACGTATAAGGAACCTTTTGCATTTCCTAAATTTCAAGTTCACTCTTTGGACATTGTTGATTACTAAATTTATCACCTTTTGCAATAGGGGTATCCAATGGTCTTAGAATTCTGCATACTAAATCTCTTGAGCACTTTAATCAAAATATAGCTCTTTTGTGATAATCCAGAAATAACCTCGAGAACGGTCTCGATGTAATCTGAATCCCTAAAACAAAAAGAAAGCTTCACCTAAATCTTTCATCTAAAATGGCTTTGGAAAAGGAAACAATTTGCGTTTACTGTAGCAAGACCTTTACAATTAGTAAGCAAAGAAGTATGTCATCCACAATAAGAGAAAAAAAAAAAAGACGCAAAAAAGATAACCTACTCCACTGAACTTATGGTACACACAATTTTCATTTGCCTCAAAGCCAAACGAGACAATTACTTAGTTGAACTTAAAGTACCATTGACGAGAAGCTCGCTTGAGTCCATAAATGGATTTCTTTAATTTGCATACCAGATGTTTTGGATCTCCAATTACAAAATTTTCTGGTTGCACCATATATATTGTTTCATCAATGTTGCCATTGAGAAACGTAGTCTTAACATCTATTTGATGAAGCTCAAGATCAAGATTTGCAACTAAGTCCATGATTGTCCTAAAAGAATCCTTCGAAGAAACTGGAGAGAAGGTTTCTTTATAGTCAGTCCCTTCCTTTTGAGTAAAGCCTTTTGCTACAAGACGTGCGTTATATCTTTCCACATTACCTGAGAATCCCTTTTGGTTTTAAATATCCATTTGCAACCAATGGGTTTCTTTCCTTCAGGTAATTGAACAAGATCCCAAACTTGATTGTCTTGTATAGACTTATACTCTTCGTTCATTGCCTCAATCCACTTATGAGAGTTAGAACTCTGCATGGCATGATAGAAACTAACTGGATCATCATCTATCATGTTCTACAGTATCCTCATGTTCCTGAAGAAACACTATATAATCATCTGGAATAGCACTTCTTCTTTCCCACTTCTTCTCTCCCTAGTAGATCTCCTCAAAGGCATTTGAACAGACTCTAATTCTTGAGGTTGTTGAATTTGTTCTTAAGGAAGAATAGCATTGTCTGGAATTGGATCTTGAATAGTGACAGGAGCAACTGGAGTCTGTACGCTATCAGAAACAACAAAAGGAATGAGAACCGAATCATCCTTACTTGGTTCCTCTTTAAAGACAATGTTTCTTTCTTTATTTCTCCCTCCAAAATCAACATCCTCAAAAAATGTTGCAATTCTCGTTTCAAAAAAAAGTTCTGGAAGTAGGATTATAAAGGAAATTATAAAAACTTGTTAACCCTAGACCGCTCAGAATATCCAACAAAGTAGCTGCTGATTAAGTTTTGGAAGTCCAGTTTTGTTTCCATTCGGCTTGTAAGGCCTTGCTTCAGCTGGACATCCCCAAACATGAAGTATGCTTTAGACTAGGCCTTACGTCCAGCCAAAGTTCATAAGGTGTTTTAGCAACTGCTTTTAGATGGAATCCTATTGAGAAGAATTAAGCTGCTGTCTTTAAACCGCTTCACCCCACAGAAGACTCTGGTAAAGTAAGAGATGAACTAATCATACTCCTTACCATCCATCACCATAAGAGTCCTATTACGTCTCTCAGATACACCATTCATGCTGGGAGTACCAGGCATTGTATATTGAGGGACAATTCCACATTCCTGTAGGAAAAGCGAAAAGGTCCTGGACGTTGTTCGCCTGAACCGTCATATTTACCATAATATTCACCACCACGGTCAGATCGAACAGATTTAATCTTCTCTCCCAGTTGATTTTCAACTTCAGCTTTATAAGATTTAAACACGTCCAAAGACTCAGATTTTTCATGAATGAGATATAAGTAACCATAAAGAGAATAGTCATCAATGAATGATATAAAATATCTTTGGCCATTTCTAGCTGCTTCTAGCTGCAATATGGAATGGACCGCAAATATCTGTATGAATCAGTTCTAAAACATTGGATGACCGAATGGCACCTAGTCTCTTCTGTTTAGTCTGTTTTCCTTTAATACACTCAATACAAGAATCCAAACCTGTGTAATCAAGTGTATCTAAGATACCATCAGAAACAAGACGCTCAATCCTTGATTTGGATACATGACCCAAACGTCTATGCCAAAGTACAACTGAGTTATCAATATTCAATTTTCTTTTGGTACCTCTTGTAGTAACATGCAGGGATTCATGATAACTAGTATCAATGTCTAACATATATAGATTATCACATTCATTCAAGCAACCAGTTACCCAAAACTTTTGAATTCCTAGATTAAAGTGAATACACTGTTCTTTTTCTCTCACTCAAGTAAGTCCACTTATAATCCCATTCTACCCCAACCGGGTTTGGTTCAACTCGACTCGACTCGACTCGACTCTAAGACTCGACTCGGTAGGATGTCACAGTATCGTTTATAATTTATTTAAACATAATCTAAAATGTCCAATTGCCTCTACTTCAACCGGATCGCCATTTCCTACATAGACGTATCTTTCACCGTCAGTTGGCTTTCTGTAGTTGAGGCAGCCCTACAACGAAACACCTATATGAGCGGTAGCACCAGAATCCATCCAATAAGTGTTTTTAGGAGCTTTCACAATTCCACAACAGGACCTAAAAAGTACTTAACAAGGTACTTACCCCTCTTTGCAAGCCAATTAGCAAATTTAGGACAGTCCTTTCTCAAGTGATCCGTCTTTCCACAAAAGAAGCATTTTGGCACATAAGGCTTCTTTTGTACTGGATCTACAGCAGTAGCAACAGCAGGTTTCTCAATAGCCTTTTCAACAGTCTTTGCAGAAGGCCTCTTTCTTTTCTTGTT